TCCTCACTATCCTCACACTATTTACCCTATCCCTCCTCACTCCTCTGCTTTACTTCTACTCACTACCTTGCCTTCCTGTTCCTTAACCCACCCACCCCAAGAGTTCTTCCCTTATCCTTTCCCCCCACCTTATCTCCTTGCCCTCTTATTTCTTTATGAATTTAGAAGACTTTTATACCCTTCTAGATGTATATATTGTTTCCTCTTTAACCCATTCCCAATGAGAGTAAGATTCCAGAAAATGGAGTTAAGTGACTTACCCAGGGTCACACAGCTAGTTAGTGTCTGAGGCCAAACGTGAACTCAGGACAATGAGTCTTCCTTACTCCAGGTTAGGTACTCTATCCACTGTGCCTCCAGCAGCCCAAGAAAACACAAGTGCTCCATCAGCCAGCACCACACCATCCATATGTGGAACCATCAGTTACAGCAAATGGAGACGTTTTGAATATTATGGATAAGTTCAGTTACCTTGACAGTGTACTTTCCAGGAATGGACACATTGATGATGATATTGACACATTGCCAGAGCTAGATTAGTGTTTGGGAGACTCTGAGAGAAAGTGTGGAAGAGAAGAGGTATTAGACTGACTACCAAACTGAAGGTCTGCAGAGCCATTGTGCTGACCTCATTGTATGCCTGTGAAACATGGACAGTATACCAGTGCCATGCCAGGAAACTGAATCACTTCCATTTGAAGATCCTGAAATTCCTGAAGGAAGATACTGAAAATCACCTGGCAGGATAAGGTACCAGATGCTGAGGTCCTTTCTCAGGCTGAGCTGCCAAGCATTCAAACTCTATTGCAGAAAGCACAACTCTGATGAGCTGGCCATAGTGTTTGAATGCTAAACATACACTTGCCAAAAAGGCTATTTTATGGAAAACTCACACAGGGCAAGTGCTGATATGGTGGTCAGAAAAAGCAATACAAGGATATTCTCAAGGTCTCTCTGAAGAACTTTGGAACTGATTGTGTGACATGGGAGACACTGGCACAGAACTACCCAGCATGACGTTCCCTCATCAGAGAAGGTGCTGTGCTCTGTGAGCAGAGCAGAATTGAAGCTCAAAAGAAACAAAAAATATGCAAATTTAGAGAATCCACCCCAAATGTTCACATGAATTATTTGTGCCTGACCTGTGGTAGAGCATTCTGAGCTTGTATTGGTATGATTGGACAGACTGTAACTTGACTCTAATATAGTGATGTTATTTTGGTCCTCTTCAAGAAGGAAGGACAACCTATCAAGATTCCAGCATTACCCACCTTCCCCCCACTGACTTCTGTGTCAGTTTTTTTCTTTTATGCCTCATTTGTGTGGAATAATTATTCCTTTTTAATCTCTCCTTATACAGTTTTATTTTTTTTTAGAATAACGCCATCATACACAGCTCAGCCCAAGCCTTTCTTTCAGACTACCCAAGTAATGATGAGTCATAAGAGTACTGATAACATTTTTACATATAAGAAGTAAACAATTTGACCTTATTGAGTCCTTTACAGTTGGTCTTTAATATTTATCTTATATTTCTCCTGGATCTTATGTCCAATTTTTCCTTAAGTTCTCCTCTTTTTGTCACAGATACCTGAAGGTCTTGCAGTTTAAGTGTCCTTTTTTTTTTCTTTCAGGATTATACTTAACTTTGCTGGGTACATTACCCTTGGTCATAACCCCAGCTCTTTTGCTTTATGAAATATATAGTATTTCAAGACCTACAGTCCTTCAGTGGTCTTGTGTAATCCTTACTGTAGCTCATGATATTTAAATTGTTTTTTTTTCTTGTTACTTGCAATATTTTCTCATTAACCTGGGAGCTTTGAAACTTGGCTATGATATTCCTGTAAATTTTCCTCCTTGCATCTCTTTCAGATGGTGATCAGTGGTTGTTTTGTTTTTTTTTTCTATTTTGGCTTTGGCTTCTTGCTCTAGAACTTCAGAGCAATTTTCCTTGATAATTTCTTATAATATGTCAAGATTCTTTTTTTTTTTAGTCATAATTTTCAGGTAGTCAACTACTCTTATGTTATTTCTCCTCTATCTGTTCTCCAGAGCAGTTGTTTTTGGGATGTTTCACATTCTCTTCTATTTTGCCCTTCTTTTGATTTTCTTTGATTATTTCTTGTCTTAGAACATCATTAGCTTCCCCTTGCCCGATTCTAATTTTCAAGGAATTATTTTCTTCCTTAAGTTTCTGATTCTCTTTTTCAAGTTGGTTAATTTTCTTTTTACAATTTTCTTGGATTTCTAATTTGTGTAATTTTCTAATTTTTCCCTAATTTCTCTTATTTGATTTTTAAAATTCTGAGTTCTTCCAAGAACTCTTTTTGTGCTTGGGACCATTTGATGTTTCTCATGGAAATAGGAGTGGTTTTTTTTAGTTCCATTATCTTTCTCTGAACATGAAACCAGATCTCTATCCCCATAGTAACTATCTATGGTCGGGTCCTTTGCTTATCATTTTTATTTTGTTTTTAGCAGCTATTGGTATAATCAAGTTCTAGTACCAAAGTATGAAGAATGATGCCCCAAGACTCGGATCCTTCTTACTGTTATTTTCTGAGGTCTGTCCCAGGGGCCCAACCTAGGACTCTCCTTTCCACTCTTTCTTGTTTGTTCTTTGTTCTCAAAGAGGATCAATGACATCAGAAGAGTGATATCTTGACTTACAAATAAATTGGATTCAAGTGAGGCAGTACTGTGCAAAGCCTCACTCTCTCCTCCAGGGTCATCAGAGTCCAGTGGCAAGACATAGGTCAGGGCAACTAGTGATGGCCTAGGGAGACTGTGACCTTTTTAAGCTAAGGTCTTTCCCAGGTCTCAGTTTGTGTGACACAATGCCCATTCAGTGATTAAAGGCAAGGTAAGATTTGAAGTAAAAGATGGCTTCTTTTGCTTTCACAAAAGAATCAGGGAGAGGAAGATCCTCAGAGTTTATGGCCAAAGTGGAAACAATTGCTGTTTACACTCTGAGCCATCAAAACTAAATAACAGTTAAGACTTGGGCCAGTCAATGAGAGCCAGAGTGATTTGGATTTAAAGGCACAGTCAAGTAGTTCCATTTGAATCCCAGTGGGCTTTATCAAGCCTGGTTTATCAGAGCTACATTTCAAGAAATCATAAATGAAAACTACAAGAGGCAAAAGAATTAATTGTCCCAGTTTTTTTTTTAATGATAGAATAAATAAATAGGAAAGAAATTTTTTTCAAAATTAAAAATATCTAGCCCCCAAATCCCTAGATATCTTGGGAAGTATAAGCTATCAAAATTCATATTCCTTTAGGCATAGCACCCACATGTATGAGTATCACTCCTCATGTGGACAGAGGAAGAAGAAGAAGAGGAGGAAGAGGATGACAGGGAGGAGGGGGAGGGGAAGAAGGGGAAGAAATAGCAGCATTGCCCAACTGGAACTGACTAGTTGGGTCCCCAGTGGGACAGCCACTCCTACTAACAGATTGTTGTTTGTCCTTCTCAAAGAGGACCAATGACATCAGGAGGGTGATGTCTTGACTTGCAAGTGAATTGGATTTAAGTGAGGCAGGGCTGTGCAAAGTCATCAGCCACATTCCCTCCACCAGGGTCATCTGAGTCCAGTGGCAAGACATAGCTAGGGCCCCCAGCCATGCTGTCCCGAAAATGATCTTGCTCCCTGGCATCCCTCTGGGGACTGCAAATTACAGCTGTCCTCTCTTCCCTGGAAATGAAACCAGGGACTCTGCTTTCCTGCAAGTGCCCAAGCCAGTACGGTCCCTGCCCTTCTGCTACTGCACTCACCAGGGGTATGCTAGCTCTTCCTCCTCCACAGCTACAGCCCCAGCCCCAGCCCGAGATATCTGGTCGGCACAGCTGTGTTTGGCTTCCCTTGACAGTGGAAGTCCTTCAGTCTTCTCCTATTCAGCTATTAGGAACCCCCCACACACACACACACACATAACACTAATGGATAGCATATGCGTAATAAAGTTAATTTGATATTTTAACACAAATTGGTAAGTTCCATTTTAGAGATGTGGCCAATATTTGGAGCAGTGAGACTTAAGCCTAGAGTACAGTAGTAAAATATAGTAGTGGAAAAGTGTATACCTTCTTCAAAAGAAACAGTTCTGATGGAAGATGAAGAGACTAGCACAAAATATCAAGAGTGTGTGTGTGTGTGTGTGTGTGTACATACATACATACATACATACATACATACATACATATATATCTATATCTATATATCTCAGAGGTAGAAACATGGTGGAGTGTATTAGAGGGAGGAGAAAAAGAGAATTACAGAAGTGATACAATTTCATTTCAGAGTATTGAGAGAACTTACAAATATGCCTAGTCCCTTGTACTCCGATGAGTCTCTCTTTATTTTGTTGGACTGATTCTTGGAGACCCACAGTTCATTGTTAGACATATATACTATGTCTAACTTGCTCTAGGGCCAGAATTTTCACTCTGTTGGTATATCTTGAGAGGAAGCATGGTGTAGTGTAAAGAACACCCGGCTTGGAGTCCAAAAGACCTGAATTAAAATCCCAACTCAGGTACTTATTAGCTGTGTGACTCTGGATGAGACAATTAACATCTTTCAACCTTACTTTAATCTACAAAATTTAGATGATAGTAGCACCTGCCTCAACATGGTTGTCATGAGTCAAATGAAATGGCTCTGCTTTGAAAACCTTAAAGTACTATATAATTGTAAGCTACTATTACTTAAATAGCCTTCAGCACTCCAGGATCACCTCTGTACTACAATGAGGCATTAGAGTAGGATTTCAGTGGAGGAACTCTTGTGATCATGTTGTTGAAATTAGTCAGATCTAATAAAATTTAAGAAAAAACATAGATTTTGTTAGAATTCAGTCATTATTTAAATACTCTCTGATTTTAATATTTAGTTTACATAAAATCTTGTATAATTTGCCTAATATCCCAGTAATAGTTTAATGCTAATGTGCAGTGCTTCTAATTTATACTTTTACATATTTTTTGCTTTAAGTATCTCAAATGTCAGTGAAGCATGAGTTCAAGCTCAGAAAATAAGACAGCGTCAGCTTTTGAAAATTATGAGAAAGCTGCCAAGCTCATTCAGAAGGTCTGGAAGAAATATCTTGTAAGTTGTGTTATTCATGTTTTTGCAAATCATTTTTTAAAAAGCATCAGGTTCTACATATTTATTCATAATAGCAACAATAAAATTAAGTTTAGAAAAAATGATGATAGCATTATTAATAAGCTTTTCACTTCCACAGGCTAAATTTCTTAGCTATAAAATGAGTTTGTGTGAGCCACAAGCATTAATGCACTATATGTCACTGTTGTTCATGGTGCCCTGCTATAAATACAGATGGTGGTGAGGCCATGAAGAATGCACTGATGTGGCCAACCATAGTGCTTGAAGGTTTACTGCTAAGAATATATTTCCCTTCTTCCTTGCTAGAAATGGTGGCCATAGTGTTCAAATGATTTTGTGAATTAGGACTCCTCTATTCTCAGCATAACAGAGTTATTTTCCACAAGAGCAGAATGACTTCCAACTATTGCCCCACCTGTCTGTGCCAAGACCAAAGTAAATGCAGGCTGGGACCCCTCAAATGTTGGTATCCAGGACAGTGGATAGATAGTTATTCTAATCAAGCTAAAGAATAGAAGAGGGTAAATAAGGACCTAATTAACAATTAGGAAAACAATTGATGGGCACTCACTTTCGTTTCAGCTTTTTATTATAGCAAGAAAATTTTTTGGTACATATTAAAATGTTTTTAATTGTAGATAATATATGAATCATTTAGAATCAGTGATCAACAAGAATTTATTAAGCACCTGTAATATGTCAGATGCAGTGCTAAGTTTTGGGAATGGAAAGATAAAAGTGAAACAACCCTATCCTCAAGGAGATTACATTAACAACATGTACATATATACATAATATATTCAAAATGAATGTCAGGTAGTTTGGGGAGTAAATGCACTAACAGATAAGAGAATAAGGAAAGTCTTCATGTAGAAAGTGACCCTTTCAACTGAGTCTTTCAGGAAATAGCAGATTCCGAGAGACAAATAAAGAAGGAATGCATCCCAGGCATGGGAGACAGCCAATGGAAAGGCAGGGAGATGGAGTTGGAGTGCTGTGTTTGAGAAACAGCAAGTGGGCCATACCAAGCACACGGAGAGGAGCAATATATTAGAAGACTGAAAATATAGGTGGGGGACAGGTAGTGGGAGCTTTAAATGTCAATCAAAGGAGTTTATATTTGAGTCTATAGATATGCATGAATTCCTAGAATTTATTGAATGGGAGTTTGTGACATGGTCAAACTTACAGGAAAATCACTTTGACAAATATGTGGAGAATAAATTGGAGTGGGGAAAGATTTGAGGCCAGGAGACCAATTTGGGAACTTTTTCAGTCATCCACGTGAAGAGTAGGGTGGGCTTGAATTAGGGAGGTAGCTGTGTGAGTGTAGAGGTAGGAGCATGTGCAAAAGGTGTTGGAGAGGAATAAATGATAAGATTTGGTAGTTGAGTGGGGATGAGAGAGAGGAATTGAGAAGGACGCTGAAATTGGGTACCTGAGTGCTTGGTGGTGTCCTCAAGAGTAGGAAGTTTGGAAGAGTGGAAGGTTTGGGGGGAAAGATAGAGTTATGTTTAGACATGTTGAATTTTGAAATGTTTATGAGACATCTAGTTCAAAATGTCAAGTAGGCATTTCATCATACAGAATTGGAACTCGGGAGACTAGGACTGGAAATAGAGATTCGGGAGTCATTGGCATAAAGATGATAATTTTGCATCTTTTTGCATATCCTTTACTATATTCTGTAACAAGCTAAAGGCATTATTGAGACTATAGTCTACTGAAGAACCAGGTTTCACTTCTAGTGTTTAGATTGCTGTATTAAATATTAGATAGTTGTATTAACAGTGAAATTCACTGTTCAGCGGTAAGAAAAGGAGATGAAAAGGGACTAGTTAATAATCCTAACCTTTTGGGGAATTCCAGCTACAATGGCAGTATGTTAGAAGGAAGCCAGAGCTCCCCAAAACACCTTATTAAAGCCCTAAAGATGCAGAAGTTATGTGATCCCAGTTCCCACCCAAGCTTGGTTAAAAAAAAAAGCGTCTTATGCATCATCCCGTATATGGGTGAGCTATGACTTATAATTGGTGAACGAAATACCTAGGTAATCTTTGTGCTTGGGTGAAGGGTGGGATTGGTTTGAGAGCTTTTGAGAAGAGAGGTATGTATGGTGCCACAGGCTCCAGTGAAGAGAGAGAATAAGATTTTGGAAATTATAGATATGTAAAAAAAGCCAGCTCCTCAACATAGCCTTGATTTCCAGCTGGCCTTCCTAGAGATGTTGGAGAGGGAATTTTCCCTTGGGTTAGATCTGGTCCTCTCTCTTGGTTTGAGCGGAGATCTCATCTAACTTCCAGCAGAACTCATTCACTTTTGTGTGTTTTTCTGGTATATTCTAACCTGTAGGATTCCAATTTGTTTGATGTTTTGCTTAGATACACAGGTTTACTTGTTATTCATCATTTGTAAGAGTCCTTTGTGGAACCAGAATTAACTGTCAGCTGTTTCAATCTATAATCCACTCTCTTCTGTGTTGCCAAAGGTCACATTCCTTGCAGCTACTTCCTGGCCTGGTCTCTGTGGTTGTATCTAGAGGGTATTTATCTGCTTTTTCTTAAAGGTCATCCAGGACACAACCTGTCTTTCTTCAGCCAATAACTAACTCTTTTATAATTCTATCAAAAAAGAATGGCATATTTCATAAAGGAGTAACAGGTAGCAGGCAATGAATTAGCTTACAGTTTAAAAAAAATTGGAAAAGCAACAAATCAAAAAATCCCAATCACAAAAAAGGAAATTATAAAGATTAAAGATAAATAAAATTTAAAACAAAAATCATTTCATTGATATATCAAATTAGAAGCTAGTTTTAAAACAAAACTAATAAAATGGGCAAAATGTTAGCCAGTCTGATAAAAAAAAATAAAATAGCCAAATTGTTAACTGATGAAATGAATTAATATTTACAAAAAATATAAAATGTACAGATTAAAAGAACAAGAAATAGAGTCTAAATGAACAAATCTTATAAAAAAATTGAAAAATTATATAAAAGAAATCTGTTATATCCTCTCCCACACCCCCCAAAAAAGTATAGCAGGATCAGATGGATTTACAAATGAATTTTATTAAATATTTAAGGAAAATTAATTTCAATATTATATAAACTGTTTGCAAAAATAGGAAGAGAAGTGATCTTACCGAACTCCTTCTAGGATATAAATATGGTCCTAAAATGGAAACTAGAAAGATTTAAAGCAGCAAAAGAAAATTAGTCAGAAGTAGAGCCAAATTCCCTCCCTCACACCTGTCTATCCTCCTTGAGAAGGCAGGCAATTGATTAAACATTGATTAAATATGAGAAGTCATGCAAAATATATTTCCATATTAGCCATGTTGCAAAAGAAAACACAGACCAAAAAAACCCCCCCAAAACAAACCAACATACACACACAAAAATAAAGTAAAAAAAGGATACTTCATTGTGCATTCAAAGTTCATCAGTTCTTTCTCTGGATAGCATTTTTTATCATAGGTCCTTTATTTTTTAAAAAACAGTTATTTTACTTTTTTCCCCAGTTACATGTCAAGAAAATGTTTAGCATTCATTTTTACAAGATTTTGAGTTCCAAAATTTTTTCCTTCCCTTCTTCCTTCTCTCACCCCTCTTCTGAAAATGATAAACAGTTTGATATAGTTTATTCATGTGCTATCATGTAAAAAATATTTCTATATTAATGACAGTTGTGAAAGAAGAAACAGATCAAAAGGGAAAAAAAGTAAGTAATAATTAAGTGAGTGAAAAAAGATGCTTTGATCTACATTCAGAGTCCATCAGTTCTTTATCTGGATGTGAATCCTTTGCACTTGTCTTGGATCATTGTGTTGCTGAGAAGAGCTGAGTCATTCATAGTTAATTATCACACAATGTTGCTGATATTGGCTACAATATTTCCTGGTTCTGCTCATTTCACTTTGCATCAGTTCCTACAAGTCTTTCCAGGTTTTTCTGAAATCTGCCTGTTCTTCAATTCTTATTGCACAATAGTATTCCATTACATTCATATACCACAGCTTATTCAACTATTCCCCAATTGATGGGCATCCCCTCAATTTCCAGTATTTTGCCACCACAAAGAACTGCTGTAAGTATTTTTGCACATGTAGTTTGTCTTGGTCTTCCCTGTCATCACAATAACTTTCTATGGTTAGATTTTTTTTTGTCCTTTTCTGCTATTTTTTTCTTTTTCCTTTCTTTTAAATTTGAACTCTGTACCCAAGTTGGAAAAGGCACTCTCAGGCTTTTTGTGCCAGTGGCTACAGGCCCTGACTGTTTACCTGGTGTTGCACTGATATTGTCCTGAGGCCCCTGGGGGACCTCGTATCTGGTGCTGTACTGAGGGGATGGGCCAGGGGGTGGCTGGCACTGCTGGAGGCCATAGGGTTCTGCCAGCTTACCTGGTGCTGAACTGAGGTCCTAATGGTGATGTCTGGCATGTACCAAGGCCTGGTGGCATGTTTCTGCATTTCCCTGGTGCTACACTAATTCATGTGGAGGTCTGGCCTCTGGAGGATGCCTGTTTGCCTGAGGCTATGCTCAGAACACTTAGAGGTCTGGCCTACTTTCTCATCATTCTGGAGGCTGCCTGTTTGCTGAAGCACATGGTGGTTCTTGGAGCTGGAATCTGCCAGTTCCACTGACTATGCTAAGGCATGGGGGGATCCTGGTGTTGGCATTTGCCCACTCCACCACACTGGGGCTCTGTATCTCTCGCTGGTTTGCTAAAGTGGGGCTTGCTGCTGGTTCATTGGGATGCTTCCTGTCCTGGAATATATACCCCTTTTACCTGAGTGAGATGGACTTTTCTTGCCAATTTTCCAAGTTCTTGGGCTAAAAAATTATTTCACCCAGTCTTTTTTTGCTGGTTCTACAATTCCAGAATTTATTTTGGGACACTATTTTATAGTTATTTGGAGGTAAATATGGGAGTTACAGCATTTACTGCTTATTCCACCATCTTGGCTCCCAGAAGTCCCAAGGCATCATTTTTTGACAACATGATGAATTACTTAGAGAACCCTATAGAGTCAGCTAAAAATTAGTCAAAACAATGACTTAAGTAGCAAGATATAACCCATAAAATCATCAGCTCTTCCGTATATTGCTAACAAAACCTAGCAAGAGAGATAGAAAAAGAATTCCATTCAGAATAACTGCAGAATATATAAAATATCTCAGAGTCTAGCCTCTAAGGCACACCAAATAATTATGTAAATACAATTACAAAACAATACAAAATACATAAAAAACAAACCTAAAAACATTGGATAAATTTTAGGCAGCAAGGTGGCATAGTAGATAGAGCACCAGACCTGGAAATAGGAAGATCTGAGTTTAAATGTGGCCTGTGATCCTTACCAGCTGTGTGACCATTTAACCAATGATCTCTTCCTCAGGTTCCTCATCTGGATGTATGTCCCAGGGTTCTTGTAAGGATCAAATGAGATAACCATTTATCTTAACATTAAGATTAATAATCATAATAATAAATAATGATCTCAATTATATCTTCTTGAATAGGGATTAAGATTAGGATATGAAAGTACTGGCCTGAAAAGCCAAGCCACCTCTACCTACTGAGAGGGGTAACCAAATTGATTCTTTCCAAGAGACTGAGGAAATTGGCAAAGTGCTTCAATTCCCCTCTGAATCCACCTGCAGATGGCAGGCATTTAACTATTTTAGGTCTACTTGTAACTGCTAATTTAATTTTTGTTTTTGAAAATATCCTTCACGTAAGAGTATTTTTTTATTGTAGCTTTTTTTGTGATGCATGTCTGAATATTAGTTGTTTGCTAAGAAAGTATAATGGAGGATGTAAGTGAATAACTGGAAATACACATTAAGTTAAAATAGGACAGAGGCTGGCACTTCACTCCCTCTAAAATAGTTGGGTTTCATTTGGGTTTGAAGGAGTCCAAGCTAGAATCATGAGATAATTGTATGGTTTTTATTTTTATTTATAAATTTTAAAAGTTTATGTATATGTTTATGTTTATATGTATATCTGTATATCACAGTTAGATGAATCACATGACTTCATGACCATTTCACCCCTAGACTAAAAGAATGGATTCGGCTATGGCTTAGAATGCCACATTTCAGGGCAGCACCAGCCTGTGAGGCAAGGATAGGGGGAAGAATAAGGGAAGGTCACATCTAGTATGCCCAGTAGTATGCGCTGTCCAGAAAAGCTAGTCCCTTAATTTGTTTCTCTTGCCACCCTAAATCTTTAAACCTTATCAGATAGTTACACCTGTTGGTTGCACTGTGACTCAATTGAACAAAATTCATTTTTAACAATGTTTATTATTTATGTTAAAACAAAACATAGGTAGATGACAAGTTTACATTGAACATATCTGGTGTTTATACTTACCCCAAGCCAGTGACTATTCAGAAGTAGTAAATAGCTGTTTTAATTGTTATTCCTAATATATTTGAACTTCTAGGATGCCTGTGTATTTAACCACTTCAAAAGTCTAATCCTTTTAAGGAGGCAAGGGGACCCCCGTCAACTATTAAGATATATTGATCCTAAAGAGGTAAAGACATTCCATATGTATACATATATAATATGTTAAAGATGTATGTCATTTATTTTATTTATTTAATCAGTGTTCACATATTTTGTTTAACATTTTTATTAATAACTTGGATGAAGGTTTTAAAGTAGCATGCTTCATAAATTTGTAAGTGACATGAAAATGGGAGAGATAGCTGACATTTTTTATTACAGGATCAAAATCCAAAATTACTTGAAAAGACTAGAATGATAGCCCAAATAGAGCAAGATAAAATTTAATAGAAATGAATGTGTAGATCTATTCAGTTCAATTGTTTCATTTGTGTCTGACTCTTTGTGACCTCATTTGGGGTTTTCTTGGCAAAGATACTAGAGTAGTTTGCCATTTCCTTCTCCAGTTCATTTTACAGATGAGAAAACCAAGACAAAAAGGGTTAAGTGACTTGCCCAGAGTCACACAGCTAGCAAGTGGCTGAAGTCAGATCTGAATTCAGGTCTTGACTGTATCCAGAACTGTATCCACTGTGCCTTCTAGATGTACTGGGTAGGTCTATACTTGAATTAAAAAAAAAAACTTCATATGAATGGTACTATGAAAATATGACATAATTACTCCAAAAAAATCTAAGAGTTTTACTGGAAACTCAAGATGAGTCATCACTATGTGATATCACAGCCCTTAAGTTAATGTCCTACATTGCACTGAAAAGTATGGTGTCCAGAATGAGAAAGGTAATAGTTGTGTTACACTCTGCCTGGGTCATATTGCATCTAGAGTACTGTGTTCAGTTCAGGGCACCACATTTTAGGAATGCCAACCTGGAATGTGCCCTTATGAAGGCAAGTAGGATGGTGAGAGAACTGGAGAATGTAGAAGAGTTAAAGAAACTAGTGGTTTTGGTTTTTGTCACACAGTTATTTGGTTTGACTCCCAAAAGAAGTACTAGGAACAATGGGTGTGTTGAGGGTTAGGGACTTAGGGATACGGGGATCCCGAAATAGTGGCACATGGATCCTGCCTGAATGAATTTGATCCAAGCCTTCTTTCAGCCAAAGACAAAGTTTATTAAAGATCTGCCATGTTGGCCAGACTCTTTAGGAATCTGAACATCTGTGGTGCTCAAATTGACAAGCAGGCTAGAGTGAATCTCAGCCATTGGCCAGATTTTAAGAATCTGAGCACCTTAAGGGAACAGGATGGATCTTATATACAGAAAGACTGTGGGAGGGATCTAGGAGTGGGCAAGTAGTTTGGGGTGAATGGAGGAGGGATCTGGGAGAAGGGGTCTAGAGGGGATCTTGATCTAAGTGACTGGGAGGTAGGATGGGGTCTAGAGAGTATCAAGGGTGGGAAGTAGCTGGGGGCCATCCACAGGTAACAGACAATGGAGGGCTGGGCTGGCTTAAGGGAAATGGAGAAATGGGAGATTTAAAATGGGTTTAGGCAATAAATGAAAGGCCAGTCAAAAGGATTATAGCCTCGGTTGAATGCTAGAGACTTCATCAAGTGGGAAAATTCAAGCAGAGCTCAAGGTGAGGGTTTCCAGAGCCTGTACCCCATCAGGTGTGAGTTACAAAAAGAAAGTTAGGTTTGAAGTAAGGAGAACTTTCTACATATTAGAATTACCCAGATGTGAAATGGGCTGCCTCAGTGGGTGGCAGATCAGTAGAGTTCTTGAAGCAGAGGATGAATGACCATTTTGGGGGGATGTTGAGAGAAGGATCCTTATTCAGGTATGGCTTGCACTGCCGAAGACCTTTCAAACTCCAAGATTCTATGTGATATGTTTATGAATAGGTAGGTGAAATTACTTTAACTGGCCAATGACTATGAACTACTAGTTTTGCTTTGTACTTCTTGTAACAATCATGGGCAAAACCAATAAAATGCCACATGTGAATTTCTATATATTCTTTAGTCTCAGTTTAGGGTATATAAAACATACACTATAAATTTATAAGGGCAGCTAGGGGACGCTGTGGCTAGAGCACTGGGCTTGGAATCAAGAAGTTCAAATCCAGTCTCAGATATTTGCTAGCTGTGTGATCCTGGGCAAGTCACTTAACCCTGTTTGCCTCAGTTTCTTCTTATGTAAAATGAGCTGGAGAAGGAAATGGCAAACCATTCCAGTATATTTGCCAAGAAAACCCTAAGTGGGGTTATGAAGAGTTGGACACAACTGAAATAACTCGACTACAACAAATTTATAAATAATATATTGCTAAGCAAGAAGTTGCTGAGAAGTAGAGAAGTTAAATATGAGATCAACTTTTTAGCAGTTTTTCTAAATGTGAAAAAGGGATTCAGTATCAATAGATAGGTTCCAGTTACAGCTTTTCCATCAGCTATATGGATAATCTTGGGTGACCTAATATGTCTGGGACTATTTCTTTAATGGGTAATGAGAAGGCCTGTATTAATAATCATTAGCATTTATATTGTATTTTATAAATGCTACTTGTCAGTATGTTAAAAATGAAAAGACATGCTATAGGTCATACAAAATTTAAATGTGAATTTTGGATTTAATCAAGGACAGAGTCAAGACGGAGAATTAAGGCCACATGATATTCAGTTTAGGTTGGTAAGCTACCACATTTCCCTGGACTTACCTATAAGTGAGCTCTTCTCACATATAAAACCATGATCTTCATTTTCCAACTTGTGAATATGAGCAGTAATTTAAATATCAAACTTATATTTTTAATAGGAAAGAAGCATTTTTTAAGTAGCAGATGTTTTTGAAATCAGGAATTGGGGGCAGCTAGGTGGTGCAGCAGATAGAGCATTGGCCCTGGACTCAGGAGGACTTGCTTTCAAGTCTGGTCCCAGACCAGACACTTGACACTTACTAGCTACGTGACCCTGGGCAAGTCATTTAACCTTATTGCCTCACCAAAAAAAAAAAAGTCAGGAATCTTGGCTTTTTAAACTCAGGAACTCCCATTTTAACCTATTATTTATTGGGTATTCTTGGGAAAGTAATTTATTTCTCAGCTTTTCAAATTTTACATAAAATTTACTTATGCGTATTCACTTTCTAGCCTTTCATAATGCAAGTTCAGGTTGAACAAATATGTACATATGTGGTCAAATGATTACAGTTAATAACCATTTTGGTATGTATTTTAAGCTACTTAATATTACTAAAATGTGATAGGTTAATTTGGTTCTCTTTTAGGCAGAGCTTCTAGATGCTGCTTCTGGAATTAATATTCGATTCAGATTAGGTGGAGTAAGTATGGAAGTAGTTTTGTCTAATTGTCTTAAAAGTATCCCAAAATCTTCCCTAATTGATTGTATCAAATTTGAAATGGATAATTATTTTTAAGCATAAACACTTTTTATTGTAAGATTACAATTGGATTTTTAATTTATTTTTTTAATCACAGGAGAAGTTTCCTCCCAATATATATTATAAAATTTTCACTCACAGACATATTGTAGATCTATGTGCTAACAGTCCTAGAGATTATGTGAACATTCTCCCAAAGCAACTATCACATTTGACATTTGATAAGAAACATCTAGAAGATGACCACGATGGCTGGTACAAACGTATAGAGAACAATGGCTGGAGACTTGTTTCCAAAAGAGTAAGCAAAATTATAATAATTTTTCTTTTACATTTTACAGATTTGCTTTGTGTCTTTTTGGAAATTTAATTTTACAGTAGATTTCAAGAACACATATAATTGCCTACTGACCTAAATAATGAGCATTATTGATTTAAAAGAACTCTAGTGGCAACTTTGATTACACTTTAAGATATAGTCATATATCTTAGTCTTAAATTTACTAATTTTTCTTACTAAGAGAAGATGTGTCTACCGTCCAACTTAAGCTAATCTGCATCCTTCAGAAACATAGTAGGCACTTATTACCTGGTCAGATAGCTGCAATAAAAATAAGTTGAGAATGTTGTTGAATTCACTGTATGTCAGGATGTGGGGATTCTTGAGATCAAGTAGGTTTATCTTGTAGTGTTTACTACATATTAGCTTCAGTGATGGTAAAGAGAATGTCTTATTTATCTCTATCTTTCTATTTCCTTTAACACCTAAAACAGTGCTTTGCATGTCTAGGCAATGATGAATTGTTGTTGAGTTAGTCCCAATGATGATTGGTGAAAAAACAGTGGATTTTCATAGTTTTGAGAGGATGAGGTATAAAGTGAGTTTTCACCAAGGGCATATGGTCCACAGCCATACCAATCACACTTCTGTAAGGATCATTTTGGATAGCGATATTTCATAGCTCAGACACATAGCAGCCATACCTTTCAAATTTTCCAAGGCAGTACAATTTCAAATATTCTGTACCATACCCAGATTAGGAAAAAAAAATCTTGTTCAAGTAATTGGAGGGACATTAGTTTTTCATGTTTAGGCTATGCCAATATAATAACTCAAACATGTTCAAAATAGAGCTCCTTTCTTTCCTCTTAAGCCCTCCCCTCTTTTGAACTTTCTTATTAGTGTTAAGGGCACCACCGTCCTCCCCAGTCATCCAGGCTTACAATCTTGTTGCCATTCTGGCTTCTCACTCTCTTACCCCTCCTCCCCAAATTTGTTGCCAACTCATTAAGCAGATGAATAATAAACAATAAACAGGTTCCTTTTTGCCTAAAGAATCCAATATAAAATGTTCTCTTTTGACATTTAAATTACTTCATAATCATGCCCTTTCCTGTTTTTCTGCTTTTCTTACACTATTCCCCTCCATGTATTCTCGTATCCTTAGTGTCTAATCTATAAAATGGAGATGCTATACCTGCCCAAACTACCTCATATAATTAATAGGAAACTCAAGATAATGTATTTGTGAAAGGTTTTTGTGGCCATAAAGGAACTGATAGACATGGGGCAGTATTATGACCCCTTCTGTTTGTGCTCTGGGATGTCCCTCCTACACAAAGAAATGTCATTTCATAATTAGACACCATCACAGACAATAGTATAAAAGTGTTTTCATAATATCATTTGTCAACAGTTTTGGAAAGTCACTGATGAGATCACTGAAGAAGGAAATAAACAAAAAATTGACTTTCACTTCTCCAAACTGAAGAGAAGGCAGGACATTGACATAAGAAGAAAATATAAAAAACTTAGATGGATGAAGCAGATGTAAGTAATGAAATTTTTATACATGTGTAAACAATATACAAATTATTGTGGAAGTTTTTAGATTTTTTTTGGAGGTTGGCTATTAATAATAAAACTGTTATATATCATTTTGTAGGTCTAATAATTATCCGCAATCATTCTGAGTTCCATAATAGGCCATTCTCCTATTACAAAAGTGCATACTTTGCTCCTTGTAAGGTCTACATTTTTTAAAAAAATTAATCTTTTAATATGAAAAATTACTCTTATACTTCTAGCACATCTAGTTATATCTGTGATTATATAATGATGAACCTATGCACACAAATGATCTTTCATTTCTTTTGAAATTTCCTATATCCTATATCCTTCAAAATTATGTGTGACCTTTATTTCATTATTGTAGTAGCATTAATTTTTATTTCTTTTATTTTCTTTTTTATTTTTCTTTTAAGGGTCTTACAGTTGTATAGGAATTTATATTTTATGTAAGTGTTATCATTGTCCTTTAAAGACTTTTCCATCCAGTTCTTCCTAGTAGAAGTATAATTAAAACAGAAGACTAATTTTTCCATACTTCAGTCATTAAATCAACAAGCATTTATTAAACAGCCACTATGTGCCAGGGACTGTGGTAGGCCCCCGTGGTACACAGATATGAGGGAAATATATAGTTCTTGCCCTCCAGGAGTTTGCATTTTAATGGGGGAAATAGTATATACTTGTGTATCTATGTAGAAAATAGATAGATATAGCACACTTAACATAGGGCCTGCTGTATAGTTGGCATGTAACTCTTAGGCAGCTAGTGGTACAGTGGATAGAGAGCTAATTGTGTGATTTTATCCCATTCTGTTTAGCAGTAAGTTATCAGAATTGTCTTGTTCCTTCCTTGTTCTCGAAGACCAATGACATCAGCAGGGCTACGTCTTGACTTGCAAGTGAATTGGATTTAAGTGAGGCAGAGCTGAGCAAAGTCATCAGGCCCACTCTCTCCTCCAGAGTCATTGGAGTCCAGTGGCAAGACATAGGTCAGGACAACTGGCGATGGCCCCAGATGCAGTGGGAGACCTTGGCATTTTTAAACTAAGGTCTTTCCCAGGTCTCAGTTTGTCTGAGGCAATGACCATTCAGTAGTTAAAGTCTAGATAAGAATTGAGGTAAAAAATGGCCTACTTTGCCTTCACAAAAGAATCAGTTGAGGGGGGGGGGGGGAAGACCTTCAGAGTTTCTGGCCTGAGGAGAAACAATTGCTATTTACACTGCTCCGGAGCCATCAAAACCAAAACATTGAGCAAGTGAGGCTTGGGCTGGGGCCTATTATTGGCCAATTAGTGAGAGCCAGAGTGGTTTGGTTTAAAGGCATAGTCAGGTAGCTCCATTTTAATGCCAGTGGCTTTATCAAAGCTTGGTTTTTCAGAGCTATATTTCAAGGAATCATAAATGAAAACTACATGGGACAAAAGAGTTGATTGAAGAGAGGAAATGGATGGTGAGAGCACTTTATGGTTCGATTTTGACAAGGTATAAACAGGGATCAAAATGGGAGCGTAGGATCTAAGAGTAGAAGAAAGCATAGAGTTGAGCTAGTTCATAAGGGGTTGACATTGGGAGGAGGAAAAAGAGGTCAGAGTAGATGCCTGAGTGATAGACAGCCTGGGAATATATTCAAGAGTTGAAGGAATGGAGGCCAGGATGAGGAAAACAAACAGGTTTAGGAGGAGTAAGGCATAAAGAGAAATAGAATGAGAGGAGGTTAGGTCAGTTAGAGGAATGTCAGGTTTTTGATTGTGGAAATGAACACTTGATGATGGCAGAGTCAAAGCTGTGTGTAGCTAAGGTTTGGGGAATTGATTAGCTCGAGGAATTGAGATGTTAGCGTGTTTGAGGAAATATTAACACGTATGTTGAAGTTCTCAATATAAAGGCAGCAACTGGGGAGAGGAAGACTAGGAGCCAAGTCCTGAGCTCCTTGAAAAAGCAAGTAATATGACCTCCATAAGGGAAGAGAGAGAAAGGGGAAGGAAAGGAAGAGGACATTTACATAGCACCTATTTTGTGCCAGGCACTGTGCTAAGGGCTTTTACAAAAATCTCATTTGATCCTCATAACAACCTTATGAGGCAAGTGATATTACTACTCTGTTTTTACTACTGTGGAAACTCAGGCAAACAAAAGTTAAATGACTTGCCCAGGGTCACACAGCTGCTAAGTATCTACGGCCAAATTTGAACTCAGATCTTCCTGACTCCAGGTGTGGTGCTCTATCCACTGTACCACCTAATTGCCAACCAGCTTATATAGCCTGCTCTTAACTACTGAGGCCAGTAGATAGTCACCAGGATCTGAATTGGGTTATAAATTTGGAGAGAATTAATCTCAAAAGAGGAGAGATCGCTGGGTAATGGCATCAGAGTTTGAAAATAATGAGGAGCAAGGAGTATTTTGCTTCCCCCACTGGAACTACTTTGTGTAGGAGGATCCAGATCTTTTTGCTAACAGAGTAATTATTTTACATCTCCATTCCTCAAATTTACTAATAGAAAACTATCACATCTCAGCTCTTAAAGATTCTTCCATTATCACTTGCCCCATCTCCTTTTGAAGTTAAGCCTTGAATCTTACTCTAAGCCTGTGAAGTATGCCTTTTTTCCCCATTATACAACAATTTCTATAGAATCCTTTTTCAATTAATTTGTCTTGTTTTTCCAGTTAAAATTTCTAACTTTTTCTTCAGCTAAAAATATATTGCTTCGTTACCTCTAAATCTATTGTTATTCAGATTTAGAATTTTTAATGTTTCTTTTTCATCTTAAGGATAATCATTAATTTCTTTAGAAAAATTTTAAAAAATTCCTGACCAGTGTACAGTTCAAATGATTTCTATATTTGCAGAAAGAAAAGCAAAGTGCAATATTTATGATGTCCTGACTGCTTAACTGCTGCTACCAATATTTAGTATTGTAGTATTCCTTGCAGAGGCAGTATGGCCAAGAAGTGAGATGGTGGGAAGTTCAAGTTCTCTGGGCTCTAGACAGCTCTTCAAAAGAGATGTGCCCTCCTGCATGGATAAAGGAATGTTCTCACCAATGAATAAGAGATCCAGTCCCTTTTCCTATCTCATAGTATTACTTACTACAAGCGATGTGAAGAAAGCTTTCAATAAGAGCTGTAGCAGGAGTATTGTCATAGGGCTTTAAAGTTTTCAAAGTGCTTGACAGATGTTAACTGATTATAATTGTTTCAAAACATGAGTTGTTCAAATGCTTTAGTATTTGAATACTAAATACCAAGTACCAAATACTAAACTATTTGAACAACCTCACTTTGATAGTTCATTGTCAGTACTCTCTTTTATCAACACAATGTACTGTTTCATACTCTCCTACAAAAAAGAAGGTACTAAACTTTTTGTGTATTATTTTCTGAGTGTTAGAAGATGATCATTCAGTAGTTAAACCTGATCTTGAGCTTATGTTTGTGTGAGGGCTGATCATTCCAAAAAGTGCTCCCAGGCATTTGTTTCTTAAATGTTTTATTGATATTATTTTTTTAAACTATCATTGTCACTTCCCAGTGACTCCCCCCAAAGAAACCTCCCATTTATAAGAAAAAAAAAGTATAGTTAAGTAAAACAAATTAATACATGTCTGAAAAGTGCATCCTTCATTTCCTACTTGCTTTACTATCGAGTATCATTGGTCATTGAAGTCATAATTGCTCACTGCATTGATCAAAGTCCCTACCCCCATGTTTTGTAATTTCTAGCTACACTGTAGTTCAGATATGGACTGAATTTTAATAGCTTTTGGGTCAGTAGGTCCCTCTTCAGATTGATTGCAGAGACTTGACTGTAGAGACCTTGTCCCAAGCATGAGAGTACTGCCAGCCTCTCCCGACATTAGAGTTGATCACATTGTTCTCCAAAACGTATAGAAAAATGTGAAATTATACTTCCTTTGCTAACTTATAATGAAGATAGTTTAAGAAATTTGCTATTGGCCCTCTAAAACATATCTCCTCTTGTTGAGCATATCCTATTCAGAAAGTGACCTAGCATTATTCTTGTATTTCATCTTAAATTGAAAATAAATACCCATGTGGAAAATAATAAGAACCAAACTTTTGGCTCAGAACTATTAGCTTCTTTATGCCATTAGCCAATATTGGATAGACGCATGGTATTTACTCATTTTGTTGTGTCATTTTTCAATTGCGTCCGACTCTCCGTGACCCCATTTGGAGTTTTCTTGGCAAAGATATTGGAGTGGTTTGCCATCTCCTTCTTCAGCTCATTTTACAGTCTTCCTAACTCCAGGCTTGGCATTCTATCCATTGTGCCACCTAGCTGCCCCATTTATGCATATGTAAGTAATATAGAATAAAAGCTACCTGTGAGATTTTAGTCAAGTCATCAACTATGTGACCTTCATATATGTAAAATGAAGATCCTTTCCACCTCTGAAATCCCCTGATTCTATTATCTAATGACTTTATTTTTCCTTGTAACCTTATGATTTAGTCAACGGTGTGCTGGAGCACCTTGGACCAGGCTTTGGTGAGCCAATTGTTAAATTTTCAGTGTAAGTATTTACACTTCAGAAATCAGCAAATAGTACAAATTAGAGCTTGATTTGTTTTGTTGATTGTCAGTTTAGACTTAAGACAGTGATGGAGAAAAAGTAAATAAAAGAGGTTAAATTTAAAAGTGTGCCATGTGTACACTTTTTTTCCCCAGAGAGCCACTTGTTAAACATTTACCAAGACACTCCTGGATTTAACTCACTGAGATATGAGGTTGAAATGTGAAGTTCAGTGATAAGTATCAGTCATATATGGATGATTGGATTGCTTTCTTTCTAGAGATCCAGCATAAGAATTTTGTCTAATATGTTAGGTCCTTAATACCACTTGTAGTTATCAGTTTTATCTGCTCATAATCATTCTGCTCATAATCAGTTTTCTTTCCTTAGGTATTATTCAGGAAGCCTGGAAACAAAGAAAGCAGATGATAGGTGTACAGATTTAATTCTTAAAGCAACAAAAGGATTGATAAAAGCAGTTGAAGAAGGTGGAATGGATTCCGTGATGGAATGGGAGGTGGATGAAATTCTGAACTGGACAAATACACTAAACTTTGAAGAGTAAGTAGATGTTGCTTTTTTTCAGGGGATGCTAGGGAGGGGATAAGCATCCAATCCTCTTTATTTCTCTCTCCCACTTTTGTCCCTCTCATTGCCACTGTGATCTTGGTACCTTAGATATAGTCCTCCCTGACACCAACATCCACGTGGCAGTGGGAGTGGCAAAAGCAGCAGAGCCAGCTACGCTGTTGGAGATCTCTACAGTGGCACTGCTGCTCATCAGACCATAGGAAATTACAAGTTTGTGACACAGTGGCAGTTGTTGCCCCCATATCTTTTTCCAACACAACCATGGCATGAGAAGAAAAAGGAAGGAAAAGACAGAGAACACAAGATAAAGGGAGAGATTTTACTAGTTTAGAAAGGATGAGGGATTTTTAGGAAAAGCTCTAATGAATAAACCTTTAAGACCCAACGCTGCCTTTCTATGGGTGCACTGACTCTTCTACCCTTAACTTCTGGATTAGATTGAGTGTAGATGAAGGGAAGGAGACTATGGAAAGGAAATAGACCAGGGATTCTCTCTGAAAGTGGAGTGAGGTCACCAAAAGATCTTGTTATGGAATTCTCCGCAGTATTTTCATTCCATCTGGGCCAGCCCTGCCCCAAATATTCTGAGGCCACATTGGCCTATAGCTCTTCCCCTTCATTCTTTCCCTATCCATTTTAGTATTGTGAAAGGCAGCTACAACTGCCTCTCTTGGGTTTCCTTCTCATGGTCACTGGATGAGGTGTTGCCAGCAATGGGACTACAGCCTATGAGGGGAAAGCCTGGGTGGAAAGGAGTCAACAACCACAATTGAACTTCAGTTCTCAGCCTCCTGAGTTCTCCCCCTTCTGCTGCGCCTAAAGGCTTGATCTGTTGCTGCCTAAGGCATTTCCTCACAAAACCGGGAGAAGCAGTAGCCTAACCCAGTGCCCTTCTGATCACTTCCTGGGTCGGGATTAGGAGGCAGTATAGACAATGGGGACTCAGTTTCCAGTAGTTACGTCCTATCTGAATTAAATTCATGCTCATATTTCACCCTTTATTTCAGTATTTTACTTCAGGATCTGTGATCACCTCAGTGTGAGTACTCCTGATACTGACAGAGATTGTAGCCCTTTTGAAAGTTGAAGTTCTTGAAGGTTCCTGAAAAGTCCATCCCTCTGAAGCCAGCCTAGCGATGAGCCTTTGTAAATTTAGCCAGCCTAGACCTCAGGAAGAAGACTTCAGCAGCCCCATGCCCAGCCTTGGAGTCATCCTCAACTCACCTGACATACCCATTCCTTTGTCAGGTCTAGTCAGTTCTGCCTCTTCAAAATCTGTCTCATCTGTCCCCTTTGCTCCACTCACATGACAGTTCAAACTTCTCACCCGGATGATTGTGATAGCCTCCTAATTATTTTTTCTGCCTACAATCTATCCCCCACACAACTTCCAAAGTAATTTTTGTAAAGGTCTGATCATATCACTCCCTACTTAATAAACTCCAGTAGTTCCCTATTACTTTTAGCTAAAAATGCAAACTCCTGTATTTAGCATCTTAAACCCTTCTCAACCTGGTTCCAGCCTTCTTTTCCAGCCTTGATAAGACATTACCTTTTTTCATGCATTCTATAATCTAACCAACCTGGCCTTTTTACTCTTCCTCATACCCAACATTCCATCTCCATGCTGATGCCCAGGCTGCCTCTTACACCTGGAATGCACTTGCTTCTCACCTCTACCTTTGAGAATCTTTAGCTGCCTTTAGAACTCAGCTTAAATGTTACTTCTTACATGAAGCTTTTCCTGTGCTTCCTCCAAAAATTACCTTATATTTGTATTATGTATGTTTACATATGTGCATGTTGCTTCCCCTAAATTATAATGCTTAACAACTCCATGAGGGCAGGAATTTAAAAAATTTTTGTCTTTGTAGAATTGGCCCTTCACACATTTCCTGACATATTATATGTGCTTAATAAATGTTTATTGATTGATTTAATAATAATAATAATTAATTATTATAATATAATATTATATATAATATTAATATAAATATTAATAACAACACCCAAAACACAAGTGCTTGAAGGGTATATTTAATAGAAGGAGGAATTAAAACTTGAAAATGGAATAAGTTGCTTTGTGAGATGATGAGGTTCCCACTCCTGGAAGTGTTCAAACAGAGACTGAATGACTCATTGTCAGGGATATCATAGTTAGATTTCATGCTAAGGCAAGAGTTGGACTAGATGAACCTTTTCAATTCTGGGATGCCATGATTCTAGAAGAGGTGGATTATTTTGCTATACCTAAAGCAAACTGTGGTCAGTCCAAAAGTCAACATGCTAAAAAATGATAATAATTCTAAGTTATTCTAAAAAAGCTGCAAATAGAAAATATTTTACTTCATCATTATTATTTTAATAACAATTTCCTGAATATTTTCATAGAATGGTCATGTATTAGGTGCTACAAAAATTTAGTTGCAGAAAACATGGATGCTTGATAAATCACATACATTCAGGAATACATATTGCTAATATGTTTTTAATCAAACAACCATCTTTTCCCTAATTTTTCTGCTTTCAAAAACTGTCAAAGGCTGGAAGGTGACGAATTCAAATGAGTTCCAGCAGATGAGCTGATTATATCAGGCTTTCCATTCTTTTTCCTGTATTGTATTTGTTTGTTTTAGATTGGGGGCATAACGATTTATGTGAGAAAGGGAGTAGAACTCAATGTGATCAGGTGTTTTTCCCTTCTAGCCAAACTTTGGAGTAAGGAGTCCAAGACTGTTTCTAAAGACAATGCAAAGTGTATGCCACAAATTAATTACTTGGCTTAATTATGTTTATTTGCTATAAGGACTTATTTTTCCTTTGTAAGTGGGGTAGGAAGGTAAGCAGAGATTTAGGGAGAAAAGTGAAGCATATGATAGAGCTGTCAAAAAAAAAAGAAAAGAAAGAGGGTCATTGAAGCATGTTTTTAAAATGCACAAAGGTCAGAAGGAAGTTCAGAAAGAAACACTGGCTAGCAGGGCAATTTTGAAATTAACATATTAAATTTATTATATATGTAGTTTTTAAAGCAAGCTTTACATAATAGAGATTTGCAAAATCACTTGAAATCTTTTTCTGTTCTACTTTATATATGGAAATGTTCTTTTTTGGTGTTCATTAAATTAAGAAATGAAAGAATAAAACAAATATTAGGAGTGTTATAACACTGAAAAAAAGTCTCCATTTAGAAGAGGCATTAGATGCTTTAGAATATTTTTTTATATTTTAAAAATTTATTTTGATTTATCAGCAATCACTTCCATATGCTTTTCAGTTTAAAATTTTTCTCCCTCTTCCTCCCCACCACAGCTCACAATCTGATATAGGCTATACATATACATTCCTATTAAACATATTTTCACATAAGTGAGGTTGTAAGTAAAAATTAGAACCAATAGGAGGAACCACCAGAAAGAGGAAACAAAACTCAACAGAAGAGAAAAAAAATACCAAATAGTATGCTTCGATCTGCATTCAAATTCCATAGTTCTTTCTTTGGATGTGGATAGCATTTTCCATCACAAGGCCTCTGGAGATGTCTTAGATCCTTGTATTGCCAGGAAGGGTTAAGTTTATCAGTATTAGTCATCACACAACGTGGCTGTTATTGTGTACAATATTCTCTTGGTTCTGCTCATTTCACTCAGCATCAGACCATACAAGTCTTTCCAGGTTTTTCTGAAGTCAGCCTGTTCATTAGAATATTTTTTAAACCAATAATCTACCTTGTTCCAACAAGCTTAATGGTAACCTAATACCTCTCAGAATGTTTTTTGTGGGAAGGAAGAGAATGCTACCAGGAATTTTGCTATTTGCGTATAGAAGAGGTTCCCACTACAGCTGTTCACTTTCCTATTTCATAGATCCCTGAGTTCTTATTAATAATACCTAGCATAACAATGATTACTACAAACAGATGATCCTTTGAAATTTTTTTTTTCAAGAGGTTTTTTCTTCCTGTGATCCTGTGGTAACAGTTTCTGAGTGGTAGGTACAAAGCAAAAGACCACCAAGTAAGATAGTATAGTTAGAATAGAGAGTGTATGAAGGAGAATAATGCAAAAGAAAATGGGAAAGACAGGAAGGGCTCAGGTCATGAAGGTCTTTAAATACCAAGAGATGTCTGTATTTGATCCTAGAGGTAATTAAGGAGCCTTTAGAATTTACTGAGTAGGAAGGAGAGTCAGTAAGCTTCAAATACTTGTTTTGTGCCAGACAGATGCAAAGCATTGGGGATACAAAGGCTAAAACATGGTGCCTGCTCTCAAGAAGCTCACACTCTAAGATCTGTTCTAGGAATTTCAGCTGGGCAGCTATGTGGAGGAAGGGTTAAAGTGGAGAGTGAATTGGGGCAGGGAGAACAAATTAGGAGGCTATTGCAGTAGTTGAGGAGAGATGTAATGAGGGACTGAACTGAGATGATAGCTATATAAGTGGAGAGGAGGGCAACTATATCAAGGAATGTGGAGGGAAAAAAAGGACAAGATTTAGTAACAATGCATATTTGGGATGAATTAGAGTGAGAAGTCAAGAATGATGCTGATAGTATTGAACCTAAGTGATGGGAAGGATGTTGGTGCCCTCAACAGTAATAGAAATACAAGTAATATTTGTTTCTTCATTAATTTATTTTCCTAAATATATGTTATTGTGTGCCTAGGTATGTCAACAACTGGAAAAGCATTGCTACAAGCAACTCTTCCGCTAACATTCATGGTAAGCCATTTTAAGGATAGATGTGATGAACTATTGTGACTAGAGTTAGTTTCAAAATGTTGAGAAGTTTATATTGTAAAGTGAGACTTAAACTATTATAGAACTTGATATAGAAGTTATTTTGTGAGACTCAAGACTGTAAACAAAATTGCTTTTGAAAGTGGTAAAAGAAGTTAAGAAAAGAACTAGAATCTAATGGGGTGCCTTAACTTTTTTTATCCTTTTTAAGTCCCTCTTCAGAATCAACAAGTTTGTTTGCTTGTGACTGTTCCCTCTCTAGTATTATCCTTCCTCTTAGTATGTTTCCCTCCCCCTCACCTGACCTCCCGCCAATCCCCAATCCCTACTGGCTTTCCAGTCATTTGATGTTTGTTAAGTTTGATGTATTTCTACATCAAACTATTTGTGTTTGTGTGTGTATTCAACACTTCTTTGTCTATTTCAGATAAAAGTGAATTTCATTTGACAGCAACTCCTATCCTTTCTTCCACGTTTGTATGCTTTTTTAGGATGTAACCCAATTATGCAGGGCAGCTAGGTGGTACAATGGATAGAGTGCTGGCCCTGGAGTGAGGAATACTCATCATCTTCCTGAGTTCAAATCTAGCCTCAGACACTTAGCTGTGTGACCCTAGACAAGTCACTTAACCCTATTTGCCTCAGTTTCCTCATCTGTAAAATGAGCTGGAGTAGCAAATATCAAACTACTCCAGTATCTTTGCCAAGAAAATCCCAAATGGGGTCACGAAAAGTCAGACAGGATTGAACAGCAACAAACCCAATTTTGAAGTTCCACCTCTTCTTCCTCCTCTCTTCTGTGTTGTCTTTTGTCCTTGGGTCCTTTCTTCCTCCTTTCTTGTTTGTCTCTTCAAATTCCCAAAACTGAACCAGTCCACCCGCAGGATCTGTTTTCTTTTTTAACTCCCCCAATACCCTGTGAAGACATTAAGGTTCTGAAAGACCCTTTGTTTCTTCTGTCTTTTTAGGATGTGATCACTGCATCGTTATTCAGCTCCTTCCAGTTACACAAATACATTTACCTTTCTAAGTTTCTCTGGCCTCTTGGGGTTTTATTTTAGAGTTCCTATTCAGCTCTGGTCTTTTCATCAAAAATGTTTGAAACTCCTCTATTCTATTAAAGATTCATTTTCCCTCCATAGGGATTATACTTTGTTGTAAGCTCATATATTTCACCCTTTGGAATACTGTATTCTAAGATTTCTCGTTTACTTATGTAAACTTGTTCACTTTGTGTGGTTCCTAGGCATTTGAACTCCTTTCTGGATGCTTGCATTATTTTTTCCTTGCTATGGGAACTCTGGATTTTGACTATGATATTCTTAGGGGTGGGGAGAAGGAGGCTTTTCCTTTTGGGGTTCTTTTCAGGCAATGATCAGTAGATTCTATTTTTTATTTTGCCCTTTGGTTCTAGTAGATATTGATAGTTTTTGTTTATGATTTCTTGAAATATAATGTCCAGGCTTTTTTTTTTCAAACTCTTGGTTTTCCAGCAGTCCAGTGACTCTTTAGTTATTTCTTCTTGACCTGTTCCCCAGGCCAGTTGTTTTCTTTGTATCAGTTATCTTATATTTTCTTCTATTATTTTTAATTTTTTCCCCTAATATTCTTTGCTATCTCATGGCATCATTAACTTCTGTTTGGTCTATTTTAATTTTCAGGGAGTCTAATCTGTAAGATGTTTATCACTTTCTCTTCTAAGCTACTTATTTTCCTTCCAGTTCTTTCCTCCAGAGCTTTAATTTGTCTCTTCATTTCTTCTAGGTGTTCATGTAATCCATAGGTTCCCAAAGTGGGATACTGTCCCCTGTGGGGTGCTGGAACAATGTGGGGATGGTAGTACCTCGGGTGCAATTGTGGGGTGTTGAATAAAAATAAGGTTTAACCTGACCTAACACCAGGGGGGCACTGAGTAATTTTTTAAAAAAGGAGACAGTAGGCCAAATAAGTTTTAGAACCTCGTTTTTCTTTTGTGTCTCTGCTTTCAGTTGTCATGGAGTTGCTTCTTTGGGGAGATCTCTAGATTTGCAAAAAATTTTTATACTGCTGTTTTCTTTGAGTTACTCATATCTCCAGTTTTAGTTTCTAAATTGGGACTGTGCCAGGGCCAGACTCTGCCCCCTGCTCTGCTTTAGCTTGGTCTCACCCTGAGTCCTCTGGGGTCCTGTGCTGACCTCTGCCTCCCAATATTGACCCCCTCTACCCCAGATTTTTAGTTTCATCATGCTGGATGTTCAGAGCCATTGCAGGACAAAATGTTAGGGACCTGAAAGTTCCTGGACCTGGGGCACAATGGTCTGAGTTCTATTGCAACATACTGGTTGCTGGTCACTGACATTCCCTGAGGCTTCCAAGGACTTTCTGACCATTTTGGAATTTTCTCAGGGAGCCTTCCACTTTTGTTGCCAGTAGACACAGAGCATTTCAGGCCACATGTGTGTTGTCTCTGATTACCCTGCGGAAGCTACCCTGTGTTGGCACTGACTCTGCTGGATGGGCCTTCTTTCCCATTGCTTGTGGACTTCTTTTTTGTGTAGTTCAGGGGTGGGAAAAGTCACTATAGTCTCTCACTGGATTTTTTTAATCATTATTTTGTTTGGGGTAAATTTCAGGACTATTGCTGGAGTAGGAACATGGGAACTAGACGGCCTGACTCTCATTCAGGGAGCCATCCTGGCAGAAGTGCACAGTATGTTTTAAAGTCCAAGAGTGCAGGATTACTTCCATCATTTTTTTTCAGTAGGTTCCTTAATATTCTTGTCCACTTTTTTTTTTTTAATGTATGTATCAAGGGACATAAGGGAAATCCCTGATTTCCTGGACCTTCCATGGAGCTGAAGATGGACTTGGGCTCATTGTTGATGGATATGCAACTTCAGGATACTACAAATTCATGTGATCTAATCACAGCTGTGTCTTCACCACTGCACCTGCAGCCCTTTCATTTCTATGTGATTGATTTTCTCTTATAGTCCCAGGAGCAGCTGTTATAAATTCTAGACTCCAATGACTTTTCTTAGATTTCCTTGTCTCCTATTTAAGAAAATTGAGGCCCTCTGTCTCAGCCTACTGTACGTCTCTTTTATTCTGTAACTCATTTTCCATCTTCTCTTGCTTTAGTAGAGTATGAGGAAGAGTTTGCTCTTCTCATTGTTAGGTTTAGCTCCTCTATTTGTGCCCTTGATCTCATCAGCTTCTGTTTCCTTTAGGACTTTGCCTCATCATGCCATCTCATCCTGATTATTCCTTTCTCGTTTACCCCTCCCTTTCATTCCCTACTACCTATAAACACTCTCAGGTCCTACTCACCCTTAAGAATATCTCCTTTCACTCTGCCATCCCCTCAAGCTGCCACCTTCCTCTTTTCATTTCACTGCATTATTCCTAAATGGAATCCCCTACACTTCCTGCCTCCCTTTCCTTATCACCTGTTTACTTCCCAATTCCTGGCAATCTGGCTTTTGACTTGACCACCCCACTGAAATTGCTTTCCTTAAAATTACTAATAATGTCTTAGCTACTAAATCCACTGTCTCCCTTGATCTTCTGTGTTCCTGTGGATTCAAATATTATGTCTTATATCCAGTCTTATCCTCTCACCTAAACTCCAATCATGCATCAACAATTGCCTGCTGGATGTTTTGTAAATATCTCAAACTCAGTCTGTGCAGAATGTAATTTATCTCTCCCTCTATTTTTCCTCCAAATTTCCCTTTTGTTGTTGAAGGCATCACCATACTCCCAGTCACCTAGGTTTGTAACCTTGGAGTCAATTTTGACTGTTCTTTCTCCTTTTGCTTAAAGGTTGTCCTAATCTCCTTGTTAGTGCCATCTTGTTCCTCCTCAAATTATCATGTATGTACTTATTTGTTTACATGTTGTATTTCCCCAGTAGAATATAAGCTCCTTAAAGGGAATGTTTTTAATCTTGTCTCTGTATTGAGTGCCTTGCACATCATTGGAACTTAATATGAATTGGATCTAGTCAATTGCCAAATCTTGTCAGTTTACCTCTATAGTAGCAATCACATTAGGTCCCCTTGTCTCCATAGCCCCTACCCTAATTCAGACCCTCAGCACCTCTCAGACTATTAGTTGATTAGTCTCATTCTTTTCAGTCTTTCTCTAATTCATTCTCCACATATTTGCTAAAATAAGCTTCCTAAAGCATAAGAATGTCACTTATGTTAAAAAATCTTCAATGCTGTCATCTCATTGCCTCTAGAATAAAATATGAATTTATTAGCCTGGCATTCAAAGCCCTTTATAATCGGACTCTTTTCTGTCTTTCCAGTCTTGTTTCATACTACTCCCCTTCACATATTCTGTGTTCCATCCAAATTAGACTAGTGTCTCCCAAATCTTACTCTCCCCATCTTTTGCGGAGTGCATTCACAAAGCCTGTTCTCCTTGCCTAGAATGTACTTTCTAATGATTTCTGTCTCTCAGAATAATTCTTTCATTCCTTCAAGGCTTGGCTCAGGTACAGTTCCTCTGGAAAGCCTCTTCTCAGTGGTTTATCATTTTTCTCTTTTTTAACTATTCCTTTTGTATACATATTTTGAATGCTACCTCCCCAATGGAATGTAAGCTTCTTGAAGGGAGGGTGAATGAGGAAAATATGAGAAAAAACAAATTGATTATGGAGTTGGTATATAAACTGATTTTAATTTTTAGTAGCATATCTAAGTAAAAATATTCTGTAGACATGTTTAAATATGAAATTAGAGATCCATTCAGTGGGTCAGAACTGACTAGATATGTAGATTAAATAATTGGTCAGCAAAGAAATAATAATTGAAGCTAAATGAGTCCTTTAGGGAAATAAGCAGAGAAGTCAAAGGACTGACAATTGAGAAAGGCTAATAGTTGGAAGAAAGAGGATGCTTCCAAGGAGCTCCCAGAAAAGCTGAATGAAACCCATAGGAAACATTTTTAAGCAGGTAGTGATTCTTCAGTGGAAACACTACAGAGAGAGGTCAAAGGGAATGAGGATTTGTGAAAAGTCTGCTGAAATACCTGTGAAAAAGCATTTACTAAGTACTTACTAAATGCGAGGGACTATACCAAGTGTAGGAGATAAAAGTATTTTAAAGAGAGATCATCCTTACACCCAAAAAGCTTACATTCTAAAAGAGGAGGACAACAAAATGATTAGGATGGAATACTTTGTTCTTGGAAGGTGGTGAGTACATGGGCTCGCAGGAAGGTAAAATATCTTCTTATTTCTGCTCTGATACTTTAAACAAAATTTTGCATTTTTGTGGGTGATTTCACTGCTTAAAATGCCCCACTTCCCCCCCAGCATAATGCTGAAGTGCCATCTAGTGTTCTAAGCACAAGAAGGCTGTGATATGCCATACAAAGAAAACATGTGTTAGATGAGCTTTGTTCAGGCATGAGTTATAGTGCTGTTGGCCAGGATTCAATGTTAATGAATCAACAATAGGCTACATCCAGAAAAAATGAAGAGGAAACTGACATATAATTTTTGTAAGAAATGTATATTTAAAAAAATGTCTTTGAACAGAAACATATAAAACAAGGCTACATGTTGATCTACTGACAAAAATATTGTGACCAGAGGCTTGCAAGAACCTAACCCTGTATTTCTTCTAGGAACAATGGTTCAGGATTCACTAATTCATTGTTCATGTTACATTACAGAACAAAACTACTGTGAATGAGGACTATTTATTAACTTTATATTTATACTGTATATATTTTTATATGTACTTGTTTCCTTCATTAAACTGTAGGCTCACTGCAAATAGGGATTGTTTCATTCTTTGCACTTGAATATCCAAAGTCTAAAAATGCCTAGCACTTAACAGTTATTTAAATATTTATTGATGGATTGAAATTTTCCATGAAGATGGGAATTTTTCACAGTAATGGAAGGAAGGAAAGAACCAGTAGAGAGATGACACTGAAAATGTTAAGAGATGGAAGGAATGAATATGTGATCAAGAATCTTGAGGAGATAACAAGTGATGGCATCTAGAACCAACTGCTAGGAACTGATTTTGAAGTAGAGTAGTAGTATTAGTAGTAGTAGATTTTGAAGTAGATTTAGAAGAATTATAGAAGAAACATCCCTCCCTCAGAAAGTAATTATTGATGAAGACCGAAAAAATAACTTATTGAAATGAAAAGGGGGGAGCTGAGTTCTTTTGATAGCAGTGAAGATACAAGTTCCTCTCTACTTAGGGTGGAGATGAGAGACTTGAGAAAGTTGCATATCTGGTGTTGTGTGGATGGTCTCGATCATCAATCTCTCTCTACAATTTGAACCACTGACCATATAAAATTTTTTCTTTAGGTTTCAGGTTTGGGACAATATGGAATCCAGTATCTAAATTAGACTTTTCTCCTGCTGGCCTGGAACAAATGAAAAAGGAAGAAAAATTGAAGAAAGCAGCAGAAAATTCATAGCTACTTGCAAGAGACCTCTGATGTGTCATGTCCTTCCATATGTTCTTCTTTGATTTTCTGCACACATCAGTTATACCTCAGATGTCTGTTTGCCTTATTCTTTAAGCAGTAATCTGCATACTCATACACATCATACATAGGATATAGCCTTTTAGGCAATACAGTTTAAATAGAAATAGAACATTATACTTAATGTAGTAACTGTGCCATAAAGAAATTAGCCTTGTTACTATATCTTTAACAATCACAACTCATTAAAGATTATTTTAATACTGGAATGTGAAAATGTACATTTGGCTATTAATGGGAAGAGACAATGGTTTGTGGGGATGGTAGGGTCTAGAGAGTGTTTTCAGAATGGCAATGACTAGGGCATGTTTGTGGGTAGCAGGGTGAGACTAGGATTAGAGGGAGAGAGGGGGTAACTCGGTGGCACAGTGGATGGAACACCAGCCATGGAGTCAGGAGGATCTGAGTTCAAATGTGGCCTCAGACACAAAATACTCACTAGCTGTGTGACTCTGGGCAAGTCACTTAACCGCAATTGTCTCACAAAAAAAAAAGAAAAAGATTAGAGGAAGGGGCCATTGTGGGAACAATCCAGTTGGACATATATGGGAGGAAACAGGATCAAGGTAAGAGGAAACAAAAAACCATACCATCAGCAAACTGGCCAAGAAGACCCACCCAAGTGCTAAAAGATTGATTCATAGTTTTAAAAATGAAGATACTAGAGAGCTAAGATATTACATTAGACAATTCCCTAGTTATGAAGGAAAATAAAACCCCAAAGTTATACATAACTTTTAACCTGAGATTCTATAGACATTAACAAAACCATATTGCTAATATAAAATTACCACTCTGAAATCCAGTGTATGAGTTTTTAATATTGTTTTATAGTTCTATTTTTATTGAAATGGTCTGTTGTATATTTTACATCAATGTGTTAAGTAACAATAATTCTACAGAAATACACAATTTCATTAACATGCAACTAGAATTTTAATTATACATTTCTCTACATTCAAAATCAGCAGACTTTGTTAATAAAGTTTTATAGCAGACTGACTTATGGAAGTAAAAAGAGTAGCCCTTTAAATACATGTGAAAATTCATTTCATTACCAAATTTAAATTTTTTTTAAATCCTCAGAATTTTTTAGTGCACATATTTCAAGAGAGCAAATACATAATTTAACTGAATAACTTTTCTCACAAGAGATATAAAAAACTTATGGCTTTGCACTTTTTTCTTCACCTATTAATCGTGATTTCTCTTTTAATTTATACATTTTTGTTGAGAATGAGCCCACCAAAACCACAGGCCCTTTAAGGGACTAGTAACGCTCCTTAAACCCCCCTAAACGGTCCTTTTCTTTGGCTAGGTTCTGCCTCTACTATTCCAGACCCCTTCCTCTTGCTTATCTGCCCCCCTTCAAAAAACTGAGAAGCATGATATAACCACCTGTAGAAAAACCCTTCCCAATCTTAATATCTTGTTTCCACTGATACAGTATTCTTGGTATGTGCACTTGCTATGCCTCATTTATGAATGTAAACTGAATACTATTGTACCACGGGAAAAGGCAAAATGAAGAATTCAGAAAAACTTGGGAAGAAAAACTGAAAGCAAAGTAGAAGCAAGAGAATATTTTTCACGACCATAACAACATAAATGAAAACAAGACTAAAATACATCAGAACTCATGCAATGATTTATCTGGACTTCAGAACACTGATGGTAAAACACACAGAAGCATGGAAAAGGTGCTTCTTTTCTCTCAAAAAAGAGGGTGCAGTGTGAAATGTGCTTTGTCAACCACTGTTCATGTGTTGGTTTATTTTGTTTAACTATCTTTATTACATTGGAGACTTCTGTGGGGGTGGGGACATTTGTGAAATGTTTTTTTAAATGACCTTAAAAATATAAATTATATTTTCTTCCCTATATTGAGCTAAAATCTATCATTCTATAATTTCATCTATTGGTCCTAGCAAAAGAGCAAATCTCACCCTGCATACATATTCTAACCCTTTGATTCTCTCAAGATGGCTATTATATCCCTGACATGATTTTTCAGTGTTCTCACTATCCTTGCTATCCTTCCTCTAGATATGCCAAATGTTGTATTTATTTAATGTATTAACGGCAAGTGAAGAGAAAAAAATAGTCTATGTGCTTCTTCCATCATTCTTCCAAATGAATCATTCAATAAGGCTAGTTATCAGAATCTAAAATTATAATCACTAGATTCAAAACACTTAACAGTTGCCTGTACTTAAATAAATCATTTATTTCAACAAAGAACTCTCTAAGATTGGTTTAGAAGTATATTACATTTGGCATCCCTATTTCCAACCAAAGTACCAAGATACCTTGGTACCAGGATTCCTCAGGACTATTACATAACATCTTTGGACTATCTTTTTAATGGAAAAAAAATCATACTATTATCTAAGTTTACATCATCATTATTATTAGCTAACAGCTTATTAGCTATTCAGTCAATTTCAAGGCAAACTTTTGGGGGAAAAAAGGGGAACTACAATTTCAATTCTGATTTTCACATGCCAAAGATCATACCCAAGCTTTCCATCCAGGAAAAAGTCGGCTGAGATTTTTGGGATCCATTGCTTGTTGGATGAGCAAATTCACTTGTCCACCCACGCTGAGCACTGTTCCTTCCTCTACCCCTTTTAGCTTCTCCTGTAGCCTCATTAGAACACGTTCAGCCACTTTGTTGAAACTCTGGTCAATACGACTAGTGACAAAAAAGGAAATTTCACTATGAGAGTGCAGTTTCAAAAGCCTTGGGAATTTAAAAATAACCTAAGTATGCCTTTCATTCAGATATTACTCACCCAAGACTTCTGTTACATTCTTGATCTTCTGTATTGAGAGTAGAAGTAAGTTCAGTCTCATCCTCTGGCCTCTGCTGTAAATACAAAGCTTTCAAGGGGTTCATGGTCCAGTCAAAGAGAGGATCATAGAGCAGGACCTAAATGTAAGGAGTATATGCCTATATTCAGAAATGGCTAAGGCAGATAACATGAAAGGAACATAGGCCTGACCACCATTATGAAAAGACACAGTAGGTAGTGATCTAAGAAATGAAAGTATTCAGTTATATATTAAACATTACATTAATGTATATAATCCTAAAGCAATGCAAAAAAGTTTAATAATAACATCTGAGCTGACTGGTGATCAACACCAATGCTATCCTAAATAGGAGTAGTGATAATCAGGGCATTCATCTCCATCTGAATCACCACAGTCCACCAGGATGTTATTCTATGGGAAAAGGAAGAGAACCAATAAAGACTGCCTTACAAGTTTACTGCTTGAAAACATTTACCTCAACAATGGTTAAAAGAGTTTCCTGAGAATTTCTCATAACTTCCATAGTTTTCTCACAGCACCTGTAAGAGTCAAACAGAAATCATAAACAAACAAAACAGTGACGTTCTGTCTCTCCACCTCTGCACCCTTATGGCAGTTGAGAATGACTGACGCTCTCCTGTCTTTGTATGACTTGGCCTCCCCTGGCCTGGATGCTCTCTCTCTCTCTCACTCTTGAGTCTCCTCTGTTCCCTTTCCCACCACCTTCCCCTCTGCAGAAACAAGAGGGAAGAAGCTGCAGAGGACTTGTTTTCTTTTTCTTTTCTTTTTTATAGGGTGCTTTGGCCAAAGAATTCATCATCAATGGCCAAGCTATTGTAGGTAAGGAGCCTCTGGATACCTTGCTAAAGTGGTCCTCAGAAAGCGGAATGCATCTGTTGCCAGCCCAGTACCACGTTCAAAATTTTCTCAATGTAGAATCTGCCACAAATTAACTCTGCTGGCACAGCCTTTAAAACCCCCAAGTTGCTGCCATGCCTCAATGAGACACTGGAGTAGGTCTTTGCGAGGCCACTTCCACACTAGAGGTTTGGTTAGGCTGGGTGAACAAGGTATGAGATAGACGACAGTTGCACAGAAAAACAGAGAGAGTTCAAAAATGTTCGACAAAGGCTGCGATAGCTTTGGTATCATTCCTCAGATTCTTGATCCCAGTTACCTTCTAGTTGATCAGTCTACATTAACTGTTTACCTTTGCTTGAAATGTTCTGCCTTTGCCTCTTGGATTCCCTAGCTCCCTTCAGCTCAAATGCCAAGTGCTCTATTTCCTATAGGAGGCCTTTCCTGATCATTCCTCTTCCACTCCAAGTTGAGGCTCCTTCCCCTCAATAAAACCACTCTGTAATTTTCTAGCATTCCCTTATTTGTACACATGTTGTTTCCCTCTGGTAGCACACAAGTACTGGAGAACAGGTGTCCCTAGCACCTGTCACACAGCAGGTGCTTAATTAATGCTTGCTGAATTGAACTGAAACCATTTTTGTTAATGATTTAATTTATCTATCACTTATAATGAAGAAAAACCTTCCAAACAACTTCAGTTACTCAAAAAAAACCCTGTACCTTCTGAAGACACCTTCCACACCAGTGATACCCATTCCATCCACAATATCTCTGGTTAGTCTAAAAGGAACTGTTTCTGGGGTAGGAAGAATCTTCCCTTGTTCAAATGCAACCCCTAAAAGAAAAATGACAAGATTAAAAACAATGCTTATGACAACCAAAGGTTTTTGTATTTTATTACTTACCTAAATCTATATGTACAAGCTCTGCTGATTGCTCATTAATCAAGATATTCTGTACATGCCGATCACCAAGTCCAAGTATATAACCAACTGAGGAGAAAAAAATGGCAATTAAAAATACTACATGTTATCTATTCCTCTTATTTCTTAAATCAAAATGCCATCAATATTTCTTACTACTAGAGACCTTAGATCTTTCTTTTATTTTGAATATTTCACAGGAAATAATATATACAACGGTGCTATCAAATCTTGCTAGTTGTCTCCAAGTATTTTGTGTTCTAGAAATCCTAGGGGCACTTTGCTATGCGTGTGAAGAATTCAAAGAAATGAGGTAAAGCTTGTATGAAGAATAAAGCTTTTATGAACATGAAGCAAACACAGCAAAAATTACAATATACTCAAAGACAGCAATTATGTAGAAGAAAATTTAAACAGCTAAAAAAAACTCAAGTCAAATACCACAGATAATACGGGTACTAATTTGTTAAAGCTAAAACATACACTCTTCCTTCCTTTTAACAAATTACAAAAGTGTAAAGTCACATGTCCTCTATCAGTTGCTATTACATTTTAATGTTATTTTGCTTGGCTGTTTCAGGAAATGTACATTGTGAGTAATGTGTGAATGTCTAGTCTGTATCAAAATGAAATTTCTCACTAAAAATAGTTTCTCGTGCCTTAAGATGACTTCATTTCCATATATGTATTTTACAAATAAACTCAACTTGGGGCAGCTAACTTGGGGCTTGGCACAGTGTACAGAGCCCAGGCCCTGCAGTCAGGAGGACCCGAGTTTAATTCCGGCCTCAAACACGTAACACTCACTAGCTGTGGGACTCTGGGCAAGTCACTTAACCCCAATCGCCTCACAAAAAATTAAAAAAATAAACAAATAAACTCAACTTACACCTGAGTAGGGCAAATTTGAGCAGCTTGAGTTGAGATACATTCCTAAGGACTCAGACCCCTGTGACAGGAAAGGAGGAAGGAAGGACTGCACCAAGTGCTTTACAAACATCTCATTTTACCCTCACAACAACTGTATGAAATACGTGTTATTACTATCTCCACTTTCCAGCTGAGGAAAATTGAGGTAAACAGATGTTAAGTGACTTCTCTAGGATCATACAGTATTAAGTGTCCTCCTGACTCCAGGCCTAGCTTTCCATCTAATGTGCTACAGAGTTCCCTTTAGGAAATTAAATACTCCCTTACTTTGAAAAACTAATCTAAATGGTTCAAATGACCATTACCATGGGTAAAAGTCTCAGTTCATACTAATTATATAACAAGGAGAAATATTACTTCTGTATGTTTTTAAGATATCAGGAAAAATTAGGCCAAAAGTGTGGTATGTCTTAAAATGCAGAGTTGTTAGGATGGGTTGTCTGCTCAATTTTAAATTCATACTATACACTCTGGTCATTCAGAAGGAAATAAAAATATTATGTATGGAACACCAGACACTAAGATATGCATCACTGCTTCAGCCCCCAAACTGAAAACCTGCTGCCAAACACAAAATATTCTTGCACTAACAATGTAGTATGAAATTTTTTTTTATGTAAGCCTCAAGAGTTTTAAAATTATCTTTTAAATATGGTTGAGTTTTTTTGGCTAGGGTAGGGTTTTAGGGGGTAGGTAGGTGGGGAGAAGAGGGGTTCGGACTTGTGAGTTCATCAGTGTAAGGAACTTCCAGTATAGAAATTAAACTTTTTCCACCAATGCAAATCAGCAACTCATTTGCAATTTAAAATCTTTGGGAAGTGCCTAGGACATTGAAAAATTGAGTTACTTGCCCATGGTCATACAGCAAGTATGAGTACAAGGTAGGACTTGAACCCAGGACTTCCTGATTTCAAGGCCAGTTCTCTACTAGATATATGCTTTCTCATTCTATCTGATACGCAGAAAATAATAAATTGAATAGACAATTAATGGACATGTTTCTATATGAAATAAATAACTACCACCAAGCCTATTCTCCTACCTACTGGTCAGAGGTTAATGGTCAACTGCTTGCAAAACATGACAAGTTTTATTCAGGGCTGGGCAGATTTTCTCCTGAAATGGGTCCAAAGGGCATACTCTTGTACCTCATGTAGTGGGAAAAACAAACAGGCTACGAAAAATCTTTGTCAAATAATGCAGATAAGATATATTTCTCCACAATCACAGCTTGTCAAGGGAAAAAGAACTCATCGCATTTAAAACAGCTAAAGTTGTTAAGTATTTAAAAGATTACCGATAGAAGAAGTAGCTACACTGCGAGTATATGCCAACCGTTTTTCAAACCAAACTGCTGGGTCCAAGAATTTTTCCATGCAAAAGTAGCGGAAGACTGGCTGAAAGTTTTGGCAGACATCCATGAAGGCTTCATACTTTTCTTCAAAAGATTTCTTCTGCATGTCCTTTAAGTAAAATGCCAAAACATTACTACTGAAAAAAAAAATGCATCGAGTCTTACCATGGGCATTTGTTGTCACTGTTGTTTTTCAGTTGCGTCACACTCTTCTGGGGTTTTCTTGGCAAAGATATTTCCTATTTGCTATTTGTTTCTCCAGTTCATTTTACAGATGAGGAAACTGAAGCAAACAGGGTTTAAGTGACTTGCCCAGGGTTACACAGCTGGTAATTATCTGAGCCTGCGTTTGAACTCAGTTCTTCCTGACCCTAGGTCTGGCACTCTAATTTGCCACCTAGCTGCCCCTGCAGGCACAGGACACAACTAGGCCTGAGAGTGGGGAGGATAATCCAAATCAGAAAGCCTTACAAGCAATTATATTTTTCTACAATTATTGTATTTGAAAATTAAGCTACTCATAGCAATAGTTACTGCTATGAGTGTGACTGAAAAGATGGCACTGGACATACAATCAGAAGTCCCACATTTAAAACCAGACTCCAACTACATAACTGTGGACAAGTCAGACTGTCTCTGAACTAATCCTGGAATAAGCAGACAAATGCAGGTCCTAATACACAACAGGGCTCTTTCCACTAGGCCATAAGATTGCTTCTGTGCACTAAAGTATCTCACAGAATTTTTACAGGAGAGAGCAGTACAAACTGTGAAGCACCAAAGAAATAAAAATAAAAACTACTGTCATTTTAACCAAGAGTCACTTCCAGCAAAGCCTGGCCCCTTTGTTCTAGTGGCTGCAGCCAAGGGAGAGGTCTGCTTCCAGTATTTTCCCCCCTCAAAATTCTTAAGACAGAAACACCTCACTCCTGATGAATGTACTAGAGCTCTTCATTTCTGAATATAATACTGCCAACCCACCATCAGCAGGGTATACATTTTGAGTTGTTTTCTAATAATGGTGATCCAGGTTTAGTGCAGGATGGCATAGCAGGAAAAAACAAAGGACTTGAGGTCAAGCTCTGTCACTTACTGGGGTGTGTGACTTTGAACTAATCACTCAACTCTCTAAGTGTTTGGGTTCTTTGTAACTTAGTCCCTTTTGAGAAAATTTGTAATGCTATCATCAACAATAGGCAGCCTTTAACTTTATGAAGAGATTTACTCATATATCTCATTTGGTCTTAATCATAATACTATGGAGTCAGTATCATGAATATTAACATCCTCATTTTACAGAAGAGGAAAATGAGGCTTAAAGCTGAGAAGAGTCAGAGATGTGATTTGACCCAGATCTTCCAAGTCTAGCACATTTTCATTCCATTCCATTCCATTTTCCATTACTGTCAGAAGAGATAAAACTAACCAGCTTATGTTAGGTTAGAACTTGTATCATATGTCATATCATGAAAATTATAGTTACACTGAAAAATACCCTATTGTGACGAACTTTCACACAACTGTGTTGCATTAAAAGCTAGAAACAAAGAAGCTCTTAAAATGAACAAAGGCAATTTTAGAAAAAAAAACTAATTGGCCAGAACTTTCCAAAAATTCTAAGTTAAATAAGCAAAAGATTACAAGATTTCCTTTAGTATATATTTAAACTACTTAGGAGGAAAATGGTTTTATACATTAACAAGTTATATGTTACCAGTTCTATTTACAAATAGCCTCCAGTTTACAGCATCAGTTGTTGTTTCCTACATGGAAAGGTGCCTACTCTTTGCTAGAGTCATCAAATCACAGAATCTGAGCCTGTATGTTCAACTGCTTAATGTGCTTCATCACACACATATAAACACAAATATACATGTGTACATATGTATATAACTACACATATCTTTATAAATAGATCTTAATACATATCAGAAACAGATAATTTAGAACAATTTCCTTCCTACCTTCTCCCCACTCCCGTACTCAATAACAAGACATGCTCAGAAACAAGAGACTTCTTAATAAGCCTCTAATGTACGCCAAGCCTAGCTTTCCATTCTTTTCCCCCGGTCCCCATTTCTTTAGAATTAGAAAAACCTGTGAAATAAATTAGTCCATAAATATGAAGTTCGACTTGCCTCATCATTACTGAAGAGTATTGCTACACTTCTGATGGAAAACTTTAGTATTCAAGCATGGCCCCAAAGAAGAGATATGAGAAGATACCTCTAATCCCACTCCTTTGCAGAGGGGAGAGGGCCATAGATGTGGAACAACGCATTTATTTTCAGACTTTTAAAAATGTATTTATAGGTCTTGCTGATTCTTCCTCTTTTTTCATTTTTTTTCCTTAAAAAATATTTGTTATATGAGATGGCTTTCTAGGAGGTGGAGGTAGAGGAATACTGGGAGAAATTTTGGCGATATAAAAACAAAAGATCAGTAAAAGTTTATTTTAAAAAAAGGTTCAGTATTATGGTCTGTTCTCCATACCCTTCAAGCTATACTTACCCTAACATTTCAGCTGGCACCTTTATTTAGGGCTGCCCACTGATATTAACAAAGTCCACAGAGAACTACTCTGCTCACATGTCTTCCTGCCAACTTCTATCCATAAACCTTTCCTTCTACCAAATTAAAGCCAAAAAAAAGAAGGGCCAAGCTACCAGGTGCATAGGGGACTAAGGATGAGGTACTGACTAGGACCTGAGACAGGAAGAGAGTTTAAACCACAAGTTCTTAACCTAGGGTGTAAGAACTTGTCTGTTTGATATTCTGATAACTATTTCAATATAACTTTTTAATCATATGTATTTTATTCTGTGAATTTACAAATATTATTCTGAAAAGGGGTTTGCAGACTTCACCAGACTGCAAAGGGCCCGTGACACCCAAGAGGTTAAAAGCTTCCGGTTTCAACCAAAAGCTGTGGTACTGTGTTTCTTTTGGTGGTAGATACGAGTCTGGACCTATGATTTCATCAGTGGAGTGGAACATTTAATGTAGCAACTCCTTCCATGAAAACCAATTAGCAATTCATTTATAGCTGAAAGCGTTGGAAAGTTTCCAAAGTTAATGGAAGGTCAGGTAATGGAGCCAAAATTTGTCAGGCACCAGATATGGACCCAGGTCTTGCTGACTCTAAAGAAGGCCCTCCACCCACTGGACCATGGTGCCTCTTGGTGCTTTGTAAAACTTAAGAACCAACCCTACCTTACTTTATTGTCATACACAGACATTTTCATTGTGGTGTCACATATGTGAAGGTACTTTGTACATTAAAACATTTTTAATTACAAATATCAGTGTTTGAAATGCACTACAAAGCAATCTTAAAATGGTATCTGATTCTATGATTGTGACTTACCATCATTTTCTTTTGGCACTGATAAGCACTAAAGTCCTTTGGCCTATATCTTTTATGAGCTCCATCTTCATTATTAACAAGAAATTCACCAATGGGCACTGTCCCCGTACACCATTCAAGGACGCCGCTTCGCTGAGAAAGGGGAACTACCTATGGTTGCAGAAGAAGTATCTTTTACATATGGTAAGGCACTATTAGAAATAGGTAACATAATTAAAATTCAGCTATGAAACTCTGTGTGGAACATTCTATAGAAGCTTTGTAGACTCTCTGGCAAAAATGATACAGTGGTTAAGTTTGCAAAACTAGTCAACACGGTGATAATGTCTGTGTGCACAATTTCTACGTAAGAAGAGCAGTATAGTGCTGGCTCTGAGGTCAGAAAACTGAGGTTCAAAACCCACCTTGGATGCATACTATCTGTACAACCTTGAGCAAATTACTTAAACTGCTCAGGCCTCAGTTTTCTCAACTATTTAATGAGATTGTTGTTCTAAATGGGCTCTGTGATTGCCACTAACTCTAGAAATATGATCTGAGGATCTTATAAAAACTATAATGAAGCAGTAGTCAGCAAAACTATTTGGTGCTGATGGAAAATAAAAAAGAAAAAGAGATCAGTGGAACAGACTAAATAAATGAGAAAGGAAAGCAGTCAAAATAAGCAGACCAGTGTTTGACATACTCAAGAACATGAATTACTTGGGGAAGGATTCCCTTTTTGACAATAACTGCCAGGAAGACTGGAAAAGAGTACAACAAAAATTAAGTCTGAACCAATGTCTTATCTCATACCCTATAGCAAACTTAAAATGAATTTGGGATCAGAAAGCAGCCCTAATATGAAAAAAAATTAGAGTTGAATGAAAGCATCTTTCACAACTTTGTCCAGGAAGGGAATTCTTACTCAAACTATGGATAGAAGAAACTATAAAAAGCAAAAAGCCGGTTTCTATTACATAAAATTTAAAAAGTATTTGCATAAAGAACTAATGAAAACAGACTGAGAGAAGCTGTTAAATGGGGAAAATATTTGCATCAAATATCATTGATAAAAGTTTAATATCCAAAACACATAGAGAAATGCCAAATCTATAACACCAAGAGTCATTCCCTAATAGGTTAAGTGGCCAAAGGATATGAATGGCCTTCAAACGAATTGCAAACTGTAAACAATCATTTAACAACATGCTCCAGCTGCAAGATAAATCCAACTGGAAAAAAATTACAAAAACTATTAACAGTTAATGTGAGCTATGAGAAGCAATGCATACAATACACTGTTGTTAGAATTGTGAAATTGTATAACTCTTCTGGATATCAGTTTGGAATTTTATGAAAGGAAAATGACTAAAATATCCCCTCCCTTGGACCCATCAATCTTACTACTGGACATATACTGCAATGGAGTCAAAGACAAAAAAAAAAAAGCCCAAGATATTCATTGAGGCAGCCAAGAAGTAAATATAAAATGGGTGCCCACTGACTAGTGAATGGCTGAAAAACAAAACAACTACAGTAATGAATATAATGGAATTTTATTTCATGGAAAATAATGATGACTATGAAGAATTCTGAGAAACATGGACACATTTGCAAGAACTGACACAGAATGAAATAAGCAAAACCCAAAACATATATATACAATGAAAATAACGTGAGGAAGGAAATCCAATTCTTAATTAGCTGAAAACACTAGCAATGGTCCCAAACACTAAGAAATATTAAATATACTTCTAGCCTCTTTGTATAGAGGATGGGGACCATTATGGCAGAATGCTGCATATACTGCACCTGAGAAGGTGGTAACAATTTCCAGTCCTATGGATGGCTCCTTTTAGGATTCTTGTAGTTAAGAATTAGTCTTCTTTAATCAAAGCTCCCTTATACTTGGTCATTACAAACTATCTTGGCTCCTCCTGTGCCAAAATCACCATGCATTTATTTGGTATATACCTTACATTCACTTTCCTGTGAAAACGTTTCATCTCCCTAGGAGAATATGAGCTCCTTCAGGGCAGGGACTATCACATTTTTGTAATTGTAACCCTAGGAACAAGTGTCTGATACACAGTAGGTGCTTAATAACTACTTACTGATTTTCAGATGAAGTCATCATACTGGATATTTCTGCTTGCTTTTTTTTTTGTTTTAAAAGGGAAGCTTCGGGGGAGGGGGGTGCAGCACAGGGTAGAGGAAGGGGCAGGTTCAAAAAATGACTCTAATATGAAGACAAGTAGTCAATAAAACATTTTTAAAAGGAAAGAAAAATATGTGGGAGTTAGACTATAAGGGTTTTAAATGACAATGGAGGCATTTGTGTTTTCTCTTACAACAAACTGAGAATCACTGAAGTTTCCTAAGAATGAGACTGATTAGATCCATACTTTAGAAATATCAATTTAGTAGTTATGTGTAATATGAATGAGAGGAAAGAATGGAGGTACGGAAGACTAATTAGGAGGATGTTGCAATAGTCTACCTGAGGGGTAAAGAGGACTTTAACTAAAGTGATGGTTTTTTGAGTGGGAAAAAAAGGGGTCAGATGTAAGACTTTTTGTGGAGGGAGAATTGACAATTGGCAAAGATTTGGGAACTGATTGTATATGAGGGTAAGAGAGAGGGAAAAGTCAAGGATGACTTGGAGGTCGCAAATTATATGAATGGAAGAATATAAGTCACCAGGACAGAAACAGAGAAATTAGGAAAATGGGTTGGTTAGTTACATTTTGGGCAAGTTTAGTTTTGAGGTGGAGAGAGATATCCAGGCAATAGTTGGTGATGAAGAACTGAATGTTAGGAGTCAGATAAGGGTGATGTCTATTTGTTAGGAATGATTGTCATAGGAAGTCATGTTCTGCAGGAGCGAAAATATTTAAGAGGGAAGGGAAAAGAATTCTAGCTTTGGCTGAATCACTAGCAGACTATAAGAATTTGGTGAGGTCTTTCTTTCTCTGTACCTTAGTTTCATCACTTGTAAAATGAATAGATCGGCTTAAATGATTTCCAACTTTAACACTGTATAATCTCTGAACAACACATTTATTAAGCACTTGTTGTTAAGGTCACTGGAGAACACAGAAATCACCATAATCCAGGTAAAACATAAGGAGCTTCTGCAGACTTACTGGCAGCATGAAATAAAAGAACAGGAGTGACCAATGTTGTGGAAACAGGCAAGATTCAGCAACTAATTGGATACGAGGGTGAGGAAGGAGTCAAAAATGACTCAATTTTTGCAAACCTAAGTGACTGGAGTGTACTTAACAAAAACAGCCAAGTTTAGAGGAAGTTTTTCAGATGAAGTTTTATAAAAGATAATGAGCACAGCAGAAGAAGATGATGAGAAGTTTTACAGAAGATGAGTTCTGCTGTGGACATGTTGAGTTTGAAATGCCAAATGGAGAACTTGGTGGAGATGTAAAAAGAACGGTGACATAGGACTACAGGAGAAACATTAAACCTGTATCTGTTATTGGAGAAGTTATCTACAGGTGATAATTAAACCTATGAGAGGGAGAAAAGAGAAAAGACTGTCACAAAGGCAGGAAGAAGATTGGGAAAGAGCTATGCCAATGAAGCCAAGGGAAAACACAATATCCAGGAGGAGGCCAACAGTACAAAAAGCTGCAGAGAGGCCAAAATAGGATAAGCACTGAGAAAATGTCAACGGGTAAAATAAATAGTTTAAAATAAAATGGCACATATGCTTTAAGACATGGGTGAATGAGAGTAGAGGGTAATAAATCAGATTATTTCCTCTTAATGATTAACTATTGTTATTTTCAGTGATTAATTTTTTTTAAAAAGCCAAAGGAATCTATATTATATGAAAATGACATCTAACAGGGGCAGCTAGGTGGCGCACTGGATAGAACACCGGCCCTGGATTTGGCAGGACCTGAGTTCGAATTCAGCCTCAGACACATCACACTAATGTGTGATCCTGGGCAAATCACTTAATCCCACTGCCTAGCCAAAAAAAAAAGAAAAGAAAAGAAAAGAAAAAAAACAGAAAATGACATCTAGCATACCTGTTGTGGTAAAGTAAAACTTTTACCTTATACGTGCAAATGGTCAATTTTCTCTTTCTCGTATCAGTGTTTCTCTGGAGTAACATATTACACATCTGGAAAACTTGCTGCATCACTGCATCTTGACGCAGGTCATCTCGACCCTTTAGAAAAAACAAATACAACATGATATAACTTATTTTCTTTCTTCTTTTCTTTTTTACTTATTTTTTTAAAAATTTATTTAATTTTATACTTATTTTCTTAAGAAGTATAACTTATTTTCTTTTTAGCAAGGGAATATAAAAATGATGTTCCTTATAAGAGAGATGAAAAAATTGGCCTGAGTTCTTCAAGTAATTGACATTGAATTCCATCTTTTCCAGAACAGACTACCATTTAAGGTAGGCATGTACTTAAAAAAAAAAACCACAAAAATCCTCAAACAACCATTTTCTCCTTCCATTGTCCTTGCTAATGACTAATAGAAATTTCTGAAACTAAGACTTAGAGGACTCTCATAGGTGCAATACTGAGTACTCAAGAATCAAACAGATGTAGGGCTGACCTCTAATTCTCCTTAGCTTTGTCAGAGACTCTAGGGAGTTTCTATTAGCTTGGAAAGGATGGTAATTGCCACCTTCTGGAATTTTCCACAAATGAAGAAAGGCTCTTGATATGAATTCAAGAACATATACTTTAAAAAATATTTAAATGGACTACTTAAAACCTGAACATAAAGTCTCCTTTTTTTCTTCTCCTTATTATACCTTCGTGTTTTCCTGTGGGAGACATGGTAACAGTGTCTAGTAGCTTCACTAGCCAGCCAATAAAACTGAGGTCATTTGAAAGCCTACAAAAACAATTATCATAATCTAAAAAGATTATCAATTAAATTAATTAAATCAATTAATTAAAAGGTTATCAAATAATCAAAAAAGACATCAATTCTCCCAATATGCTAACTCAGCCTTCTTGCTGCCTCAATAATTAAAAAAACAACAACTCCAAACAAGAAGTTGAGCAATTCAACTCAATAACCATTTATTAAACAGCCTACCAGGGACTGTGCTAGGTCTAGGGATTCAAAGACAACAACCAAACAGTCCCTGCAAGCAAGGAATCTGCATTCTTATCTCTATTTAAGCATAAAAATAAGCAACATAGAAAATGTGTAGCAAGTCATTTCATGGAAATGAGACTCAACCTAAAAGAACAGACCTTGGGTATCTAGATTGAGCCTTACAGAGAAAGAGCCAGGTGCTGTAAAGTTGGACTGAGGAGGGAAAATGTTCCAAAAATAGGGATAGCCTGTACAAAGTCAAAGAAGTGGGAAATGGAGCAGCATGTAATAGGACAGCAAATATGCTGATTTGATTAGAATATAAAATGCATAATGTATAATCATCCTGGAAAGACATGTTAAAAGAGGAGCTTTAAACAAATCACCTTCCTTTCCACGTTTCTTAATACACTCTTTCCCCTTCCCCTACTCTGAGGGCCAACCACACTGGTCTGATTGCAGGTTCCCTATGTGTGACTCTCAATCTCCCTCTACAAACCTCTGCACCAGCTGCTCCTATGCCTGGAATATACTTTCTCTCTTCCCTCATCTCTGCTTCTTCTAATTCCTTGTTTCCTTCAAAACCCCCAAGTGCCACTTTCTGCCAATTTGTCCTGGCTTGTCCCTCTCAAATTACTTTTTATTTTTTCATATACTTTGCAAATATTATTTAATTATCTGTTGACTCTACTGACAGAATGTAAACACCTTAAGAACAGGGACTGTTGGGGCAGCCAGGTGGTGCAGTGGATACAGCGCCGGCCTTGCAGTCATGAGGACCTGAGTTCAAATCTGGCCTCAGACACTTGACACTTACTAGCTGTGTGACCCTGGGCAAGCCACTTGGGACTATTTAATTTTTGTCTTTGATTCTTTAGCATTTATTACCAGTGCTTGACACAAAGTAGGCACTTAAATCACTTATTCCCCCTAGAAACCCTTTCTCCCCTCCCACAAACCAAAATAAGTAGCCAAAGGATTGGGAAGAAGAATCATTCCAAGTGTCATGAGTTTTGTGTCATGGATTTGAAAATACTGATAGATGATGGCACACTTATCAAATGCTGTGTATGACCCAAATCTGGGAAGGTTAGTTTGATGAGAGAATCAAAACTGCAAAGTGCTTTAACAGGCTAAGCAATGGGTAGAATCTAATAAGATGAAATTTAATAGAGCTGAAGGCAAAGTACTTCACTTGAGTTTAAAAAAAATTCAATTGCAAAAGTTTAAGATGGGGGATGGCTAGGCAACAATTCACGTGAGAAGGACCTGGGGCCTTTTAAGTGAACTATAAACTTAATCCGAGTCAACAGGGTGACACGGGAGGCAAAAAAATGAACTTGAGAAAAACAAGAAATCAAGTGGGTATCCACTGATTGGGGAATAGGAAAACAAGCTGCAGAAGATGAATGTGATAGCATTTACTTTGCCATAAGAAACACAATTTAGGGGAGCCTGGGAAGATGAACAGCTGCAGTGGGGAACAAAACTGGGACAACATTCATTATTACTACAATAGTGTAAATACAAACACTGAGAGGCAGCCAGCCCTGACGAATTTTAAGGACCAATACTGGCCCAAGAGAATGGGTGATGAAGAATACTTCTCAGGCACAGGATTGTAGAGACCTCCAAGCCCTCCAGTCTAATATCTCCTTGTTTAACAGATTTTTCAAAGGACCATCCTAAGATCCAAGGAGGCTGCCTTTACATGCAGGTAAACAGCAACAGGGGGGCCCCTGAACCCGCAGGCCTCTTACTTCAGAGCACTCCTTCCAAAGTGCCACAGTACTTCCTATGTGGAATTCTGTACATGCCATCAGATATTCACAATGCATTAATTTTGCTTAAATTTTTTTTAAGTAGTGTAAGGGAGGGTTCACTGGGAAGAGGTTGTATAAAGTAACAAGAAATGATTGATGCAAAAACAAAAGGGATCAAAACTTTTTAAAAAAAGCTAATACAACCTTGGGCTACGTTAATAGAACTGTCCAGAATGAGAGAGATGAAAGCTCCACATCAGGAATACTGTTTCCATTTTTCAGTACAACTCTTTAGGAAGAACATTAACAAACTAGAAAGTGTCCAGAGGAATAACTAGGATGATGGAGAAATTCGAAAGCAATCTACTCATTTATATCATATTGACTTATAGACACATCCTCCACAGTCTCAGGAAAGGACCTCATTTCCTATGTTACTGAAAAAAGCGAAGCCATTTAGCTTGAGCTCTCTCCTCACCATCATACCACAAAACCTTTCTATGTCCTCTCCCATTTTTTCTACCTTCCCTCTACTCTCAGAAAATGAGGTGGTCATCTACCTTGCCAAAGATAATCTGTGCTGGTATGACCCTATGATTCACAAGCTCATGGGATCAGAGATCTAGGGTTAGAAGGAATCCCAGATGCAAGTCTACTATTATTTTATGGATGAGAAAACTGAAGCCTAGGGAAGTCAGATGACTTGCCAATAGGTACTAAGAAATAGGTACTAAGAAACAGAGCTGATAGTTGAATCCAGACTCTGAACCTGACTATAGACCTCGTACTATTTTCAATAGACAGCAAAATCCTTGAGTGCTGCCAAACCAAATTAAAATATAATTGGGAAATGTTTAACAAAATAAATAAAAATAAAGTAAAACACAGATGATGTTAATTTGTGGGTTTATAGGTCAATATGCAGCCAGTAGGAACAATATCTACTTGAGTTTGACTCTACTGGTCTATACTAATGGCTACCACTTACTGCTCAACCCTTTACAATCTGCTTCCTTCCTCACTCTACTATAATTGCTTATTTCAAATTATTGAAAGAGCTCTAAATTAGACACTGATCTTTCATGGCTTTCTCTGTCTTCTTAGAGCTAAGCACCACAACAGATAAAAGTGGTGGGGCTGAAGTCAGGAAGATTTGAGTTCAAATACTGCCTGAGATACTTACATGTTGTGTGACCCTGGGCAAATCATTTAACTATTTGCCTCACTTATCTTAACTGTAAAGCAGGGATAGTACATACCTCCCAGGGTTGTAAGGATCAAATGAGGTATTTCTTTCTTTCTTCCCTATTCCTTTCCTTCCTTCCTTTTTTCCTCTTCTCTCCCTCCCTTTCTTCCCTCCTGCCTTCCCAATCCTTCTTTGTTTCCTGCACTGGTTCCTTTTCCTAGCCCTGGGTGCAGGTATCCCCACAGCTTCCTCTGACCTTTTACTCTACTCTTTTCCTTAGTAATCCCTATCCCAACACGTGACTTTAATTAATATTTCTATGCAGATAACTTCTAAATCTTTATCTCTATTCCCAACTTCTCAGAACTTTAGTCTTATGCTTTCAGATTACTGCAAGACTAAATATTCACACTAGAAGTCCTTCCTGGTATCTCAAACTTAATATGCCTAAAACTGAACTCATTATACTCCTTCCACACCTGAATCTCCTCCTACTTTCCTTATTTCTTTGGATGTTACAATTCTCAAATAGCCCAGACTTAAACCATGCAGTCATATTTGATGGGTTGATATTCAGTTAAAATAAGGAAAATTTTCCTAATGATTATAAAGGCCTCAAAGTGGAATGAACAGTTGGGGAAGGAGATGAGTTCCTTTTCTTTGAAGTTTTTAAAGGGAAAGCTAGACAACTTCTTGTCCTAGAGATTCATTTTTAGGTATAGGTTGGGCTAGTGATCTATAAAATTCCTTCCTAACACTAAGATGCTGTAATAATGCAGAAATCAATGAACCTACCTTGACAAGCTGTCTCCTCTCTCTGCCATCTGACCCTACACAATCTATTATTTTAGGTAGATTCAGGCCTCCTGCTAAACGAAACTCTTGTCTGAATGACTGTATAGTCACCAGATTTTCATATTCCCCTGTAGGGTCAACCTAGAAAGATTCAAACACAAGAGTGAGAGATAAGATTCATAATATTAATAAACCAAAAAATAAGGTATGTATTACCAGTAAAAAAAAAATTCAAACAAGAAAAGATGTAGCATTTGGCTACATGAAAATGTCAACTGCTAAGGACAACTTGGACAGCCACTGTACTATCTTACTTGGTCAGAAGAATTAGAATAGGAGAGTTTCAATTAGTTATAAAGATATACCATAAAAAGTCTACTTCTATCACTAAAAAGTAATCTCAAATTGAAGTCTACATACAATCTAGTGTTATTATTTTTTACTCATTATAATTTTAGCTTGTTTTTAACAGAAAAACAAACAGGAGCTCACTTTTTTTAGAAGAGAAAAAAACATGGCAAAATAAGGTTAGAGAAATATTGCAAGGAAGAGGGAGGAATTTTCTAAATCAGTACTATTCAATTTTGCTTTTTCCAAGTAAGCATGAAGCTGGATAATATAGTTGGAATACCTGGGAACATATTAGTTAGTGGCTGATTAATAATACTTAAAATGCTGCCAAAGGTTCAAATCAAATAATCTCAGAAGCAGTTAGCATGGAAGCACACTAAAAAAGGGCCAGTTATCTTCCCCTTCCAACATACTTATTTACCAAAGTAGCAAGTTATTATTCTGATGACCTGGCACTGAGAGGACTACACAAAAGGATTTTTACCCCTGAATGTCTAGTCATGGGATAGCTGGCCATCAGCTTGTCCATAAGCACAGGCTATTCAAAACCATTTACTTTTATTACAACTTTTATCCTTATCCATTCAGAACTATTAATTAATTAACTGTTTTGAGGTTTTATTATTTAGAGACATGCTATACTATGAGGTCTTATTAACAGTTTCTAAAAACACACTAACAAACCTATTTAAAAAGAAGTTCCTTAGGAAATCTGAAAGTAAGCCTGCTACTGACACAAGGGATTTTAAATTCCTATCGTCAGTTAAGGAACAAGCCACACAGTCTCCTTTCATGAAATCAAAAAGGGAAGTAGAATGAAAGAATAAAATGGAAGAAAAAACTTTGAAATACTTTAGCACACTGTAAGGTAAAGATCAACTAAAAAACACTTTAAAATGACCCAAATTTAGGCCAAAATTACTTGAAAGAGAAATAATTAACATCACCCATGGCTCCAATTACCTTAAATTCCATGGTGGGAACAACAACGTCGTCTAAGTTCTTTAGTCTGGTAATGGGCTGGTCTGCAGGAATATTTACACCTTCTGTATTTAAAATAAGGATATTTTTAGTGAGAACTATCTATATGATTCATTAACAACTTGAGAAGTGGTGTGCAGGCAAGCCAAGGATAGTAGATGTGCTCTAGTGGCCATATACTAACCTTTACCCCAATTGTATACAGGGTAACCCTTGACCACAATCTCTATTAGGCTAAAATCTGAATGGATGGAGCATTGTCCCTGGTGTCATCCTTGACCTGGAGTTCCAAGGTTATAAAGTTGATCTACAGCCAATGATTATAGTACATAATATGGTCCTCATTTGACATTTACTTGAGCTGTCAGCCTTTACCACCCTAACTGCCCTCTCATCTTTTAATTAGGCTAGAATCCACCTGTGAGCATAAACATAACCTCTAAGCAGTATGCACAACAGCATCCACAATAGGGGCATGGTGCATTATTTCAATTAATAAATTAGTGGAAGGAGTGCATCGATATTGTGGGTGTAACCTATGTGCTACGGCAATGTATTATGGCAAAAGGAAGTGGCAGTGAGCCTATATATCATTAAGGAAACCCTATCTATATCCCCAGTCTTTTATCAGGGAAAACAGTAATGCTCTGGATAAACAGGAAAGCTTTTAACAGTTAAAGAGGAATAACATTTGGGTAAAAGAGATTATAAAGAAAATGAAAATGATAAACCTGTAAATAGAGGTTATATAACCAAACATAATAGTCTACAAATGTTTAGAAAATAGTATTGAAGATGGATTTTGTTAATACTTAAAAGTTTAGCACTGATGGGAGTGGGGGAGAAAGTGAATGAGGTTTTTTTCATTTTATTTTTTTTGCCTAGGCAATCAGGGTTAAGTGACTTGCCCAAGGTCACAGCTAGTTAAGTGTCAAAGTGTCTGAGGCCGGATTTGAACTCAGGTCCTCCTGACTCCTAGGCAGGAGCTCTATCCACTATGCCACCTAGCTGCCCCTGAGGCTTTTTTAAATTCCTAACTGATCACAGTTCTGCCACACAGTAGGTGCTTAATAAAAGTTTGCTGACTGACTGCGTAAACATGTAATTTTGGTTTTTGACATGTTATTTCTAAAAACGCTCTCATCTACACAATAACGCTCTCATCTACACACTAACAGGAAACTATTAATCAGAATACTGGCAACCTCCAATTTTTCAATAACTGATTATGGTAGTTTATGGATTATCCAGGCCCTTTGCTCCTTCCTACCTTTGATTTATTTTGCTACACATGAATATCTGTACCAGAGTGATACTGGGAGAAAAAAAAATATTAGACACAAATGATTCTATTTTGTCCGTTATCAGATCTATTAAAAACTCTTAAACATCCTGCCCATCTCTTAATAGAAGGGTGATGGACTCACGTGTAGAGTGAGACATGATTTCTTTGGACATGGCCAATGTGAGAATTTGTTTTGCTTGATTATACATGTTGTAATAGGAGTCTGCTTTTCTTACTTTCTCAATGAGGGGAAGAGGAAAAAATTAGAAAGTGCATAGGAAAGTCAAATTTGTAGGATATGAACATATTTTTCAGTTATCTACAGATTTCAATTATTAGGGCCTTTTTTCTTTCCCATTACTATTCAGGTTGACTGTATGTGATTGTGAATGTTTACACACTTGTGTATACTATTAACATATAACTGAAGAAAAAATTATTGCACCACGTCAATGGTCTTCTGAATACATACTTCTCTGAGCCTTCCAGGGACTGGCATCCATATTTGCTAACATGATATAAGCATCACAGAGCGCTTCCACATTTCTGACCATCTTAGCTCTTCCATTTTTGATAATACTTATTATGTTGTTTGCAGCCTCCATTCGATCCTAATTTTTTTTTAAAAAGGTGACTGTTATAGTAGAAACATACACAGCTAGTCATCCAGAACTACACGGAAAGCATAGAAGCAAAAAAGAGAAAAATCTAAAGTCTAGCTCTACACCTACAACCATCATAATTCCTTAGACACAAAACAAGTACCAAAAAGAGGATATCAAAAAAAGAATAATCCACAGGTAAATAATAAAGACCACTCAAATCTTATTAGTTTTTTTTTTCTGTTTATCAGTATGAGAAAAATTTCAAGATATACTGAATTTCTTCACTGTAACACAGATGGTGCCTTGAAAGAATCCTGCACCAATCTGACCTGGTGCCACCAAAAAAAAAAGAGATTTAAAAATTGAACATTGTCACAATTACTGTTTTCCCCAAATTATCAAAGGTACTAGTTCAGCAATAACAAGAAATCCAATTATAGCAAACTAATATATTATATACAGTTTTATGGCAAGAAAAAGGAAAAAAAATGAGAAAAATATATTTATCCTATGAAGTCAAACAGCAATGAATTCATGCCCTCCATATTAATTATGAAGACAATTTGAGTGCTAAGTCAACTTCAATTATAGCTTTCTATCTTATGAGAAGGCTTTTTGCACAGGAATGTGAAGAACTGTAAATGTGAAGCTAAGGCAAAAAGCAACAATAACAACTTTTTTTTAAGAAAGGAAAATCTTGTTTTATAAATGATACAGGCTTTACTATCTGTCCTACTGCAACACAAATAAATAAATGGTATAAAAAGTCTCAGTACTCTGAACATATGGTCCAAAAATATCTGATGAGATAAATGAATAAAGGTTTCTACCTACTTACCTCATCAAGCTGAGAAATTTGCTTTGGTGCATTTTTTGTCATTCTGCTTCTTGTTGCTGCTTCTGGTTTGGTTAGAAGTTCATCCTTATTTGCATTTGCTAAGGCTAGTATAATAAACAAAGTGTGATGGGGATGATCCAGAGAAATTCTAGCGATAAGCTGTTGAAAAGGTAAGAATAATTAGTTATCAAGGGGTAAACTGAACAAATTGAAACATAAGTTTCTAACAAACTGAAAAATAATCTACAAATTCATGGATGGAGACTTGCACTTCATTGGGTAATGTCCCTTGGGGATGAGGGGAGTGAAACTACGATGCACTGCTCAAGGAAACAAGGGGCAGAGGTACAGAAAAGGACCAAGAGATCTAGTTTCCACCTTTATGGAAAAATTTAGATGGGGCTAAACATATTGTGTATTTTCTTATAATACATAGTTATAATGGGGTTATAATACATACTCTGACCACAGTGAAAAGAACAGCCTCTAATGTAGGATAAAGAAAGCCATTTATTCTCTATCAAGGTGATGTGATAAGAAAGAAAATGCTTCTGGCTTCAAGCATTAAGCATTATTACATTATTCAGAACTTCATGAAATCCTAGGCCTCCCATCATCTTGGTTCCCATTCTAGCTGCCAGCTGGTACATGAGAGGCAGAAACTTGTATGAGGGAATCTTCACTCCATCTTTCTATTTTGGAAAAAAATCAGAAATTATTAATTAAAAAAAAATCCTATGAACCTCCAACCCACAGATTATTCTAAAGCTATTCAAAACTGCTTTAAATATTACATACATATATATGATGTTATACATATGTAATATTTTACATTTAACATACATTTGCATTGTGAGTAATAATAACTTAGTGATTAATAGTAGCTTGACTCTTCTCCCTTACTACTCATTCTATTCAAAGCCCTTTGACAGAGATTGCTATAACATGCCTGGTGACTATTATATCAGTGTTGATCCTAAAGTCATAAATTAAACTATATTAAGAATCATCAGAATTTTTGGCATTATTTGCACTGAAATTATATATTAAAAAAGCATGGATCAAAGGAAGCCTACAGAAAAGGCAAGTAAATAATAGAATGAGGCTGTCATTTTTCTTTTATTTTCTAATAAAAATAGCATGTTATTATCAAAAGTTACAATAGAATAGGAATCGGGGCCTATCCTAAATCTGAATGTTCTTTTTTTCCCATGAAAATGTTTCATTTCTTTAAGACCTTTTGATCCAAACAGTTTACAACATATACATTTTAAACTTAAGAGTAGGAGCAGCTAGGTGGCGTAGCGGATAGAGCACCGGCCCTGAAGTCAGGAAGACCTGAGTTCAAACCTGGCCTCAGACCAAACACTTGCCATTTCTAGCTGTGTGACCCTGAGCAAGTCACTTAACCCCAATTGCCTAAAAGCAAAAAAAAAAAAAACCAAACAAACCAAAAACTAAACTTAATAAGTGTAAATTTCCACTGAAAGCGAAGAGATTTTCAACAAAAACTTATACTGCCTTCAACATGATTTTCAAGACAATGACAACTGATTTTTCTATTCTAAATTTTTAAGGAAAATACATCTTCCAAGGCCACAGAGGGTAAGAAAAGTCCTCCTGTGGAGATGGGAGTATGGATTGGGAAAACAGGGAAAAGAGGACATAGAATTCTCTCATCTTTACACAAAAATCACACCATTACCATGAACTACAAGCATTTAAGTGCCTACTGTGTGCAAGACAGTTTGTTAAATTTTTCAGAAAACAAATATAGACATGGTCCTAACCTACCTTACTCTTCAATTTCCAGCCTTAAGGGCTGGAAAAGAAAATCTTACCTTCATCATGCTATTGACTCCAGAAACTGCAGAGTTTTCAAGCCAAAGGGAACAAAGTCGAAATATCCACATATCATGTTCTTCCCCACTTAGCAAACAGCTGATGTAGTTCTCAACTGCCTTACACAAGAAGCATTTGCGATCCTCTCTCAACGCACGGATCGCACACTCATCCAGCTCTAGCTCTCTCTGAACCTTCACTGTATACCTAATATTGAAGAATTAAAGTAAAAATAATAAATCAACTACAGTTATAAAATCTCAACTGGGCTAATACACTTATCAAGAAGGTCAGGGAGGTGGAAGAGACTTTAGGAATTACCTATTTCCCTCACTTTACAGATAAGAAAACAGAGGCCCAGAGAGAAGAGACTTGGTCCAGTCAAGTCACAAGGTAGTAAATAGCAAAAATACATTCAAGCCTAGTCATGTCACCTCTGAGCTAGGGCTCTTACCATAACATCATTATTACAGTTACCTGAGTTTATGTCTTATCCTTTACTAAACTCAAACCTCTGTAAGGGCCAAACTTGTGTCTTATCTACGACACTACACATTCCCTATGGACTAGCACAAAGTTCTATAGAGAACAGGCACTGAATAATAAATATTTGTGGAATGAACATCTGAACTACAAAAGTCATAAACAACAATCAATACAAATAGATCTCAAAATGTGTTATTATGTGTATTGTTAATGTTGAGAACTCAACATCTTAAACACCTTACCACCCTGGATAACAGAGGCAAAAGAAGGTGGCCTGACCAAGCTATCTAGTTTTCTTAATTCTATATTTCTTCAACTAGATGTAGGGCACAAATGGGTGAGGGGATTTGGTTACATTAATATAACTTATTTGTGCTCTGCTTCTTTATATTTTTCACTCATAAAACAAATCATAGCTTACCAGAAACAGCACTCAGATTGCAAAATAGATTTACAATGGAACCCACAGATATTAGAAATTAAATTCTCTCAACCAAAGAATAGTCATGATAACCCATCTCATCAAAAGAAATTCAAATACCAGAATGAAGATTATCATATTTCAGAAGTAAGAGGGCTAGAGAAATCAGCTTACCCAAACTCTTGACTTTATGAAAGAAAACTAGGGTAAATGCACTTAGAAGAAATGATTTGGTCAAGGTTCAAGAGCGACAGAGCTGAGACTTGAACCAGATCTTCTACCTTCAAACACAATGTTCTTTTCCAATAATATAGCACACTGCTTCCCAAAAACAAAGTCATGAAGAAAGCAAATTCCTATCTTCCACCAACATATCTTGTTTGGAAACTGTCAAATTAAACATTAATTAGCTGTTGTGTTCCTCTTTATTCAATTATTACCTGTTTGTCTGGACTTTGTGTTCCCTAAGAAGGCCCACTTCCTGTTTAGCCTTATTCAGCAGAGCTTGTTTATTTTCAAATTCTGATGATTTCATATAGTTTTCAATTCTTTGATACTGAATATCTGAAAAACGTGCCAATGATAGGAAAGCCTTCATCTTTCCACTCCTAAGTTTATCATTGCATCCTCCATCAAAACTGCCAGCAACTTCCACTGCCTAAAAGAAATACCAATTAACATCTACAAATATGTATACACATAATGATATATTTAGTAAAAAGAACCACTCAGTAAATCAAGGCTATTGGTATATTAAATGAACTTAACTATGGGGAATATAGCACTTTTTATGTAGATCTGTAGAAGGCTGACAAAGCACTTTCTCCATAGAAACTTCTAAGTAATATAAATACAATCTACAATCTTTATTTTACAGGAAACTGAAGTTCTGAGAAATTAAGTGACTTCCTGCAGGTTATCTAATAGTGTCCAAAACAGGTGAACCAGAGTTCCTAACTCCCAAGTCTATTATGCTTTCCCTCATACCAGTCTACTTTCATACACAAATCACAGTACTTTCTGGTCTTTCTGGGAGAAAATATATAAGACACTTTATTTGCATGTGTAGAATTAGCCAAGTACTTATTAATGACAAGCTACGTAAAAACTAAATTTTGTGTAAATTCTAAAGACGTACTATAAAACGTATACAATTAAGTGTTACTGTAGGGCTGCTGATATTCTGCTTCAAAAATCTGCAAAGTGGGTTAGATGAAAGGAAAAGGCAGAAACTTGGATGGGGATAAAATTTTTAGGTCTCCAGACAGAGCAAGTTAGCTGTGGGTGAATGAGACTAAATACTTTCACACACTCACCTACTGCTTTGTAGATAAATAATGGAAATGTGGGAAAAACAGGCAGATGTATATTCTAAAGGCATCAAACTCTCCCTGGATACCTTTGAAAACACTGTATTGGATTTAAACTAAAAACTAGAGCACTTGGGAAATTTAGGCTTTCTCATCAAAAACTATTTTAAAACTCTTACCTTTTCTAGGTATGTCTGCATAATGACTGTGGGATTTTCTAGGCAAGTTTCTGCCAACCAGTTTCCACATACTCTCAAACATTCTGTGTATATCAGTTTCAGACTTGGGTCATTCTATACAATGGAAGGAAATTTTTAGAAAATGGAGCTAATTATTATATGTATTCAAAAGGGTATACTAAAATAATGGGCTTACAAAATTACTCTCCTTTACCACCACAAGTAGTATGACCAAAAAATGCCACCCTACTTAAGGATTCCTGATGCAGTTCAACTCAGTAAATATTTATTAGGCACCTATTCCATCAAGCACTGTGGAGAATATACATACGAATAAAGCATAGTTCCTACCACCAAGGAGTTTATAATCTAGTAGGAGAAACAAAACATATGCACAAACAATACCAACTAGAATTTGCTAAGCAGACAGGAGAGCCACAAAATGATATGATGGTTGAGAAGGAAGATAAATTTTTTTGGCTGAGGGAATCAAGGAAATCTTCAAGAGTCAGGTGGCACCTGGGTTAAGATTTAAAAGATGGGAAGGAGTTCAATAGACGGACATGAGAGGAGGGCAGAAGGCAGTACAAGGCCAGGAGAGAGTGAAAAAAAAAAGGCACTGAAGTGGAAAAAGAGGAGGACAAGATTAGAAAATGGGAAATAAACTACTTTATTTGCAATGTAAAGTACGTGAATAAGAGTAATGTAAGATCAAACAGAAGGTCTACTCAAGATTAGAAGAGCAGAAAAAAATTCTCCCCAACAACTACTCCACAAAGTCCTAGAATATTCACAAGAAATTCAGGAAAAAAAACAACACAGAGAGTCATCTTTCAGTCCAGGTTAGCACAGGGAGTTACACAGAGTCTAGCCAGGAATGGCTTTCTGGAGCATCCAACATTCACTGAACAAGACCCTTGTCTGAAACCAAGCATGAGGACAAGAAGAAACCAAGTGCCAGCTGGCATCTGTCAACTCCCCACCCACTGCCAAGTCACACATACAACACAGACCAAGTGGATGTCAGTCCAAGGCAAAGAGTAGTCTCAGGCCCTGGTCTGTGCACTGAGATAAACAAGGTCAAAAATGTACTACAGCTCTGTGGCTCTGACTCTAGGAAGCAGAACACAGTCTTAAAGCTAGCCTTCAAAAAAAAAAAAGAGAAAGAAAAAAAAGCTAGCCCTCAACTTAGTGTGAAGTTCACCTCAGAATGATAAGGGTAAGAATCCCAGACCCAGAGGGAGCCCGCAGCTCTGTCATGCTAAACCTGCAGAGCTTTCCAAATGGCTGACAGTGTTTGGGTCCAGAAGCAGTCTGGAGCTTTAAACAGAGAAATAGCAACAGTTGTGTTGCTCAACCCCAAACCCAGATCAGGAACTTGGAGAGTTCAAACCAGGAGGTCCTTTCACTTTGGATCACATCACTTTAGGAGCAACAAAAAGCCTGAAGTATCCTTGAGATCCTAGAATGATACTCTAATTCAATATCCCAAGAAAGCAACAGAAAGACCCAGAAGGACCCAAAACAGGACCAAGCAAAGAACAGACATTCCTTCTAGAAATGTAGAGAACCTGGTCCTAACACAATGTCAGACAGAGAAGAATAAGCAAGCAAAAAAGAATTCCTCCATAAACAGCTATTATGGTGACTGGGAATCTCAAGACACAAACCCAAAAGAGAATGGCTTCAAAACATCTACAAACAGAACTTCAAAGAAAAACAGAGCTTCAGCACAAGTTCAACTAGAATTCCTGGAAGAGATTAAGTAAGAGTTTTTTAAAAAGAGTTAAAAAAAAGTTTTTAATACATGGAATGAGAATATCAGAGAAAAAATGGAAAAGCACTGAGAGCTAAGGAAGAAAAAAGTGAATAGGGAATTAATAGTTTAAGACAAGAAGCACAAAATCTCACCAATACAACAGAGTACGTGAAAATTATAATGGGAAGTAGCTAGGTGGTACAATGAATAGAGCTCCGGCCCTGGGGTCAGGAGGACCTGAGTTCAAATCTGGCCTCAGACACATGAAACTTACTAGCTGTGTGACCTGGGCCAAGTCACTTAACCCCACTGCCTTGTCAAAAAAATGAAAAGAAAAAAAAAAAGGAGAGCCGGCTAGGTGGCGCAGTGGATAGAACACCGTCCTTGAAGTCAGGAGGACCTGAGCTCAAATCCACCCTCAGACTAAATGTTTGACACTTACTAGCTGTGTGACCCTGGGCAAGTCACTTAACCCCAACTGCCTAAAAAAAAATTATAATGAACTAAACATAAGATAATTACTCCGTGAGATAACAAGAAATATTAAAACAAAGTCAAAAGACTGAAAAAAAAAACAGAAGGAAGTATAAGGTACTTCACAGTTAAACAGCTGACCTGGAAAACATATGAAAGAAGAGTGAATTTAAGAATCATTGGACTACCTGAAAGCCATGACCAAAACCAAAGGAGATTAGACATCATATTTCAAAAAAATCACAAAGGAAAATTTCCCAGGGTTCTTAGAACCAGAAGGCAAAGTAAAAATAGAATCCACAGGTCAACTCCTGAAAGAAACCCCCAAAATGTAAACTCCCAGGAACATCATATTCAATATCTAGTGCTTCCAAAATCTAGGAGAAAAAAATACTGCAAGGACTCAGGAAAAAAAGAATTCATGGACCAAGGTGCTACAGTCAGGATTACAGAATATAAAAGAACACAGAGTTTAGAATAGGATATTCCAGGAAGTAAAAGACATAATCTTACCAATCAAAATTAACTTGCCCAGTAAAACTGGGTATAATCCTACAAGGGGAAAAAAAATAAACTTTTAATGAAACAGAAGACTTCCAAGCTTCCTTGAAGAAAAGATGAGAGCTGAGTAGAAACTTTAAGATACAAACAAATGAGGCAAGAGAAACATAAAAATGAAAATATGAGCAGACAATTAGAAGAGACAAAACAAGGACGAATTGTTTACATTCTAATATGGGGAGATAAAACGTGTGTCACTTCGGAATGGTATCTTCAGGAGTCAGAGGAGTCTGATAATACTAAGGGGCTTTTTCAATGTAAAAAATCCAGTTTTTAAATTCCTAACAGTAAATAAAAAAGGAGCAAACCTGTGAAAAATTTTCATCTAGCTTCTTGATCATTTGTTTTAGAATACTTAGGGCAAGACTCTGTTCCTTTTTAGCCCAGAATACTTGAGCTTCCTCCAGCTGCCATTCAGAGATTCCACATCTTGCTGAAGTATACTGCTTGATTTGAAACATTGCCCTTTCAGGAAGCTGAAATAACAACAGTGACATCTGAATATAAATTTTATTGTTACCTGTTTCTCTCCTATTAACATTGCTTCCCTTTAACATCACCACTTTTATGACTATTAAAAGGACAGGCCTATGAGTTGCTTGAAATATTTTAAGTTTTTATTACCTGTGTGTTTCTGGCAGTCCGGGCCAATATAGATAGTTCTACAAGGTGCTTGGTGAGAATATCCTTAATACCTTCCCTACGCGAAGTCTCAGTTTCTTTTTCCATTAGGGTCTGTAGAATGACTGTACGCAAAGCCATGATAGGCTCTTGAAAACCAAAATCACTATCCTTGAGAAGCTGGGACTGTCTCTGCCACTTCCCATACACCTCAGTGAGTTCTCTATCAGTGATGGATCTGAAAGCATAGAGTTTTATAGTTCATACAGATAATGAAGCATAAGATGAAATAAAAACCTACAATCACACAGAAATAAGAACTGAATAGAAGGAATACAAAAGTGCTTTTGTCACACAAATAAACAAGGTTCTAATTTTGATTTTAAACATCTACCAAATTCAACAAGGAAGGTAGATACAAATTCACAGAGACAAACATTTTTACTTCATGCCATCAAAGATGATAGTGGACAGAGTATTTTCCCTCTCATCTCTTGTTCTTTCTCTCCTTCTCCCTGCCCCTTCAGGGTTTTTCTTAACAATTTTATCAATTTTCTTAGGTTAGGATATTCCTCCTTATAAGGAGAAATCCCCAAACCTCTGAGACAGAGAACTTTCAAAGATTCACCAGTTGAGAAAGTGTATTTCCATCCCACCCCACTTTCTTCAGGTGAGAAAACCAGAGGCTCCACCTACTGCAAGCATTTTTTTTAAATTCACTAGTCCAAAAACAAGTTTGTATGATTGTACAATGTTCAACTGCAACTTTAATATTTTATTTTTACAAGAAGGTACTATATTGAACAATTTTAACCCTTCATGTATCTTCCTCTTCTTCCACCAATCCATGACATTAAATTATGTCTGTTTCCCAGGTCTGACACTCACTTGCAACCTCCAAAGCTTCTTAGCAGTCCATTTTTACCAACCCTATCCACAAGTTAATATAAAAAAAGTGCCAAAGTTATACCCCAGACAAACAGCATATTATAATACAAAAAGCACTGTATCTGGTTTCTAGTCCTAGGATCATCACTCATCACCTATGTGACTTCATGTAAGTCATTTAAGCAATCCAACTCTCAGTTTTCTTATCTCTAATAAGAGCTCACATTCATAGAATATTTTAAATTTTGCAAAGTACTCTATTCCAGTATTTTGTAGCTGGACTCTGGTTCAATCTCATTTTACAGGTTAACAGAGAGGTCAAGTTATTCAAGGCTAAATAGTTAGTAAGAGGTAGAAATGGAACTATTATTACTAAGTACCCTGAGAATGAATATAGTAATTTTCCCATTATACCACGCAAGATACTCCTTGCCTTTCTCAAGGGGTTGTTATGAAGATTAACTAACATAATATATATAAAAGTATATTGTAAACTAAAATGTCTTATAAATTTAAAATATCATTTTCAAAGGATGCTAAATAGAAAAGGAGTTGGAGTACGAGGGGGTCACATGAAATTTTCTTCTCAATTAGAGCTGTTTTGAAAAAAAAACACACAGGATTATAGTTCTAGAAGCTAAAAATAATCTCAGATATGACCTATTCCAATCCCTTAATTTTATAGTCAAGGAAACTGAGGCCCAATGAGGCTATATGAATTACCCAAGGTCACATAGGTAGTAAGTAAATGAAACTTAATCCACATGATTAATTGAAGTTAAAACATGAATTTTACCTAGAAAAATGTAATCAAATAACATGCAATATCAATCTGTAAAATATCCTGGAGCGTCTGGTTTCTGATTAAAGAAGTGGTATAAACCTGTGTGTAGTTTATATTTGTTCAAAATCACTGACAGAAGTAGGATATTATGAGGTTTATTATACTTGGAAAGTTCAAAAGTAAGTAAATTAATCATAGACATACCTGGAGAAAAGCTGTCCTATATTTTCCAATTCTCCAATAGCTTGTAATCTGCTAAGAGTAGGGTAGAGTGAATATACAGATTCAAGGCTGCCTTTACACAATTCTTCTACCTCTTTCACTCTAGAGACAAGAGAAAGAGAAATTTAAGAATAAAGAAGGTGGCTTAGGTAACCAAAATTCAAACTGACTCTCAATGATCTGCTATAATAGCCTCTGAGCATGCCTAGATGACCTATCACTGTAATAAAATCATAATATTATATGTGCTGAGACAATTAATTAGTACTGGGAATAAAGAAAAATTATACACAATGAGGATATACAAATATATTTATGATAAAGTATATGCAGTTAAACTGTAGCTTTTTACTCTTTGCTTAATTTTTAGTCATTTCAACCATCTGTATTTTTACAGTTACCTAGAATTCTAAGCTGTAGTTCATTAACTCTTTGCTGTTGTTCAGTCATTTAGTTGTATCCAATTCTATGTGACCCAAAGGCCTCTGTCCATGGAGTTTTCTTGGCAAAGATACTGGAATGGCTTGCCATTTCCTTCTCCATTTTTTTTCCCAACAGATGAGGAACTGAGGCAAACAGGGATTAAATGACTTGCCCAGGGTCACATAGCTAGTAAGTGTCTGAGGCTGAATTTGAACTCAGATCCTGATGACTCCAGGCCAGGTACTCTATCTACTGCAACACCTAGTATTAACTATTAACCCATTAATTCCAACAACTGTCTCATGGCTTTGCATTGGCCAATCCTCCATTTCTGAAATAAGTTCCCTTCATAAAATTTTCATAGAATCCCTCACTCCCTTCAAGACAAATCTCAAGTGCCATTTTCTATATGAATACTTCCCTGAATTGCACAAATGCCAGCTCTCTCCCTTTCTAACTGGCTTAACTACTTTGTGATTATTTAGGTATACACGTGTACACACACACACACACACACACACACACACACACACACAGAATCTCCTGTGATAGAAAATATAGTCCTTGTGATGAGGGACTGTTTCATAGTTCATATTTGTATTCCCAGTGCGTAGGAGAATATCTGGGACATAGTAGATGCTTAGTAAATTGTTGACTGATCAATAGAGTACCATATACAGATACACACACACACACACACACACACACACACACACACACAGAGTCTCCTGTGATAGAAAATATAGTCCTTGTGATGAGGGACTGTTTCATAGTTCATATTTGTATTCCCAGTGCGTAGGAGAATATCTGGGACATAGTAGATGCTTAGTAAACTGTTGACTGATCAATAGATTAGAGTACCATATACAGATACACACAGACACAGACAGTCAGACAGACACACACACACACACACACACACACATATGCACACGTATGTATTTTTTTTAAAAAGCATTTTCTTTCTTCCATACCTGGCATATTTGAGGGTTTCATAGAATGCAGAGAATTCTTTGTCTCTTAAAGACTGCAGGGCATTGTACAATGATTCATGGTAGCCAGGTCCTTCTGTTCCTTTTCTTTGAGATCATTGAAAGGTAAAACCACAAATTTAATTTTAAAACAGGCATTCCTGCTATCTTCATCAGTAACTTAAAGACAAAATAATACGCTTTTCAAATCTTTTGAGATGAGCTGAGATCAATTGTCTTACATTTTTTTTCTATTTTCTAGAAATTTTGGTGAAGAATACCAGGATGAATTGTACTAGACTATTTAAGCAGAAAAAGGTCATATGAAGCAGAAAAAAAAGTCATAACCTCAGCACTTTGGGCATTATGACTTTGTCATAGAACACTTTGAAAATTAAACATTGATAATCTTTGTCTGCTAGATCTAGGTCTGGAAGGGATGTTAGAGATCATCTAATCCAACACTAATTAATTAACGAAGCTGCTCAGATTCTTAAAATCTAGCCACAGGCTCAGATTCTTATAATCTAGCCAATAGCTCACTAATGTTCAGACTTCTTAAGAGTCTGCCCAATATCACAGATGTTCTAATAAACCTTGCCTTTAGCTTTAAGAAGACTTGGGTCTAATTCCTCAAGGTTTAGGGGTTTAGGAGTTAGGGGTGCTGAGACCCCAAAACCACAACATAAGAGTTCTGCCTAAAAGAATTTATCTTAATGGGGACAAGATGGACCTTACATACAGAAAGACTATGGGAGGGATCTAGCAGTGGTCAAGTAGTCTATGAGGTAACAGAACTCCAGGGACCTGGAGGAAGTGGTGAAAGGAGAAAGGAGCCTAGATAGGATTAAGGGTGGCAAGTGGCCTGGGGCCACAGAGAGGTAAGACAATAGAGGGCTAGGCTAGGTCAAGGGTAACAGAACTGGGAAATTGGGTGTAGCCACAATGAAAGGCCAGTTGATAGGACTGTCCAGGAAAGTGGGAAAGTCCAGGGTTTTTCCCTTCTGGGGTCTAGATCCTATCCTCATCACCATCATAAGCAAGTCAACCCCAAGGCTTCCAACTATCTATTATCTATCTATCTATCTCTTTCAAACAACCCTAGTAATATCATTCTTTTCTTTAAATTAATTAATTAGTTTTTAGTTTTCAACATTCACTTCCATAAGATTTTGAGTTCTAAATATTTTTTGTACATGTGGGTCTTTTTCCCATTTTTATGATTTCTTTGGGATATAGATCTAGAAGTGGTAGATAACAATCTTAAGAGTTACAAAAAACACATTCTCATATATGAAGTAAACAAACATTTTAATCTTATTAAATCCCTTACAATTAGTCATTCATGTTTATTATGTTTCTCCTGATTTTTATAAGTCAAATTTTCTGTTCAATTCTGTTCTTTTCCTCAAAAATACCTGAAAGTCCTTTAGCTCATTAAATATCCACTTCTTCCCATACAGGATTATGCTCAGATTTCCCAGGTAAGTTATTCCTGGTTAAAAACTTCAGCTCCTTTGCTCTTCAGAATATTCCATGGCCTTTGGTCTTTTAATGTAGAAGATGCTAAATCTTGTGTTATCTTGATCATAGCTCTATAGTATTTAAATTTCTCTTTCTAGTTGCTTGTCATATTTTCACTTTGACCAGAGGCTTTTAAAACTTAGCTGTAATGTTCCTATGAGTTTTCATTTGGGGATCTCTTTCAGGCAGTGATCAACGGATTTTTTCAATTTCTATTTTACCTTCCAGTTTTAGAACTTCAGGGCAATTTTCCTTATTAATTTCTTGAAGTATAGTACCTAGACTCTTTATTTTTTGGTCATAACTTTCAGGTAGTCCGACAATTCTTATATTATCTCTCCTAGGAGTTATTTTCTTCAGCAAGGATTTGGATTTCTTTTTCCAACTGCTTGACTTTCTTTTCACAATTTTCTTGCATTATTTTTCTCTTCCCAATTTTTCCTCAACCTTTTTAATTTGATTTTTAAAGTCCTTTTTACATTCTTCCAAGAACTCTTTTTTGGAGTTTGTGACCATTTGACATTTTTCTTTGAAGCTTTACAAGAAGCCGTTTTGTATTCTTCTGATTTTGAACCTTGATCTTCTCTATCACCATAGTAGCTTTCTATGGTTGGGCTCTTTCTCTGTTTTTTACTCTTTTTTTTTTAAGAGCCTATTTCTTGGCTCTTAATTTTATGTTGGAGTTGGACTCTGCTCCCAGGGTATGGAGAATATCTCAGATTTTTCTTGCTGTTGTTTTCTGAAGCCTATTCGGGGGGACTTTGACCTCTTGGTTCCACCAAAGTTCTGTAATCCAAAGCCAGATGAGGATTCTGGCTCCTTGGATTCACACCTTGGTCTATAAATGACCTCAAGCACAAGCCCCTGAGCCATGAACTGCTGCCACCAAAAACATTCTTACTCCCAGTTGTCCCTCAGATGGCTGCAAGCATCAGCTCACCCCTCTGCCCCAGAACTGAAACCAAGGACTCCACTCTTCTGCAAGTGACTACAACCAGCTGGGCCCCTACCTCTCTGCAACTGTACTCGCTAGGGTGTGCTCACTCCTGGCCAGCAGCCACAGCTCAAGAACCTGTGTGATTATTGAGCATGGACCCCGCTTCGAGCACCAGGTGAAGGCACCCAGCCTTCCCCCAACAGCTACCCAGCCCCCACATTGTCTGTGGAGTGAAAGCTCTAGAAGCTAAGGCTGCCTCCTACATAGCTGCCCTCAGGGCTTGCTATTTGTAGACTCTGAGATGTCTATACTTCAATCACGATAGACCAACATATAGGGAGGTCAGATTTTTCTAACATCCTGCCAAGTTGTCTTGGGCTTGATGACTTCTTTATCCGACTTTTGATTATTTCTGCCACTATAAAATTTATTTTGAGGCATTATTTTAAGATATTTATGGGGGAATGTGGGAAAGCCAGGTAGTTTGCTGCCTTATGCAACCATCTTTCCAAAATTCCCTCAGTTTGTTAGATTCTTACAGAATTTTGTGTATGTCCAGGTATGCTAAATTTGCTACACCTTTAAGAGAATATGACATTAATAATCTTTCACATGTATCTGGGGATGGCAAGGAAGAAAAGATGGCTTTCTTTTTACCTGTAAGAAGGGCAATAGTCCCACTGCATGTTCCTCCATGCTGCTTGGTAGCAAAGCTCCTGCTGCTCAGCACACCACTCTGAGTGCTCATAATCCAACCCTTTTAAGTAAGTGGAAAGAGTGTGGCAGAGACCAAAATTCTGCAAGGCCTGATCAAGAATGAAAATTAAATAAAGCATAAACAAAGATCTTAAGTAAGACTTCTTTACTAAGTACAATGCTTTATCTTGAAGCAGAGCTGACACTCAGTTTTCTGAGGATGTGCTAGTAAAGGGTAAACTCTGGCAGGTAGATCCTACACGAAGCCAAAGAAGCTTTGAGTTCAATCCTAAACATAAACTAGGTATTTGTCACCTGAGGACAAGGTGGCTAAATCTGGGAAAAGCTCATCACCAACAAGTTGGCTACCACTATAGTCAACTCACTAATACTTTGCTGAGGTATAAAGGGACTGAAATCTGCATCAGTGAAGAGTGTCCACGCTGATGAAACCAAGGATCTTTTGGGGGTACTGAAAAAACAAAACTATGAGTATTAAAAAATAGAAAAATACTGACTGATTTCACTATTTTCATATAATACATGTTATTATTCTCAAATTAAATATCGTTTAATATGTTTTACAATGAAAATATATGCTGAAAGTCCCCAACTTATGAAAAGGACATGATCCAAAACTTTGTATATGAGTTGAATGTTTGGCCTTCAGAATATATTCCCTCATAGAAACTATTTTAGTGGCACACAGACAGGTTATATCAAACTCTTTAAACCTCTCATAGCTTCTTCTATTTCTGAACATGCAAGATCTCAAAAAAAGTCAATTATTTTCTTTTTTACAGCATAAGAGAGATTTCTGAAGTAAAATGGTAGGCAGATTGCCCTTCTGAACTGTAGATTTTAATCTACTAAGTAAATTAATAAAATTAGTGGTGAAAATAGCATTTCAAGAGTATCAATCATCAAGATTCCAGCACCCATAGAATAGGAGTTCTGATTCAAAGTCATGGACTATCTATATTGTATTCTAACTCAAAGGCTCAAATATTAGACAAAGTTCAGATTTCTGCTCAAAGTTTAGATTTGCTTTGGCATATAAGCCAGTGATGGAAATGTTGGAGAAAACCACTCTAAGACATCACTTAATGTAACAATAATTAATAATTGCAATTCTCACCACAATACAAAATACCTCTTTAATTTAAGTTTTTGCCTATAAACATCCTGCTTAAACATTAAAGCAAGAGTAGGACAATGTACGGTGAACACTTTGTGAAAGAAGAAGAAATGTACCTCTATTATTCCTGCCTGGTGTGTAGCCGGGGAAAGAGCTGTCTCGAGGTCATAGGTCACAAGTGCTTTCCCCCACATTGCTTCATGTTCATATGTTCTTATCCTGTGACAGAAAAAGAAAGCTCTGAGTATTCAACCGCCTACTGGCTCTTTACAGTTTCACAGAAGAGATATAAAATATGACGATTTACCAAAGAAATGAGGGAGTTACGCCATTAGATAGAAATGAATTAATTTTTAAAGCATATGAAGTAACTTGCCTAACAAGGGGTTGTAACATTTTCCCTCCACCACAGCCATAAAGACTATCAGGCTCTCCAATACTTCTATAAATTTCCATAAGAAGATCCTAAAATATCAGAATACCAAAAGAGAATGAGAGAAAAGAAATACAATTTTATGAATTTAATGTTGTCTTTGAAATTATACGATAGTAAGATAAAAAACTATAAAATAATGAGGAAGGTATAACCTCCTCCCCTTTCCAAATCTGTAGTTGTATATTTTACAAATAAATTGAATAAAATTATATTTAAGTACATATTCCATGAAGTCATCAGTAGTAGAAATGTGGTATATTTCTGCTCAGTCTTGTGAGTCAAAGAACTACCTCCTACCTGAGGCCCAGCCCAGATAAATATGGATATGTCTTACAGGCCTTACTAGCCACAGTGATTTAGGAAGACTCTACTAAGGTGAAGTAGATGAGTGGCAATGGGGTGGACAGAGAGTTGCCCTAGGAGTCAAGAAGACATAGCTCAAGTCTCACCTTTAAAACCTACTGGCTATGTGATCTTGGGCAAATCATTTCAACTTCTGGAGCACCGCAGATAACTCTCTAAGACTGAAAAGTTGCAAAGCAGACGCTGATCTACATTGGTAGAGAAAGTTTCCTCACCAGGTATTTCCTAAGCCATTAAATCAAACATTTACTCTCTCCCCCTGCCCCCTAAATCTGTTAAGCTGATGAGTGAGGGCTTTTAATCTGCACTAGTGGAAATAGTATGAACCTTTATGAAATCATAGGTCCTAGAAGTACTGAAGCAAGTTATATTAATTTCAAAGATACATTATTTTTAGAAAGATAACAACAAAATGTTTCACAATCATTAGAAAGTCATTTCACAATTATTAGAAAGAACTGTTATGAAATAGTATCTGTAAGTGCGTATTCCTAATATGCTTGAAATGCTTAAAAACAATTTGAACTTTAAGTTCAAAGGGTCACCTTAAATCCTATTTCTATTATTAAGTCTTATTTCATTTGGCAAATGTATGACTGAAAAAAAAAAGGGGGGATGATTTCAAAATGATTTTGAGGAATACTGAATGGATACCTTACTCTATTGGTATCCATTTAATGTCAAGAAATCTCTAGGAAAACCTCCAGAACATCAAAGTGAACCTACCAGGGATATTTATAAGAGGACAGGCAAGTATGGTTGCAAACTGCATCACTGAAGGCAATACTCACATTGATCAGATCACAGGTCCATCAAAGCAATATAGATATTGTCATTTAAAAAAAATAATTCAAAGTCAAATTTCTTCCCAGACACTAATTTTTTAAAAGTTCTTATTAGGAGAATTTGAATTAATGAATCTGTATTGTATTTGCTTAGTATGCCACTATGCCAATGTAAAAAAAAACTTCCTCTTGCTTTATTTTTAATTTGCAAATTCTGATATATTTAAAAGCCTATCACTCAGGTTAAACACAGTAAAAATTTTGGTTTTCAAATAACATTATGTACATATAAACAGATGTATATATTTATATGTATATGCTCCTGACCTCAATAATCACTATTAAACAACTATTATTAATGTCCAAAAGGAGGCAGTCTATTTTACCTGTAAACTTATTCCAGTTTCTTCTTTACTTTTCTCACTCAAACTAGAAATAGTTGTACACTGACTTCCATCTTCAAATGTTAGACTTCTGCTTGCTGAGAAAGTAGTTCTATAAAAGAGATGACTCAATTTGAACTGTTGGACATTGTGTCTAGTGGAAAATTAACACAAACCCCTGACTGTCCTCAAAATTAGATTACTAAAAGCAGGCACTAACTGTCCAAATTTGCCATGCAATTTTGCTAAAATTAGCCAAAATTTAACCCAAACATATCAAATGTAGGCATGTCTAAAGGCCTTTATATTTATCACAGAACTCAATTATTCCTTATCTTGAAGAAAGACAATTCAGTACTTTGAGTTTATATATGTTTGTACTACATGTAGATTAATACTAACATAACTAAATATATACTTAGAAAGGAATACCAAACTTTTAAGAACACAAAGTGAAAAGCAGTGGATTTGGAATCAGACAACCTGGGTTCAAATTCTATCTTTGCGACTTACTATCTAAGACTTTACTATTGAGGAAGTAACAACCTCCCTGGAGCTTAGATTCCTCAGGCCTAACAGGAGGGGGTTGGATTAGATAACCTCCAAGATCATTTCCATCTCTAAATATATCTTCTTTGTTGTTGCTTAGTTGTTTTTCAGTCACATCCAATGACTTTGTAACCCCATTTAGGGTTTTCTTGGCAAAGATACTGAAGTGCTTTGCCATTTCCCTAATTCATTTTACAGATGAGGAAACTGAGGTAAACAAGGTTAAGTGACTTGACCAGGGTCTAAGTCCAGATTTGAATTTAGGTCTTCTGACTCCAGGTCCAGTGCTTTATTAACTGCACCTAGGTGTCCCAAAAATATTATATATCTTCTTCTGACCCTCAAACTGGGAAAGAACCACTTTTTTGTTTAGTACGTATTATAAGAGCAACATAATTGCTCTAAGGATGCTTATATACTAAAAATGACAACTCCAAATCTGGTCCATCATACACCATATTTACATAAATGATAGTTTTAGTCATTTCCTATCTGAAGGATTGCCTAAGACTTGAAAGTAAATAATTAGTAAAAGGATTTAAAACAACTATTGTTAGGTATCAGAATCCAGGCACCTGATTTTTAGAGTACAAAAGCTTTACTATGTTTATATATCAGTGGCTGTTTTAAGCAATAATAATTTGCAACCATAATGTGAAGAAGACTGCTAACTTTACCATTTTATCTTCTCTTGCAATAGGAATTGTTTTGTGGCAAGGGACTAAGAATCAGTCCTACAAACCGCCACAAAAAACACATTCCCTCAAACTAAAGTTGATTAAAGAAATCAAATTAAGATGGCGCAAAGATCACAGAGATAGTGAAAATGACAGTATACTTTTTCCAGTGATTTGAACTATTTACCTTCTCAGCTCCATTTAAAAAAATTTATCCATCATCAAACTCAACTCAACAAATACTAATTAAATGAGTTCTATGTGCATGGCACAGGCTAGGTGCTACAGATAAAGTAATAGCCCTGCCTTCAAGGTGTTTCAAGATTACTTAATACATACCCATACATAAATTGAAGGTAATTTAGGGAAAGAACTAACACTAACAACTAAAAGTATCACAAAAAGCTTTTCCTAAGAAGTGGCTTCTTGTTGAACTTTAGGAAGCAGAGATGATGAGAGAGTACATTCCAGGCATGAGGGATAGACTGTGTAATTGCACAGATATGACACTGAATGCTAAGTTAAAGTAATGGGCTAATATGGCCTGAACAGTGTAGTAATACATTAATAACTGACATTAAAATCGCACTTTAAGATTTTGTAGGAGCTATTACCTCATCTGATCTTGACAATAAACCTGTGAGATAAATATCAAAGATATTAATATCTCAATTTTACAGATGGGGAAAATGAGATATTAATGTTAAATGACTTGCCCAGGGTCATATCACTAGTAAGTACCTGAGGCAAGCTTTGAACTGAGGTCTTTTAATTCCAAAGTTTGGCATTCTGTCCGCTATGTCATGCTGCTTTCATGAAATAAGTCAAGTAATATAGGTCGGAGTTTGATTGCAAAAAGCTTGAAAGGTAAGCTGAGGTGCTTTAGAGATATTATTTCAGCAGCTGTGTGGAGAAAGGAAAGACTGGAAGCAAGGAAACTAATTAGAAGGATGTGGTAATAATTTAAGCCAAGTGGTGATGAGGGACTAATGGTAATCACAATCAAAATCAGTGAAGTAATGAGAGTAATTCCACAAGCACACAAAGTAATCTCTTTCATTATTTAATCATTACACCTCACACTGATACAGGGCAGAAAGTAACTATGCATTTCTCTCTCCAATTTGTTTACTTATTTGAACATAAACCTAGATATTGAACTATAACAATAACCTTCGAAATTTATTATCTGTCGAGAAAAACTTATCATTAGTAAGTTAAATGTTGAGTGATAAACTTAACTGAAAACAAAGATTTGGTCATTCATTCATTTAAAAAATATTTACTAAGCCTCATCATTGGGCTAGGCACATTAAAGGATACAAAGAGCTTATCAACCCTCTTTGAGCAGTTTATAATCCAATAGGATTCTTAGTATTCTTAATTGGTAAAGTGGGAGTTTATTACCAAGTATACATAGTTCTTACAATTAGAGCAGAACTCTTCTATACTTCAAATAGCAGCATTCCCCGCTTCCCTTTGTATAGGGTCTATGTCTAAATTGTCTTCTTTTTTAAAAGCCCCCTTCCCCAACTCCAGCAACTTTATCTTATCATAAATATGAAGAATTTTAAGTCTTTCAAGCCATTACCTTTTCTGCTGATCATCCAGTTTTTTCCTGTCTGCATAGATTTCTGCATACAGTAATGCTGTGAAGTGAGCTGCACAAGACTGAGCTACCATGGCAACCTCCAAATAATTCAACTCCAGCCAGAAAGCGTCATCAAAAACTGTCCCTGAGGAGGGTCTGATAAAAAATTAAAAGTAAATCAGAATCCATTTCTTAAAATTTAAAAGTTCTTGCATAATACTACAATGACAGATATATATCAAATATTGAGCTTAGCTGGAAAGTCAAACTATCCTGCTGCTTTGTTAGTAGACTAAAGACACAAATAATTTTACAAAAATACACTGATATAACTAACCAGCATATTTAAAAATATTTAATATCTAAAGTCTCATCCAGATCTAACATTCTTTGTTTCCAAAACCTTGCATAAATAAGCTGTTATAAAATGAAAAAGAATCTTCAATAAAAGACTTTAAATCAACATATGTATGCCGCTACATTTCATTATACAAAAAGTTATTGGTGTTGGTCCTATGTCTTTGAATATCTATGTCCTATGTCTTTGAAAGACTCTAAAATCAGTTTAGTAATAATGAAAATTTTGCTCTTTCCCTGGTTCCTGAGAGATTCTGGGACACTAACTGTATAAACTGTTCAATCTAGAAACACATACACTTTAAGGCTTACAGTTGCTTTTGTAAAGAGGTGGAATTAAAAGAAATAAATCAAAATATGAAGAACAAATACGGTGATTGGAGAAACAGGGAGAAAAGGTAGGGAAAGAATGTAGCGCTTTAATATGCTCACAATTAAGAAAATCAGCATAGAGCTATGTTTCTAAAATTTTTAAGTCTGCAAGTCACTTCAGAAGCCCTCAGACTCCTTCTACTCTAAAATCTTCACCCAGCATTGTTACTAATAAAACAACAAAGAAAGATATTAGTATAAAACTGATTTTGTCAGAGTAAGATCATACAATCCCTACACTGTGAAGGAATCACACAACACCTGACCTAATGCACAACCAAAGCATGAAATATGAATTTCCTCTACAATGTCATATTACAGGACAACAGGTGTAAACAATATTACATTATAAAAAAGGAGGCCAGGCTACACCACTCAGAGAAGCCATGTGTCAGCAGAGTTCTTCAGCAACTCTCCCAGAAATTAAAAACACAGAGGAAGGCCAAAGGGGAGAGGTACAGAGAATCACATAAACAAAGTTTTAGGAGTAGATTGAAACCTGACAAATAACCTAGTCCAATTTTCTCATTTTCCTGAAGATGGTCAAGCACACAGATATGAAGTAGAGACCAAAACTGCATGTTTAGGCTTCTCCCACTATACTATCCTGCCTCCTTTATTCTGAAGCTCTACAACAAAACATATTTTCTGAAAAGAAGGGGAACATACTGACCCGTCCCCATAGACCACTTGGGAATATATGATTTGAGGAGCAAATTCAGTGACAAGATCAGTACAGCAATGACAATGTGAAATAGTCACAAGAACAAGACTTGTCAGTACAAAGCCAAGCAGAGATTAACAGATTATTCTTAATCTTATAAGAGAAGGTAGGCTTTTTGGCTAACAGCAAATCTATTCATAAAGTCCTAATTCCAGCTCTCCTACTTCACACCTGTGTGATCCTGGGCAAGCAACAAATCTCTTTGGGCCTTGGTTTCTACATGTATAAGATTGGAAGCTCTAATTCTGAAAAGGTTCAGGTGTGCAACCACAAATTGATAAATGGAACATATAAAGAACATAAAAAGGCAGGGTTTAATGAGTTCTGGTAGCCCCAGCATGGTTTCATTTAGTTTCTGGCTACCCTAACTTCTCCAAGAATGGTAGCAACCCATCTGGCTTAAAGAGCTATTGGAAGTTACTGCATGTGGCCGCTGTAGGCACCTAATACCTTAGGTATCTTAAGTTAACAACTCATATTGACATGGTAAAATGATAAAAGCTTTTTCCATCTTTTATGATTCCACCTTCAAAATCCAAAAAGGCCCTGATGCTGCATTCATTACCTTCTTTGTCTTCTCATATAATCCACAACAGAAAGCATTGTTCGCCTTGATTTTTTATCCAAAGATCCTCGAAACAGAAATTCTGATTCTAAGTTAAAAAAGATATAAAATTTGGCAGAAATGAACCTTCTTCTGATCCATCAAAACAAAGAGCACTACCCAGAAATTTAAAGTTTATCTATGAGATACATAAATTTTCACATATAGCTTTTTAATAATTTCCTTTAAAAACAGGGTAAAATGACTAAGGAATAAAGGGTTCCAGAATTCTTTTCTAAACTACAGAAGTCTAATCACAAAACAGTAAATAATCCATATTAAGTATATAGTGCAAGTGAAGCTACCTAATGTTTGAAATGTTATACTATAGCAGATATCTCTGTATAGCCATATCAAAGACATAAAACTATTAAACTGAATCATAAAATGATAAAAAAAAATTTCCAGGTTATCAATGAAGTTATTAATGATCAAATGATGAATGTATAAAAAATGCATAAAATGATGTTTTAATCCACATATTATTTTAATACATCAAAAGCATAAAGACATTTACAAACATTTATACTAAGCTCTTGCTTACATACATATTGATTATTGCGTACTTTGGGCCACATAAGCAATTTTTAGTCCTAGAGTAGATTTCCCCTGCCATCTCACACTTCTATGATCCATGTGATTACTTGTGATTACTTGAGGTGTATTTAGGGAATGCAAAGTAATTTCTAAATTAACTTAAGAAAAACTTAAGAAAAATATAAAAAAGAAATTTTGTTGCCCTCAAACCCCAACAACTTTCATTATTATATCAAATGAAAATAAAATACTTGTAGTTTTGGTCTTTTAGAGCAAATGCTCTATATTATCCATAACATTGCTTCCTCTTCGTTAGCATGGATAATTAAAGGTTGACTCTTTACATAAAAGTAAGTCTGGTTCTATTTTAATAATATTTAAATTTCAGAAGCTTTTAATACCTGAATCTAAAGTTGCAGGAGTTGTGGATCGGCTGATTGTGAGGAATATCTGAAACAGTTAGTAAAAAATCCCTGGATATGCACAGAGAGGAGATTTCGCCAGGACTCATTTGTATCATGGAGCAAAGTATCATGAATCAAATATGGAAGCACATACTGACAAAAGCTGGGTTTTACCTAGAATACACAAAGGGTTTAGGCAAAAATAACATGTCAAATTTCACATTTCCATTCCTTTCTACAGGCTTATTACACTTTTTTAAAAATGACAAATGTTAGTGGCAAATTGGTGAACTTAAAATCTCTAAGATTTACCAAAACTATAGGATCCTGATTATAGTTAATATTTAAGAAACAAATACATAGCCATACATTAATGTTGCTTTACAGTTGGAAGAATTATTAATATGTGAATATGTAGTCTTCCAAGAAACATACTCTTCCTTTGGAATACTAAGAAAATGAAGTATAGCACAAAAAGGGAAATCTGAAATTGTCAATTTTGCATATTTACAACAGTTATCCAGAGAGAGCCATGATACTGAAACACTAAAAATACGTGTTTTTAATAGTTTACCTAATTTTCAAAAATCTGCAAACCAGAGATTATCAAGACTGGTTACTTATAATGTATATCAAACTTTATATGAATTGTATTATATGAACAGTATGGTATTAAACTAATAGGATGAATATGACATCAAACTAAAACTAGAGAAAAATATATGTCTTTTATAGCGAACTAAGAAGTAGGAAGAGAATAATGATACATAAGTAAGATATGTTCCATATGCCAAAAGGATGAGGATGCCCATCAGTAACATTATCTTCAAGTATGAAGATTTGTAAAACACTTGTGGAAGATTGTGACTACCACACAGAAACAAGATTTATGCAAAATAAAGAAATTTTTTTTTAAAGTAAAAGACAGAAGAGATTAAGCCAAACAGAATCTTGGAGGTGATATGTATTCTTCTTACTTCACACAGTGGCTTTAGTAATAGAAGAATTTCACTTTTTATGCCCCCACTGTTCAAAAGTATACAAGTCAATGTCTTGATCCAACTATCATGGCTTTCTTCCTGAGGAACCCACAAATTTGAATCATCCAAGCTTTCCAAAGGATTTTCTTTGTCAATTCTAGGAATTTCTAGAAACTAAAAAGAAAAAGTTCAAGTCATGTGAAAGTAATAATGAGATATTATATTTTCTCTCATAGATCCCACAAGCTGCTCAACCTCCTCTTCTTCACAGGGTTTTTCTGAGGATGAAAAGAGATAATGTATGTGAAAGTATTACTTTCACATATATTACATAAAAATTCTGCCTTGCCAACGGCCTTAAAAAAAGGACTAAAATACAAAATACAATTGCAAAAGCAAAGCATTCATGGTAATGGGGTGTTCTAAAATTAAATTATCAACTGTAAATGATTTCTTAAGTGCTTGAGGTGTGGAGGTGGGGCAGTGAGAAAATGAGGAAAGCATGGAGAAGCAAAAAAGTTATCAAAAGGAATATACCTCCTTACCTTCCTTAACTAAGGCAAGGGCTTAAGAATAAAGATATATTTAAAATTACACAATCAATACTTTAGCTTTTCTTTTTGTAAAAGAACATTGTGATAAGTTGATTGGATGATTACTTATCACGATGCTATAGAGAAAATTCATGCTTCATGTAGAGATCAGACAAGATAATTTCTAAGGTTCTTCCCAACTTTAAAATTCTGTGACTGTAAGTTAAATCTTTCTGGAAAGAGGTATCTGCCAGTCTGCCAGAGGAGCCTAAAAAAGAGAATCTAAAGTGACTGAGGAGTAAGAGAATCACCACACAGAATTAAGATGACTGAACCCCTACTTCTCTAGGGAAAAAAATACACAAACCAATTTATAAAGATGGGAAACAGAAGAATTGCCTATCCTCAGAGCCATAATAGCCCTGTGCTTTTTTTTTCCCAAATGTGCTAAGTAAAGTGCACAATTTTAATTTTATTCTTGACTTAAATGTTAGTGGAATAAGATAAATTCTTTGAAGGGAATTGCATCTCATACTTCTCTATCTCCTACGATATTCAGTCTAGCACTAGGCATACAGAAGGTATTCAATAATTACTCAGCAAAGATTAAACATACCTTTTTCCTAGATGTTCTGAAAGGTTGTAGGTATATAAGCACAGGGTCAGCTGTTTTCTTATAAACCTCCCAGAACTCATGTCCAGTCTTTGTGGCTAAAATATTTTTCAAACATGCAACAGCAGCTGATCGAACCTTAACACTGAAAAACATATACATTTGAACCAGTACCTTTTACATATTTAATATAGGCACTTTTGACAAATATTAACAAATAATCAACAAATTCCTTAGAAAGCATGAAAATGAATTCAGAAATATATATGGAAGAATTTAATATACATTAAAAAAAACTTAATATGATAATTTAACGCAATGATGAAATTATAACCAAAGTATTCTACATGATCCTTCAACTTTAAAGGAAGAATATACACTTACCCATATTGAGTCCAGTGACATTTAAGGTATTACGACTACAAATTTATTAGACAAACTCTCTTTCCTTTCTTTGACCTTGAAAAGTAGTCTTTACATCTCATATGTACTTGTGTTCTATTCTGTGTTATATTTATTGCTAGATACGTCATATCCTTTCCTGGCCCCTCCTAGATCATAAGTTCCAGGAACAGAGACCACATCTTAGTTATCTTTGTATCATTCCATAGGCTCAATATTACATGTTTATTTTCTTCTTTTTCAGTTTGGAACTGTGATTTTACTGGGTATCCTGTCTAGGAAACACCCTCTGCAGATCAGCATCTGATCTGCAACTTAAAAACTTAGGAGAGCTGCCTGAGAAGTTAAGTGACTTGCTCAGGATCACACAGTAGGGATATGTCAAAAGCAGAACTTGAACTCAGGTCTTCTTGCATTCAAGGAAGTCAACTTTATATCCACTATACCAGAGGTATCAAAAACATGGCACAACACTCCCTAATTGGGAAATATTTAACAAAATAAATAAATGCAACAAAACACAGGTAACCGTGGTTTCCTAAGTCGGCCCACATGGATACTTAATTTAGTAACTTCCATTCTCTTTGAGTTTGATATCCCTGCACGACGCCAAGCTACTTTATACGTAACAGGTATTTAGTAAATGTTTGTTCATCTGAATTCTCCAAATGAATAAAGAGTAGCTGAGGATATCACAATCTAATAAGGCATGACTGCTTTTCATTTGAAAGTTAGAGGTAGGGTCTTATTAGCCTTAAAAACCATTTAAGACTTAAAAAGAGATTTAAAAATCAATTCCTCCTTCATGAACTGAAGAGATTATTTTTCTTCAGAAGGGAGAAGAATAAAAAATAAGGAAAAATAAAAAGGAGGAGGAAGAGGGAAGGAAAAGTATATTTTCCTCAAAATAGTGACACTATTGTCACTAATAGTTAAATATATAGCAAAATGATCTCAAAGTCAGAGTTCTAGCATCCTCAACCATTAAGAAAGCAGAGAATCAAAAATTGAGCTTAAAAAAAATCTTAAGTAGCATAAAGAATTACTGAATTACTTATATCTGATCTCATGGATACTTTCTTTTCTCTCTCTTTCTCTTTTTTTTCCCTTTTCTTTTCTTTTTTTATGTGTGAGGCAACTGGGGTTAAGCGACTTGCCTAGGGTCACACAACTAGTGTCTATGAAGCTGGATTTGAACTCAGGTCCTCCTGACTCGGCGCCAGTGCTCTATCCACTGTGCCACCTAGCTGTCCCTCTCTTTCTCTTTTTTTAAACACTATTTTTCCCGGTCCCTTCCTACCTGACCACTCCTTTTTAATCTGTTATGCTAGATCTTCATCCATGTAACTATTTTGAGTATATACCAAGACTCTGTCCTGGGCTACCTTCTCTTTTCTCTCTATGCTCTCTCACTAGTGATCTCATCATGTCTCACGACTTTAATTAGCATCAGTACAAAGATCTATATATCCACCCCTACTGTCTCCTGAGCCTCAGTCCAACATCACCAACTGCCTAATAGACATTTCAAACTGATGTCCCATAGATATTTCATACTCAACATGTCCAAAGAAAACTTATTATCTCTCCCCTAGTCCCCAAACCTATTCTTATTCTGAATGTCTATATCACTGTCAAGTCCTTTCAGTCATCCAGGTTCACAACCTCAGACTCATTCTCAGCTCCTCATTCTCCATCACTGCACATAGTCAATCAGCTCCATTTTGTTTCTATCTGTACAACTGACTTGTATAGGCCTCCTCCTAGAGTCAGTTAGGTGGCACCATGGATAGAGCTGGGCCTGGAGTTAGGAGAACCTGAGTTCAAATTTGACTTCAGATATTTACATATACATATATAAAACAAACCTGATTATCTGATTTCTCAGACCAGAAGAGATTAAAAGCAACCAAAAATAGGAAAAGTTGTAGGAGACATTCATATCAATAGCAGAAATAATTGGAGATGTTCTGATAACAAGAGAAAAAGAAGAAAAGCTACTATATTTTAGTCTAACTCAATAACTGAAAATCTTAATTCTGGATCATTAAGAAAGGTTGTTTTATTCAACATACTGTTTGAAATGGCAGAGAAATGTATCACGCATTCCAGAAAAGTTTCTATCAAAAATGGCTAATTTTTTTTTAAATTTGGTACTTAAAAACTTCATTTGTCAAGACTCATCTTCATCAGTTTAAATCCAACCTCAAATATTTACCAGCTGTGTGATCCTAGGCAAGTCACTTAACCATATTTGCCTCAGTTTCCTCATCTGTAAAATGAGCTGGAGAAGGAAATGGCAAACCACCCCAGTACGTTTTCCAAGAAAACCCCAAATGGGGCCACAAAGAGTTAGACATGACTAGAAAACAACTGAACATATGGAAAATTCATTCATATGCAATCTCATTTCCTAGAAGACAGATAAATTAGGTAGTATTACAGAAAAACTATCATTAAATACTCACCAATCTTCTACCAGTACATTATTTAGGTATGTGAGCATTATGAAGGTCCACTGTAGTTCTTTATCCTCAAATAAGTCAATGGCCTTGGAATAAGACACATCTTTACCATGTTTAATGGCTATTGTAGAAAAATCTAAAGGACCCACTTCTCCCAAGCAGCTTCCAATGGCCTCTACAAATAGAAATACCATTTTGGTATAAGCTGAATTTTTTGTAGAATTTCTGCAATGTTGAAAAAACTAAAATAATCTCTTAATGCCAAGAAAAGTTTACTTTTTCACAATATATTGTAAAAGATCTAGGGTGAAGTAAAGAAACAAATTTCTTTAGGCCTTGAATGACCTCAAATTTCTAACAGACACAAAAGCTCTTCTTAACACCAGTAACCTTCCAGTATCACTGAATGGCTGTAAGTCATGGAACACCACTGTCTCCAAAGAGGTCATTCAGCCACTCAGCCAGTGAGCAATGGAGAGGGTACAGAAAAACTAATCATGGCCTTAGGCATCTATGTATAGAATATATGTAATCAACAAGGTGAACTTCAAATTTTAACATGAATTGATAAATTTATAGAAGTCACCAAGACTCGGTGTGATGAGATTTATAATTAAAATACAGGAGTGGAAAGGGTATACCTTATTCAAAGAAATCCACAAATTAGAGAATGGGATGTGCACTTGGGTGTGGATGAAAGAGGAGACAGAAACAGTAAGTTTCACTCTGAAGACCTAAAAGAACTTACAAATAAGCCTAATTCTAGCACAACAGCACTTTGGAGATAGTAACTTTGTAGGGAGCAATTTCAGTAGAATGATAAGGTCAGAAGCAGATTTATAATTTAGTGCAAATCACACTAAATCAAAACACATAATCAGAACAATTTTCTGGCACATGAATTATACAGAATAGTGGCATAAACCCATACTGGAAAGGTGCCAAGCATTACAGCAGTCACTTGTGATCCTGCAGGGTTCTGGCAGTGTCTACATTTGCACTAGGAGAAGGTAAATTATGGGTGCTTCTGACTTTCCAGACTTCAAGACCAGGTCTCTGCTATAGTCTCACCCTAAAACCTCCATCTGTCATGCCAGCCCCCTGCTCCCCTGGTGCCTTTTTTTTTTTTCTGGGGTTTCCATTTTGGAGAGGCCACAGGCCAGCCAATCTTCATTCCCTTCTGACTTCCTGGACTTCCATACCATGCCCCTCTTCAAGAACCTTCATTCTTCCCAGCTGCTTTTCAGTCCCCTTTTGTGTGATGTCTTCCCCAATAGAATGTAAGCACTGTGAGGTGCTTTTTTGTTTTTTTTGCTACTTGTATTGTATTCCCAAGATTTATAGTGCTTAATAACTGCTTGCTGCCTTGTGAGAAAGAAGGTGATATTTTTCTAATTAGAGGGCTTAGAAAGGAGTACCTTTCTACTGGATGCCATGCTATTCTATAGAAGTTATGAGGAGAAGGCACAGCTGGAAGAGTAGAAATACTTTCCATTACTACCATTTGTCATATTTGAGGCAATAGTGCTAGAACAATTTTGAGCTAGACATTTCCTTCCCTCTCCTGTTCTGAATCTATGAAAATCTGTACAAAGCAGAAAATTTGCTTCCTATATTGGGAAAAATTGTTCCCAAATACATCTGGGGAAAAAAATCATTTTTTCTACTGGACACAAAACACAGAATGCTACTTTACTCCATAAAGTCTAGTCTCAAAACTTTTTTGTAGTTATGCTTCTCAGAATTCAGTGTAACTCTGGCACATGTCTGTTGACTAACTCTGGAAGCAAGAAGGCATTTATGATTTGCCCCAAGTCCTTTGCATATGGACACGTGTAATAACTGTTTAAACACACAATTTACATGAATAAAACATTGTCCTATCATCCACTTTTAAATCTGAGAAGGGAAAAAAAAGTATGAAAGAAAACTAACATGCCTCGTTTTCCTAACACCCAAATTAACAAAACTGCACTATATTTTTCTATGGTGGTAAAGATTTTGATGTATAAGATGTAAATAACTGTTTATGAAAATTTACATACATTTATTACGCTAAAAATTTTACCTTGTGGTATATGATTGTGATGGAATACTATTGTGCTATAAGAAATGATGAGCAAGATGCTTTCAGAAAAACCTGGGAAGACTTAGATGAACTGATGCAAAGTGAAGTGAGTAGAACCAGAAGAACATTGTACACAGTAACAGCAGTACTGTAGAATGATCAACTATGAAAGACTTAGCCATTCTGATCAGTATAGTGATCTAAGACAATCACAAAGGACTTCTGATGAAAAAAAGCTATCCATCCCCAGAAAAATAACTGACAGAATCTGAATGCTGATTGAAACATACTTTTTTACTGTCTTTATTTTTCTCGGGGTTTTTGGCCTGTTTTTTTCATTTACAATGTGGCTGATATGGAAACATGTTTTGCATGATTTCACAGGTATAAGTGATATTTCTTACCTTCATAGTGGGTGGGAGAGGGACTGGAAGAAGAGAATTCAGAACTCAACATTTCTAAAAGATGAATGCTAAATAATAAATAATAAAAATTTTTAAAATCACTTACCTAACACTTCCTTTTCACCAGTATGGTTTATTGCCATCTTGGATAACTGCAATAAACTCACAGTAAGCTTTACCATAATGCCATCTTGTGGGTTATCTAGGATTATGATGGAAAAAAATTATTATAAACATCCCATTTTTATTTAAAATACACATACATCAGTTCAAAAACAAATATTTATTAAGCACTGTGTGCAAGACACCTGCTAGGGACTGGGAGTACAAAGGCAAAAGAGAAATAATTCCTGCTTTCAAGGAGTTTACACTCTACCAGATGAGACAACAATCACAACAAGCAATTAAATTATCTAACTATAATTCACTGGATCATAGATCCAGAGCTATAAGGATTGCCAGAGACCACTGAATTCAATCCTTTCCATTTGTAAGATTTATAAATGATGAAGCTGATGCCAAGGGAGGGTCCTGTTTTTTGTTCATCAGTCCCTATGTGAAGCAAATGTAAGTTCTTTGAGGGCAGAGCCTGGTTTGTTTTTGTACTTCTCAATGCTGTACACAGAGTTATCACTTCTTTAATGTTTGCTGATTTGTATATTTCAAGTATATTCCCCTCAGTAAGTGCACATTAAATATGTTTGGAACACCCTAAAAATATAAAAGTCAGCCATACAAATGGTAAAAATGCAACCAGCAACATCTGAAACACAGGAAGAGATAAGCTAGTGGGGCAAATTTTAGGATGAAAGGAAAAGGCTCAAAAGAATTCTAAAGTAACAAAATCATTGGTGCTGATGATAAAATACAATCAACCTGGCAGAAAGGCACTGGACTTGGAAAAGACCTAGGTTTGAGTCACAGTTTTGCCAGCCACTATTTCTATGACCATGGAAGTCACTTAAATTTTTCAAGCTCTCATATGTACAAATGTAAAAATAATATTTTGGGAAGAACCTAAGAGGGGGGTGGTGTGTGTGTGCTATTATTATAATGAAACCCAGAATACTAGCTTCATAAAGGACCTTTAGGAATTACTGGAATATAAACCAGTACATACTCTCTTTTTTCCAGGTCTCCAGCAATGGAGTTCAATGAGGAACACAGAATTTACAACAAAAAATATGTCTGTAGTTGGATTTCTACAGGAAGGATATTCTCATTGGCCCCATCTCTTTCATTTAAAAAAAAAACTGTTGATGCAGTTTATCTTTACATCACAATCATGATCCATCCCCAGAATAATTACTGTCAACAGGAAAGCTACATTTAAGAAAATCTACAAGATTTCTATAATATGACACATAACTCTGATCACCTTAATCTAACACGCAAAAACTCATTACTCCTTATAACCTACTGAATAAAATTTCAAATCGTTAGCCTGGCATTCAAAGTGTCGCACAATTTGGTCCCAATTTACTTTTCCAGGCTTCACCAAGTCCTCTTTACTTAGTTTATGTTTTAATCAAACTAGACTTTGTAATAAGTATGCATAAAAAATGACATGTTGTATATAAGAAATCACAGGTTTGCTTCTAAATTAAGATAATCTGATACATAAAAATCTAAACTCTAAAAAGAGATAAATTAGGGAAGATGAACATTAGGAAAGAATTTTTGCTTTATTTCAAAACATTTATTAATTGAATTCCTCTATATAATGAGCTTCTATAGTGTAAAAAAAAATGCCATAATAATTTGGTACCCTGAGACTCTTTCAAAAGGTCCTTCATCTGATCTTTATGTTGTTCCAATTGCTTTCGAAGTTCCTTTAATCCTTCAAGTCTAGTCAAAGGCAGTGAATCACAGACACTTACTGAAAGGAAATGGTTAATTTCCTAGAAAGGAAAAAAATTAATTTAAAATTGCTTCCAATACTAAACAAGAATTAAAGACTGAAATAATAGCTATATAAAAAGTCTGCCAGTGCATGGAGTTGACCTTCTGAGGAGGATTTAAAGGACAATACAGATAAGAATCTCAAGGGATAACAAGAACAGTATGTTACAATACTTATCATTAGAGTACGCATACAGAAAAGACGGCTTTAAAATAAGTATGGTATAAAGATATGCACATAACATTATAATACGCACATATCAAACAGACAAATGTCAAACACACATAAAGCTCGATGAGATATTGTCCAGGTCTCTCATTTTAAAATGAAGAAAATGAGGCCTGATAAGGCTAGGTGATTTGTCCAAGGTCACACAATGAATGAAGGACTAGAATGTAGGTTTCCTGACTCTCTAATTCAATGTGCTTTTCATTATACCATGCTGGTGTTGAGGTCTGGGGTGCTGAGACCCCAAAATCACGACACATGGGTCTTGTCTAAAAGAAATCGACCCAAGCTTTTTTTCAGCCAGAGACAAGGTTTAATAGAACATCCGTCATATTGGGCGAATCTAAGCATTGGAATTGCTAATGCAAGTGGGCCAGACTTTAAGAATCTGAGCACCTTAATGGAGACAAGATGGAACTTATATACAGAAAGACTGTGGGAGGGATCTAGGAGTGGTCAAGTAGTCTGGGCTGCCTGGATCTGGATGGGAGTGGCCAATAACCTGGGGTGAACAGAATGCCTGGAACTGGACCACATGGGCAAGGGAGAAGGGAGTCCAGATAGGATTAAGGGTGGGAAGTGGCTGAGGGCCATCTGCAGGTAGATTTAGGTGATAATGAAAGGCTAGTTGATAGGATTCTAGCCTCAGAGGAATGCCAGAGATTTAGCCATGAGGGAAAATCCAGGGTTTTTTCCTTTTTGGGGTCTAGTCCCATCCCCATTACTGGCTCTAGACAGGCTCCAGTTCAAAGCAGACAAAATGCTTTTTCCTTATAACAGGTTATTTTCAGAATTTCAATGTTGTCTGACCTAAACCATCATCAATATAAGTTTTTTCACAGCTGGAATTATTAGGAATAACATAGAAATATTTCATAATAATATCGATAATGTCAACCTATAAGTACTGCCTTTTCTAGAAAGTCCTTTTGTCCATTTTCCTGAATCATAATGATGAGGTCTAGATTCTTGGGGTGCTGGGACCCCAGCACAACACTCGTGCCCTGCCCGAAGGAATCTGAACAAAATTTTCTTTCAACCAGAGACAAAGTTTTATTAGGGATGGGCCATACAGGCCAGGAATCTGAACATTAGTGACACTAGTAAGAAGCGCTATGGAGGAAATCTCAGCGTTTAAAGGGGGGCCCAGGTAGATCTTATATACACTCAAGTAATTTTGGGTGACCAGAGCGGGGGCTGGGAAGAGGATCTGGGTGACTGGAGGATGAGTTTGGGGAGAATGGGAGTATCTGGATGGGGTCACCCGGGAATAGACAATGAAGGGTTAGCTTTTTATTAGGGTAACAAAGAACTGGAAGGAAGAGGCTGAATTGGGTCTGGATGAGATCAAAGATGGGATATATCAAAAACTAGGATCCAAAGCTTCAAAGGGAGATAGAGTGGGAATAAGAGATAAGGAAAGGCCAGTTGACTAGAGTATAGCCTCAGGTAACCATTTGAGATCAGAGTGAGGTCAAAGAAAGTTTAAGGGTTTTCTGGGACCTGTAGACAAATGGGACCCAAATTCTTTTTGGAGCAAGGGGCAAAAGTCTCGGCTTGGGCCCATACCCCATTAATAAAGGTAAGAAATGATCATTCTTATCCCAGTTTTGGTGCAAAATAGAAATGAAACGGGAAGAAAAAAGAAGACACACACACACACTCACTCATATCATAATTTTACTAAAAGCAAATTTGGCCCAAGAACCCTATAAGAAAGCATAAAATTCAGTTCCTGATTTTAGATGTCTGAAATTGTGCTATTATTTATATACACTATAAAAGACACATGGCAGACTCAGTGAAAGCATTTAACTATGAAAGGAAGATTGCAGTATCTATAGATACTGCATGAAGATTGATATTTTTTATATAACATATAGGAATAAATCTCTTCTTCCATTTCAAATTCTTTTTTTCATGTCTTTCAAATTCAAGTCTTTCCTATAAGGTTACTGAATGGATCTTTGATCTAGCTTGGTGATCTCATCAGCTTCCAAGGACTCAATTATCACCTCCATGCATATCACTGTCAGATCTATTTTTCCAGTCTTAATCTCTATGCTGACCTCCAGTCTCACATCTCCAAATGCCATTCAGATATCTTGAACAAGATATCCAATAGACATCTTAAACTCAACATGTCCAAAACTTAACTATCTTTCCCCCCAAATCTTCCCCTCTGCCAAGCTTCCCTCTTTCTGTCAAGGGCATCATCATCATCCTAATCACCCAGGCTCATAACCTAAGTATCATTCTTGACTCCTCCCTCTCTTACCTCACATAACCAATCTGGTGACAAGTCATGTAGTTTCTACACAAGGAACATCTCTTGAATATACCCTCTTCTCTCTTCTGACACAGATGGCAAAAAAAGTGCAGGCCCTTATCACCTCACACCTGGACTACTGCAACAGGATTCTGGTTGGTCTCCTTGCTGCAAGTCTCTCCCTACTACAATCCATCTTCCGCTCAGCTATCCAAGCCAATGTCCTAAAGCATAAAGACCAACCACAACCTTCATGACTTTTAGAACCCAACACACCTGTGGTCAAGGTGGAGCCTGTTATTAGTGTTGCCCCCCCTTCCATGCAGACATCCAGGAACATGTGGCACAGGGCCAGGCAGGAAACTTTGTTGCCAGAGGGACAAATTCTGTGAGACAGAATGACAAAAACTCATTCAGACAGGCTTCCTGACCTTCATCACTGCATTCTCCATGGACCAAGAAGAAAAGATTTATGTACAGCACCACCTCCAGAAGCACAAGATGCTGCTACGGGAGCTGCTGAACCAGCATGAAGCCTACATTTACCTAGCGGGCTTGTTGTTCTGATCAGAGGGTAGACTCTCAGGCCCTGATGCTGCTCCCTATACCTTACCGAGGTGGAGACCATGTGCTTTCAGGCCAAGTCCTGGGAGATGCTCTCTACAATCCCTCTCCCCTTATACCCTACTTAACCCCTACTCTCAGATTTGGATCTGACACTCCACTCTTCAGATCTTGGTCTTGAACACATTCTTTAGGCCCTCTCCACCCATACCTGTCTTCCCTACTCTGTGACTAGATCTCACCATCTTTACTCTGTCCCAAGATCTGGATGTTTTTCTTTACAACTAGAGATGCTGATGATCTTCAGTTGCTGTTAAAAAAAAGAATGACTAAGGGGATAGAGCAAGGCCAGGGTATCTGATTCTGTGATTAGCTAGGGAAGTGGGATTGAGATGTGAATGACAAAGCAAGAATTTGGCAAATTGAAAAAAAATTACACATATACCCCTCGCTCCCCACTCAATAAATTCCAATGAGTCCCTACCTTGGCCCTTTCCTACCTTTCCAATTTTTTTACATTTTATTCCTCTCTGCATCCTTTGTTATCCAGAGACATTGGCCCTCTTGCTGTTCCTTACACAGGACACTCCATCTCCAGACTCTGTACTTTTCACTGGGATCTACCATGCCTAGAATGCTCTCCCTTCTTATCTCTACCTCAGGGCTCCCCTGGCTTCCCTTCAAGTATCAGCTCATATCTTATATTCTGTAGGAATCCCTTCCAATTTCCCATAATGTTAGTTTCTTCCCCCTGAGAGTGCTTACTATTTATACTTTATATATCTTGTATGTACATAGTTGTTTGCATATTATTTTTCCCATGAGAATGTGAGCTTTTTGAGGAAAGAGATTTTTTTTTTTGCCTTTCTCTCTACCCCAAGAGCTTAGCATGGTGCCTAGCATATAGTAAGCACCTAATAAATGCCTGCTGACTGACTACAGAGCTCAATTTTGGAATACACAGAGCTGGCAATGATCACATGGAATGGACATAGGAGATAAAGAGCCTGTGCAGGAGATCAGTTATCAAAAATTTTTCAATACCTATTTTCAGATTCCCCCAAAATGAAGCTAAACATAGTATTTAGTTTTTAAATGCCCACACAAGAAAGTTCCAAGTCCATAAGAAGGAAAAAAAATACACTGACAATATTATCTAAGTTTTCCAAAGATTCCATTCTTTTAAAGACATGAAATGCTTCTTGATACAAATTTACTAAACTGGAAGAAGGCCTGTTTTCAAAATGGCTCTGTTTTACAAGCATTCCCTCTGAGTAAGATTTAAGTCTAAATTAGAAAATTATCATTTTAATTCGGAATCTTTCATATTTTCCCTTCTGATATGAGATAAGATTCAATACTGTCATTATGTTTCTGACTGTCTTGGGGCCTGTAGAATACTTATTGCAGGCAGGGATTCAGGCAGCAGAGAACTATTCAATCCCATCTAATTTAAGTTCAATTTCTATTCAATATATCACAGAATATCAGAGAGAAAAAGAATCTCAGGGGTCATCTAGAATAGCCTACTCCTGAAAAAGATTCTCCTCTACAATATAATCAACAAATGGTCATCCAGTACAGAGAAGCCTGGGGAAATTTATATGAATTGAAGCAAGGCCAAAAAAGTAGAACCAGGAAAACAATATAAACAATGACTGCCACGATACAAATAAAAGTAACAATAAAATAACCAAAACCAAATAATATTAAGTTATAATGACCAAGTGGCCCCAAGGAAAAGATATGAGAAGGTACTTCAAGCCCCAACTTCTTTGTAGAGGTTAGGGACTATGAGTGTGCAACACTGCATATACCGTCAGGCTTTTTTCCAATATGTTGATTAGTTTTTTATTCTTTGTATAGGGTGACTCTCTAGGAAGGAGTGGGTGAAGATACATTTGGAAATGGAGGTGATGTAAACACAAAATAGCAATAAAAATTTATTTATAAGTTGGAACCTCCGATTGGAACAACTCCACCTTACATCCATCAGACGGGCAAAAAAGACCAAAACTGAAAATAACCACGTTGGAGAGCCTATAGGAGGTCAGGGTTACTAATACACTGCTGACAGAAGGAGGATGTATGCAATGGGAAGCAAACATGAAACACTGTCCTCTGCTTAGCAAGAAAGAAGCCCAACAAGTAGTAAGAAGCAGCTGGTCCCAGGGATCTATTCTGCATCTGGAAAAACTTGCCACACTCTAACAGAGCATTATCTGTAATTTTTATGGCATTCAAATATATAAACATACATAAACATACTGCCTGATGAGTCTCATGGCCACACTAAGAATCATAAGAATCAGAGTAACCATATCAAAGGCAGATCCAGGAGTACAGAAAAGGCCAACATATTTGGGCATAATTGATATTCTTATTTTAAAGTCATACCCTAATATCCCCAAGTCTGGCTCTGCAATGGTTATGAGGTTAGTTCTGAAAACAGAAACCACAGCTTCTGTCTGTACATCTGAGCATATACTTTCATCCTTAGTGTTTCCCTCTAAAATGCAATCTAAATTCAGAGTTTATGTTAGTAACTCAGAAAGACAAAGTAACTAGTAACAACAAAAAATGCTGGACAAAGAAACAAAACAATGTAGCTGACACCTCTCCTGTACTCTTTAAAAGCTCACTGAAAGAGACTCAGCAATCTCATCAATTAATTTTTTCTATATGCAAGAATGTAGTTCATCTGAGATGGGTACTCTGAAAAGAGTTATTCTCTCTACCAGGTTATTCCATGTACCAATTTCTGGACACTTTTTTCCTAACTGCTCCAGTCATGCAGGTTACCGATTCTTCATCACACAGAAATTAAGTAACAGATTAGTTATCACTTTACCTCCATGAGTGAAAAGGGTCCTTTACTGTATTTGATTTTCTGCTGAGCGATACGTAAGTCCTTAAAGGCATCGTGGTCAGGAAACGGGTCTAGGAGTCTAATTGTATGATAAAGGTTTTCATTGTCTTTGTTATCTATCACTAGGTATTTCAACAAGTCCAAGACCTAAATGTACATAGAAAAAAAATGGCTTCATTAGAATTCGCACAACTATAACAAACTGCCACTATAATCAAGGAAATCAAATGAATTAAATAGTTGCTTTAAAAATGCAGGATATTGTGTTTTAAAAACCGCAAAAGCACTAGAACACTTAAAATATGCAATTTCTGACATAGGTTATATTTAAAACATTCCTTTAAAAATCCAGTAATAAAAGGTATACATAAGACATATGATTCTTACCAACAACATTCCATTTTAAAGAAATACTTGTTAAGATGGTCCAGAAAATTACCTGCTCCTGAATCTTCAGCTGGTCACCCACTAAGGGTATAACTGTCCCCACAATAACATGAAGGTGGCTTTCCAAAGCATCCTTACAGTAAGTCACTGCTGTCTGACAAACTTGACTTAACAGGTCACAGCAGAGTGAGAAGCTGCGTAATGATACATCCATGAAGTGAGAAGGCCTAATACAGAAAGAAAAACTTGATTTTAAAATGTCTTTTTTTCCCTAGTCCAAAAGCCAAACACTTGTATTCATCTCCTCTGATTCTTATATAAGTTGGCAGAGTAATCGTTTTTATAAATCACATATTTTAACACGCAATAAGGACTGAAATGAAAAAGCAAAAGAGCTGACAATAAAAAATGTATGGCCGTGCGCAAGTCACTTAACCTCTCAGGTCCTCAAACTTTCTAAGACTAGAAATTAAAAGATATCACTTATCTGCATTAATGAAGGGAGTTAAAGAAATGTGAGCTCCCCATATCAAAGATTTACAGATCTGTTCCTCCCCCTACAAAATTTAGATGTTATTCTATATAGAGTTTATTTTGTGAAAACGTAACAATAAACCATAGAGATATAATTTAAAAGTAAAACTCAGAAAACTTTTATTTGCTGAGTAATCTCAGTCTCAATTTCTCTATCTGTAAAACTAAGATGACATCTGTATTATTTACAAGATCTGTTGTGAGGATCAAGTAAGATAACAAATGTAAAGTGCTTCACAAATCTTAAAGTATGATATAAGATATCAGAGAGCACTGTTCTGAAAAATATCTTGTGAGCTCCTACATCTTAAGATAGTATCTTTAAAGGCATATTTGAAATAACGTGAACAGAGTGAGGGATAAGAGTATAAGAGAGTATAACACTTTTATGGTGATTTCTATGTGCCAGGCACTATGCCAAGCACTTTATAATTATTACCAAATGTGATTCCCACAATAATCCTGGGAGATAGGTGTTAAAGTGAAGCAAACAGAGCTTAAGTGACTTGCCCAGGGTCACATAACTAGTGCCTGAGGCCAGATTTGATCTCAGGTCTTCCTGACTCCAGGCTCAGCGCTCTATGCACTGTACCACCTAACAGTCCCTTGGATTATATTAATCAAAAAACATACTTACCGGCTATTGATATAGTGGATCAAGGTATAAATAACATCTCGAAGAACAAAAGCCCAAGCTCCACCCAAGCCACTTTTTATTTCTCTCAGTAACAAACTAACAAAGAGATGATATATTTTAAGAATTCTATTTTTTTTATATACATTATTTGTTTCAGCTGCTTGTTCACATATGGCTAAAAGGATTTTCTGGAAGGAATCCTAAAAAACAAACAAAAAAACTTTAATGAAAATCTTCTTAAACACATCAAATATAATATTCAAAAAATAAACTGTTTTTTATTCAAAAGTGCAAATACAATTTAGATACATGTTAGACCAAATGCAAAATGTTATTTCAAAAGTTATGAATTTTTTCCTTAAGCTATTAAAGCCAGTTTTTAAAAGGTGCTTTTTTTTTTCAAATGAGCTATAATTTGGAGGAATGTTCTTATCCAAAAGTAAATCTACTTCCATAAAGAAATGCCCAAAGAATCTAGGGGAAGAGGAAAACCTTAAAAGCAGCATATAACAAGAAAAGCCGCCTCACTAAGCAGATCTGGATTACAGTCCCATTAAAGAGAACAATTTAGGAAAACCTCAGGTGGGACCTAGATTAGAATTTACCTGTGAGTGCTGCCTCAGCCTCATTCCCAATCCTAATCCCCAAAGCCTCGAGTCATTTCTTTCTAACTACAATAACTAAAAGGAATGTAACCTATAAACTTTATAACCCAACTGTGACACAAAGGTAAATAAATACTAGTGTGTGAAACATAAAGTTATAAAACTAAAATCTTTAGATATTTTCTACCTTCTACAAAAGATATCTATTTCCTTTGATGGACTTAATTCTCTATCTTTTCATTCTTAAATCACCCTTCATTTTCTTCAAATTAAGCTTCTGATTCCTCTCCAAAGGACTTTCTCTTTCATGCCATAAAAATCTCTTCACCATGGAAACTCACCCCAACCTTGGACTACTTCTCAAATCAGCAGTAGCCTTCCTCTATATGGTCTTACCTTCTGATTGGCTGTTCCTCACGGAACCTATGATTTAAGGAGGCCCAAGCCAAAGATGTCTTCATCCCTCTCCAGGCTTCAGTGCTGACTCATCTCCAAAGGACTTTCTCACCCCTCATGTTTCAGTTCCCTTTTACTTTTTTATGTTGGCTTCCCTCATTAAAACATAAACTCCTTGAGGGCAAGGACTGTCTTTCTGTTTCTATTTGTACTTCCAGTGCTTAGTACTATTAAGTGCTTAATAAATGATTGTTTACTAAGACATAGCTGGAGTTCATAAGACATACAAAGAGGTCATATTTCTAGCTGAAAGATAGATGAATTTCTTTTTGGTTACCTGATTCATAATTTTATACTTACTGGGTTCTTAGAAAGAATGTCTAAAATACTTTTAGACTTGGTTTTATGGCAATTGCTGATATAAGCCAATGTTGCTTTGATCACATGTGATGGAAAATGTGGAGGATTAGGTGCAGGATCAAGGTCTCTAAAAATCATAAGAAATAATGAAGTGATAATCATCAGAGTAAGATTGCTTGGAAAATATTTCAACTATGTTAAGGACAAGAACTGCCCAAAGAAAAACAACAGCATGTAATGAGTAAAATAAAAACTGACATTAAAAGCAGAAGTCAAATTTTTATTGGAATAAAATCATAACTGATATACTTCCAATGAAGTCTGTGCATTTCTAATAACAAATCAATAACAATTACCCGTTTGACCATTCTATTAAAAGTGATTTGCTTAGGATAATATAAAGAATCTATGTCAGGTATAAAATAGCATTTTGATTACTATTAATTCAAATAGATATACATTTTTTGTTAATATGAATTTCCAAAACACTGGCAATAGTTATGTATTTTGAGACAAACAAACAGCATGTCATTTTAAAGTCAAGCCCGTCAGTCAACTATAAAGAATATAGAGCAAAGGGTGTGCATGTCTTTTCGCACACGTGTGCATTTGTGTGAGCACAAAGTTCACTGAGACTACCTTATCTAGTTATCAAGTTGAGACTTGTGAAATAGTAGAAATAAAGCCAGAGAGTACAAATTACAAAGGGTCTTGAAAACCAATCAATCAATGAGAATTTCATTAAGTGCTTACTATAAGCCAGGAAGAGAAGTACGGACTAAGTTCAGTACGTAATAGTGACTAATTTTTTTTCCTCTTCACAAATTGCTTTATACAATGAATGGTCCAAGTCAAAGCTCTACTAAGAATGTTCTCCTCAAGCCCTTCAACAATGACAAGTCCCATCTTCTGTCATCTCTGCCAATTTGCTGGGGGTAAGGTGAAATCTTAGAAATATTCTGATTTACATTTCTCTTATAGTTAATGTTTTTGAGCAATCTTTCATATGATTAATAGTTCATAATTCAATTTGGAATTATAAAGAAGAAGGTGACTCAAATATCCATACTCTTTCACTTAGAGATCCCACTGTTAGGCATATACTCCACAGAAACCAAAATATTCAAAGCAGCATTTTTTGTAGTAGCAAAGAAATGAAAACAAAGTAGGTGCCCATTGTTTGGGGGAATGGCTGGACAAAATGTTTTGAGAGAATGTAGTGTGACATGATAAACACTGAATATGAAGAAATCAGAGAAGTATAGGAAAGAAAGCTACTAATAAGTAAACAGTCAACCTGTAGCCTATGCGATACCAATATATAAAATGCCAGCTAAATTGTCTTTATGTTTTTCACATAAGACATTCCAGCTCCTGTCTCCATGCCTTCATGCCTGAAATGTCCTCCCTTCTCATATTCACCTCTTAAGATCCAAATTTAATTCAAAGATTTGATCAAATGCAATCTTCTTGATGAGAGCTATGTGGATGACCACAACTGCTACTGCCTATTCCCCAAAATTACCTACTATTCACTTTGTATACATCTTGTATATAATTACATATGTACATTTCGTCTCCCCCAACAAAAGGCAAGCTCTTTGAGGACAAGGACTGTTTCACTTTTGTTTCTGCATCCCTAGCACCTATCACAATGCCTGGCATATGACTGACACATAACAAGGTCTTACTAATTTGAATTGATGAAGAACAAAACAACCAGGACTAAGAAAACAATACATAAAACTATAACAACATAAAAAGAAAGAACAATAAAATTAAAATACAAATCTGAAAAGTAATTACAATGACACTGAATGTGCCCACAAGGAAGAGATGAGAAAAAGCAGTCTCCTCCCTTCTTTGCAGAGAATGGAGGTACACAGGTATACTATACGCAAACTGTTAAGATTTGGCTCCTTTTGTTGAACTGCTTTTTTGATTCTTCGTGACACAAGATGACTCACTTGGAGAGAAGAGGGATTCATTTAGAAATGAAGGTTGTGTAAAACTAAGATATTAATATTAAAGAATTTAAAACTGAGACACTACAGGCCTTTGAATAAACAAATCATATAATAAGACTTCTTAAAAAAAGCTGAGCTTGGATGTAATATGCAAGATGAATTATAGTTTTTTGGTCCAGACTAGTGATGTCATTCTTTCCTTCCACATAGATTTGAAACTGATCTTTAACTGTCAGTCTCAGAGTTGCCTGGGGCACTGAGAGGTTAAATAAATTATTCAAGAGCACAACCACAGTGTCAGTCACAAGACCTGAAATCAGGTCTTCTTGACTAGTGCTTGAACCACTATACAACACTGTCTCATAGACTGTCTCCCTGCATTAATGACCGGGCTCTTAAAGTTTCTGTACCACATACCCCTCTGGGTCTGGTGAAGCTTTTGATTCCCTTCTCAGAAAAATGGTTATGAAGAATAAACATAAAATATACAGGAATATAAAAGAAATAAAATGTATGAAATGTAGTTATCAAAATATGTTTTTTTAAAAAGTTCATGGACCCGAAGTTAAGTATCCCTTAATCAGAAGGAAAGAAATATGAAGCAGGGACACTTGTTTAAGGTCTGCTGTTGTATAACTCTAGGTGTTATGTGTAGTGGTGCTAGACTAAGATGGGAGTGGGAGGAATGGACAGGGGGTAAATCCAAGAGACATTTCCAAGAAAGATAGGACAAGGTCTGCTAACATATTAGAAGCCAAAAGGATTATATTAGTTACAGAAAATGGAATTAAGTGTATTTTCATATTTCATGTGAGTTTCAGAAAAGAATAGCTTCTTTTTGTTTGTTTGTTTGTTTTCTGTTTTTAGGCAATTGGGGTTAAGTGACTTGCCCAGGGTCACACAGCTAGTAAGCATCAAGTGTTTTGTCTGACGCTGGATTTGAACGCAGGTCCTCCTGACTTCAGGGCCGGTGATCTATCCACTGCGCCACCTAGCTGCCCAAGAATAGCTTCTTAACAGTGTTAAATGTTGCAGAGATCTTGATGAAGACAAAATCTCAGAAAAGGCATTTAGAAGATCACTAGTAAAATCAGAGGCTCAATTTCACTCTAATGATAAGGTTAGTGGCCAGGTTACAGAAAATCCCACAGTTATTAAGATGACTAAGAAATCATGAAGGTATAGGTACAGACTGTAAATGTAGGTATTTGGAAAGAAAAGGAAGGCCAGAGACAAGATAGCATTTAAAAGGCGTAGGAAGGTCAAGGAAAGGGTTTTTTTTCTCCCTTAAACTAGGAAGGAAATTCTGACAAGAACTTAGAACCAGATCGTATTTTGAACTACAGGTATCAATTTTAAAGTGAACAAGCATAGATCTGACACAACATTCAATCCCGAAAGACACAGATACTTCTGAAGATGTGAAGACTATTCCACCTGTCACCCCTCACCCCTGGCTGCCCCATCCCCCAGGCAATTTGAAGCTGTGGCTATTTCTTTAAGTTTTAAAAATTCATACCCTGAAAAGTTAGAGAGGTCAGTGCTTTCACCATCTTCAGTATCTGCTGGCTCATGTAACGTCATCAACAATTCCACTATGATTTCTGCCAAGTTACTGTTAAGTAAGTGATCGATCTGCAAAGACAAAAATTAAGACACTGAAACTTCCTGACTTGCAAATGCTTGGCTTACTCACGAATGTCCTTCAGGAGAAACACCAATCTAAGAAAAGGAACTTTCTTTCCACTCCTCTCTTGCTTCTGCTTGGAATTTTCCATGTTCTTTACCTAAAAATTGCAGGGCTGGTGGTAGTAACTGAGGTTTAAACTCCTGAGGCTAATTATCTCTCCTATCCATCACTACGACTAGGAACTTTGATAAGTCTTACAGAAGACTTTCTCAGTCCTCCAATTTTTCATCCCAGAGTGCTGAATCCACCCATCCTACCTCCTATAATGAAATACTTAGGCTAGTGCAAGTGTGCATGTTCCCCTGAAATGTAGATGAAAAGTAAATATTTGATTTACTGCAAAAACCAATCATTGGTATGTAATTTAATCTTTTCCTTACGGGACCTAAGTGAAAAAGATGATGATATAAGAGAAAATTACTTAGCTCCTAATCTCTGTATTCCTAATAGTAATTCAAACAATTAGAAAACCTCAGAAAAAAACTGTGTTTTCTTGTGTCAGACACAGGAAAATAAGGGAAAATGTATGAGACTACATTTTATTCAATTGTAAGGTAGGGAAGAAGAGGAATCCTTATCAGAAGCAATCAGGGTAGCAGTGAAAAGGTGGCAGCAGGCAAATAAGATGTCACTCTTGACGAAGAAATGCTCTTGAGAAGTTGCACCAAAAGGAATTCTTAAGCCCCACATATCCTCTGTTGGCATGGAGCTCTTAATCTTTGTACCCCTTAAACCCAAGAGCCATTCACTGGCTTCCAGCTACGTTGCCTCCTGGTATTGCCTAAAAAGTCTGAGAAGTCCTCTAACCCACTGAAAGGGAAGACCAAAAGATATCTTTCTGATATCCCATGATAGATCATTTCCCCATGAAAATATATTTATGTATTTCAAGTTTTTGTCTTTGCTTTTGTTTGGGGCAGGGTGGAGGAGAGACAGGGTTTAGTACACATTTTGAAAACAGACTAAACAAGTTTTTAAGTGTTGACCTCTGGATATAACTACCATATAATATTATAATATGGAAAAATGTGTTCCAAATAACTAGTTTACAAAAAAAATCTGGATTCATAACTTGAGGTTTGCCATTATGGTTAATACTCTGAAGTCTATGAATGAAGTTTATCAAATCTTTCACCCTGCCTCATTTTAAAGCATCACTCAGAAAATTTTATCTACCTTCCTTAGTTTATTTCAAATATACCTCCATGTAAAACTTCAACCCTGATACATTACTTAAATATTTTATAAAAATATTAATGCTAAACAAATTAATAAAACCTTAAGTCTGAAATCTAGTGGCATTGCAATGAATAAATGGATTAAAAATGTAAATGTACATGTAAATATATAATTAAGAAAGAGTTGATCATACCTGTTTCCCTAAGATATTTTCATCTTTAAGCATATCATATACTTTAGTAGCAGTATCTCTTCGCTCTGATATATCACTGTCCCCTGTGGTCTCAAAGGCAAAATATGGAAGAATGTTTACAAGGATCTTTGGAAAGCAATCTGTTAGAAGGCTTTTCCAGTCCTTCTGAATCTGGTCAGCAATGGACTTCACATCTTCAAATTGACCTCTCATCACCAAAAGTGGAATCAAAACCTTATAGCAAGACCTGTGGATGAGATCATTTTAAGTTACAAAGAATAATTTTTTAAAATTCCATTTTCTAATGCTGCTCCCTCCTGCCCCCATTTCCCTAATCTGAACTTATGAAACACTGACATGCAAAACTCTTGGTAAAGAAAGTCCTTGTAACAATACAGATCGGCAGTTTCTAAGAGAGTTATTTGGCAGACAATGGGAAGTTAAATGAGCTGCCTATGGCCACACCAGTTATTTCATATCTATTAAGATGCAACTGGGGCAGCTAGGTGGTGCAGTGGATAGAGCACCAGTCCTGGATTCAGGAGGACCCGAGTTCAAATCCGGCCTCAGACATATAACACTCACTAGCTGTGTGACTATAGGCAAGTCACTTAACCCCAACTGCCTCACAAAAAAAGAAAAAAAAAAGATGCAATAAGCCAAGATGGTGAGGTAAAAGCAGGGACTCCCTTCCCCAAATCCCTCCAAATACTTGTAAAAATGACTCTTAAATTCTAGAGCAGCAGAACCCACAAAAAGAGTGAAACAAATTTTTAGCCCAGGACAACCTGGATGGTCAAGGGCTGGGAGAGGAGCACAGTTCAGCGTGGACCATCTCAGGCACAGACAAGACCTCAGCAAACCTGGAGCAGGCCTCAGGGGACTGAATTAGGTAACGGTGGTAGGTTCCAGACTCCTCAACCCAAAAATGCCAAAGACAACTTAAAAGGTCAGTAGAAAAGGTCTGTTGGACCTAGGTGAGAGAGGAGTGTAGTGTGGGCCCTGTGGCAGTGGAGGCTGCTTCTAGAGCTCTCAGCACATAGACAGGTAGGGGATCGAACAACTGATCAGAAGATTATAGAGATCTCTTTGCTGGCACTAAGGCAGGATTCGGTTGCTTTGTCCATACTTGGATCTGGGTTGCAGTCCTGTGTGGCAGTCCTGGGGCAAGGAGGAGCACTAGCATAGCAGAGCTTGTAGCATCAGTGGAGAAGAGACTCTCCTCACAGTTCAAAGGCAGAAAAGGGTGCTTGTGGTCACTCAAAGACTTAGATCATACCACCTTGGAAGAAATGAAAACTTACAGGTCCCTAGAAGTATCTCTGAAAATAGCTGCACAAACCCCCGAAGCTTGGGACAGTGCACCCTCCACATGGGAAGCAGAGCCTACCCAAGCAAAGAGTTAAAAAGTAAAGCAACTGGCTGGGAAAATGAGCTAACAATGGAAAAAAACTCAGACAAAGAATCTTACTTTGGTGACAAGAAAGATCACAACATACAACCAGAAGAAGACAACACAGTCAAAGCTCGTACATCCAAAGCCTCCCAGAAAAATAGGAATTGGTCTCAGGCCATGGAAGAGTTCAAAAAGGATTTTGAAAATGCAAGTAAGATATGTAGAGGAAAAAATCAGGAAGAAAAATGAGAGTGATGCAAGAAAATCATGAAAAATGAGTCAACAGCTTGCTAAAGGAGACCCCCCCAAAAAAAATACTGAAGAAAATAACACCTTAAAAAACAGACTAACACAGAACACTTACTAGCTGTGTGAACCCTGGGCAAGTCACTTAACGCCCATTGCCCAATCCCCCCCTCCCCAAAAAATAAAAAGACAAAAAAAAAATTAAACTAGACCAAATGGCAAAAGAGGTCCAAAAAGCCAATGAACACCTTAAAAAGCAGAATTGGCCAAATGGAAAAGACGGTCCAAAAGCTCACTGAGGAAAATAATTCCTTAAAAATTAGAATTGAGCAAATGAAAGCTAATGATTCTATGAGAAATCAAGAAATTATATAACAAAATCAAAAGAATGAAAAAAATAGAAGACAATGTAAAATATCTCCTTGGAAAAACAACTGACCTAGAAAATAGATCCAAGAGAGAACATTTAAAAATTATTGGACTACCTGAAAGCCATGATCAAAAAGGGAGCCTAGATGTCATCTTTCAAGAAATTATCAAGGAAAACTGTCCTGATATTCTAGAGCCAGAAGGTAAAACAGAAATTCAAAGAATCCACCAATCACCTCCTAAAAGAGATCCCAAAAGGCAAACTCCCAGGAATGTTATAGCCAAATTCCAGAGTTTCCAGGTCAAGGAGAAAATACTGCAAGCAGCCAAAAAAAAGACACAATTCAAGTATTGTGGAAACACAATTAGGATAACACAAGAGTTAGCAGCTTCAACATTAAAGGATTAGAGGGCTTGAAATATGATATTCTGGAAGTCAAAGGAGCTATGATTAAAACCAAGAATCACTTACTCTGTGAAAATGAGTATAATTTACAAGGGGAAGAAATTGACATTCAATGACGTAGAGGAATTTAATGCATTCTGGAGAAAAAAACCAGAGCTAAATGGAAAAACTGACTTTCAAATACAAGACTCAAGAGAAGCATGAAAAGGTAAACAGGAAAAAGAAATCATAAGGGAGTTATTAAAGTTGAACTGTTTATATTCCTACATGGAAAGATAATATTTGTAACTTATGAGACCTTTCTCATTATTAGGGTAGTTGGAAGGAATATATATATAGACAGAGGGCACAGGGTGAGCTGAATATGAACGGATGATATATAAAAAATAAAATTAAGGGATGAGAGAGGAATGTGCTAGAAGGAAAAATGGAGAGGTAGAATGGGGTAAATTATCTCACATAAAACAGTCAAGAAAAAGCTTTTACAGTGGAGGGGAAGAGGGGGGAGGTGAGAGGGAATGAGTGAACTTTACTATCATTGGATTTGGCTTAAGGAGGGAATAACATACACACTCAACTGGGTATGGAAATCTATCTTATCCTACAGGAAAGTAGGGGGCAAGAGGATAAAAGAGGGAGGGGTGATAGAAGGGAGGACAGATTGGGGGAAGGGGTAATCAGAATGCACACCATCAAAGGGTGGGGGTGAGGGGAGAGATGGGAAGAAAATTTGGAACTCAAAATCTTATAGAACTGAATGTTGAAAGCTAGAAATAAGTAAGTTGGGGGAAAAAAACTTTAACAAAAAAGATATAACAATAAAATTCACATTTTGTGATGTAATTGCTCTTCACTATACCTAGCAGCTTTCAATAAGGTTCTAAAAGTACAAATGATATGGTTTTTGCTGGTTCATCATCCACAGCAAGTCTTCTAAATGTAGACTGCCCCCACAATCCCTCAGATGAATTCTAGATCAAGTCTCTCTCCTGAGCTCCAGTCCCACACCCTCAACTACCTATGGGACATTTCAAACTGATATCCCATATATGACACAAACATATCCAAAAACAGACTCACTATCTTTCTCACCCAAACATCTCTCTTTTCTCTACTTCCCTGTTTCTGTTAAAGGTACCTCCACCTTTCCAGTTTCCAAGGCTCAATCTCAGCGTTATCCTCAATCCCTGACTGTCCTTCATGCTACACAATCAGTTAGCAAATATTGCCATTGTAGCTGTCCCTTTCCCATCACTCATAGCCACCAACTTGGTCGAGACCTTCAACATCCCTTTCCTGTATTACTGTAATGGATTCCTTAATGGCCATTCCTGCATCAAGTCTCTGCCCACTCCTATCCAATCCCACACAGCTACCAAAGTGACTTTCCCTAAGTACAGATTGGACCATATTATTCCACTATTCCACAAAATCCAGTGACTCCCTACTGCCTCTTGAGTAAACAATAAACTCAATAACCTCACAACCTAGCCCAAACCAATCTTTCCAGTATCATTATCTATTAATCCCCTTTCCATTCTCTAGGACCCAGCCAAACTGGCCTTCTTACTGTTCTTGTTCAGGGAAGGCTAGCTCCTCTGGTGCGAGGTCCCTTGAGCCTTTTCAGAGCTGCTTTCCACCTTTAGTGTCCACCTGACTCATCCAACTCTCACCTCTGGGTCCAAAAAACTGTAGTATGTACAGGCCTGGCAAATCATTTCAGCAGATGAGCTAAAACCAAATACAGCATAACCAAGGGGTCTCAAACCCTTCAGTGAATTAGGAGGGTGTCTCCCCCAAGCATGCAAAGACTTCCCTTGGTGGAATAGGCAGATAAGAACAGTGCCTAAGCAGGCACTATGGAGCACTTAGAGCTTGGTTAGACATAAAAGATGCCAAGGTCATGGGAAACACTGACAAAGGACCACCCAGCATGGCATGCCACATCAAAGAAGGTGCTATGCTCTATGAGCAAAGCAGATTTGCAGTAGCTCAAAAGAAATGTGAGATGTGCAAATTTAGAGACATCTCCACTCCAAATGTTCATATGGACTATTTGTGCCCAATGTGTGGTACAGCCTTCCAAGCTTGTACTAGTCTGTTCAGCCACAGTCGGGCACACCATACCTTGACTCCAAAACAGTTATGTCAATTTTTGTCCTCTTCAAGAATGAAGGACGATAACCAACATAAAATACTCCGTCCTTTGCGCTGTCCTCCATGACTATAAGAAACTCTTTTCTCACCTCCACCTCTCAGAATCCTTTGCTTCCTTTCCAACTTAACTCAAAAAACTTTATACTTGAAGCAGTTCCTGATGTCCCCAACTGCTCCTGCCCTTCCCAAACTACCTTGCCTTTATTTTGTATATAGTAAACACTCTTCCTACAACTTACAATCCTCCACCTACTTTTCAATCCTGTGACAATCGGCTCCTTTCTGTTCCTCCATCTGTTCACTGCAGGAACTTTCACTGGCTGTCCCCCATGCCTGGAATGTTCCCTGATCCCTACCTGCTGGATCCCCTGGCTTCCTTTAAGTCCCAGATAAAATCCTACTTTCTACAGAGACATCTTTCCCACTCCTTCCTAATTCTAGTGCCTTTCTTCTACTGATTATTTCTCATTTGTAATGTTTTTATCTTATTTGTCCTGTTGTTTGCATGTTGTCTTGCTCTTTAGATTGTAAGAGCCTCAAGGGCAGGGACTATCTTGTGCCTTTCTTTGTATCTCCAACTCTTCCACAGTGCTTAGAATATAGCAGGTGCTTAATGAGTGCTTACTGACTTAACTAACATGAAGGGGATTAAGGTAAAAGAAGACTGGGAAGTTGAGAATGCATATGTTAACATATTTTCTCCTCAGCAGAACGTAAACTCCTGAAGGGCAAGGGTTATTCCATTTTTGTCTTTTTTTATCTCCAGAGCCTAGGACAGTGCTTGGCACACAGAAAATGCTTTAAAAATGCTTGAAAATGGACTTCTATAAAGGCATGAGTCTTCCGTGAAGTCTGCAAGCCTTTGGCTTATTCATTTTCTTAACTCTGAATCATATATTCAAATACAGTTTTCACCTTCTTTCTCTTTTGCATTTAAGAAACTGAGTATCACTACACACACCCACAACCACATCTCACTAAACTTAGACTGTTCTAAATATTTCTTTTAGGATTTGTTTACTCCTTTGTTCTCTGCAACAGATATTGGTTGTCTTCTTGGAGAACTTTTTGGTCATGATCATCCTAAGTAACAAGACCAAGTGGTTTACGAACTGATGTTTCCTCCTCTATGTGCATGTAGGAGAAAACAAATTCTGTCAACTGCTTTATTTGCCCCTCCAAGGAGATCCTATGAGCCATCCTTCCATTAAACACCAGTTTCTTTATATCTTCTGATTTCATTTATATTGAAATGGTTCCATTATCACACTTGTTTGGTATATTTTGACTTGTTTGGTCATTGGAAATAGAACCTTTATTTTGAGCGCTAAACATTAAATTAATATTGAAAGACTAACTAAAACTATGTAATCCTCAGTGCCCTCTGCTTCCATTTCTGGGAGTAACTCCAGCACTGTAACTGTGTCACTTCTTTGCCTGAGAGAGATACCAAGAACTAAAAAACACAAATTAGGCACTCTGAAGGAATTCAATAAAAAAGAACACGGAACAAGCAATTAATTGCTTGATAACTAGTACTTTAAATGTATATACATACACATACATATACACACACGTATTATGTATGTATACATTAAAAACCAACACCAACACCACCAACACCACCCAGGAACGTGACTTCATTGGTAAAAGAAACTCCCAGCAAAGGGTACCCCCCTACCAATGCAGATAAACATTTCTGCTGTAAGTTACATAGTCTTAACAGATTTTCCTGGGGTACAGAGATGTTAATTGCCCAGGGTCACACAGATAGTTGTGCATCAGTGCTAGAATATGAACAAAAGGTTTTTTTGCTCTCAAGTCCATCTCTCTATCAATTGTACCCCATTCCCCCTGTACTGTAGTATTTCACAGTTATAGAATGCTTTCACAAACATTCTATTTGGACCTCACATCAATCTAATGAGTCTGATAGTACAAATATTATTATTCTCATTTTACAGATGAAGAAACAGACCCAAGTTAAGTGATTAATTTACTATCACAAAAGAAGTGTAAAGGAAGGATTTATATAGAGGTCTCTGATTCTAAGGACAGTACTATACCTACACACACACTCACACATTAATTTAGAGATGTATACCATTTGCAAAGCTACCTGTAGAAATCTGTAACATTTGTGTAGTTCAGTAAAATAAAGGGAAAAGACGACAAGTTGTATCCAGTATCTTGTAATTTCAACCATTCCAAAACCAGATAGTCTAGATGAGAAGTCATGAAGTCTTCTAAGTGTTTATACTCAAAAATTTCAGAGACTCTCTTCAAAACCTGTGTAACCCAAAAAAACACTCTATTTAAAGGAAACATTCAAGATATGGTACATGTAAATACAATTCTCATTTAAATGACCATGAGAAACAATGCTCTACAATTCAGAACATCTAGGCATGAAAATGACAGACATGACTCACACAATATTGCCTCCACTAACATTGCTTTTTGATGCTGTCATTAATATAGTATTCTAAAAACCTACATTAAGTCTCCCCAAATTCCTAAAATGAAATGGAAAGAGTGAGGGATTACAAGTCAGAAAATCTGACTCAGGTTCAAATTCTGACTCTACTATCTGGATAACCTTTCGGGCTCCCATTTTTATCATCCGTGAAAAGAAAAAGCTATTTTGTTTGTTTTCCCAAGGAAGAATGTGGGACTAAAATTAATGTTTTAAATATTATATAATCTTTGTACTTATTTTAAGCTTTTATTATTCACATTTTTATTGTGTATAAAACATCAACCCACCTGTAATATTATTTTATGGAATGGATCAGCATTTCATTCAAGGCCTTCTATTTAATGAACTAAGTAATAACATAAGATGGAGTGTGCCTCTACACTACTTCCAAATTAATATAAATATAAATAGAAGAAAAATACATGCTACATAATGACTACATTTACAAGAACCCCAGAATAAAATATTTTATTTATAACAATGAAACTATAACACTCTTTAAAATATTTTAAAATTAACATATAGGGTAGCCCAAAGGTCTTAGTGCAATTTTAAGCTATTAAAACTTAAAAGCTTAAAATTAATATTTATAGATTAATTAATATGGTATTATCATAACATTTAAGCTATTGGGCTTAAAACTGTACTAAGACCTTTGGAACATCCTGTATATGCATGTTATATAAACTATTTCTAAAATTCTATTAAAAATTATTTTCAGAAATACTAAAAAGATTACAGGAGGTATACAAATGACAATTTTAAACTCTCTGGTCATATTTTACCTTTTTTACAAGTTGGGTTTCTAATCCATTTTCTTTCACAGACTGGCATATGGCAAACAAAGCCTGTTTTTCACACACAGGGCTACAGTATAAAATCATGGATATTGTCATCAATAAAGCAGCTTTTCTATTATAAGGCTCATCCAGCAGTTCATCAGCATTGGCAGGACTTCGAGACTTCATTGGGCAAAAAAAAAAATTTTAATAAATAATATCAAATGGATAGCAAATACTGGAATATTATAAACAAACAAATTAGAATAAAACTAAAACTACTTACAAGAAGCTAGTGAAAAACTCAATTATTTACTTTGCTCTAATCCAGAGGTAGTATTCAAGAAGAAAGGACAAAAAGTCCACAGAATCACAGAATTTTAGAAATCAAAGGGACTTCAGAAATTATCTAGTTTTTTTCAGTGAGAAGAATTTACTGTTAATGAGGCCTTATTGATAGGACTTCAGGAAGAAAAAAAAACTTTATTCAAAGATAAAGAGGCTTTCAAGAAAATTTTTTAAAAATCAGAAAGCTCCCAGGATATTGTATAAGAGAGACTAGAAGAAGTTATCTATATAGTACCTATACTTATATATTATCATTGATATAGTCATTACTTTAATAATGAGATCTTATGTTTATATAGCACTGTAGTTTCCCAACTGCTTTTACAACAATAAGACTATTATTCATAGACACTTCAATATTCAATCATATCTTCCAAACATTGACAGGATTTTAAATCTTGCTGTACCTTATGAAAAGCAGGGCATTCTCTATCACAGAAATGTAAAAGTATTAAGAAAACTGGCTTGAAAAATATAATAAGTCAGGGACTGATTCACACTCTATCATAACCTCTTCTCTTCAGGTAGCTCAAACCACTGGAATTGAAATATACAAATCAAACTCCTCTGTGCCCGCAATAAAACCTCAGCAAAACAATTTCTTCCTAAGATAAACTGATATAATTGTTTTTACCTCTTATCTATATTGTTTTTAGACTGTAAATTACTGGACAGAAACTGTCTTTTTAATTATATTTGGTAAAATGGCTAGAAGAGTTTAGGTGTAGGCTTTTTGTATGACCTTGCAAGTTGTGACTCATCCTCTAATCCCTGGATTGTCTGTCAACTAGCGGCTGTGAGCTTTCATTTACAACTTGACAAAACCTGCTTGTGTACATTTCCTGGAATTAAAAATCTGAATATTGAAACCTATGCTACAGCCTACCTTGTTTACCCACAGACAAGTACAAAACAAGCACATGCTTTTTATAACAATGAGGCAACAAACAAAAATGGTTACATGAGAGCACTTTAAATTGCAGGATTACCATTTCTCTCATTCCTTCCTGGACTTTCAAATACGCACTTTCAAAAGCTTTTTGCTGGCGCTTCAAAGGAAATGCTCTTGATAACTTCGAAATGGATACTGGCTTTGTATCCCGAAATAATCTTTTTTTTTTTTAAAGACAAGAAGAAAAAAAATAATTAGGTGCAACCAGTGTTCCAAAATCCTCTTTCAACATATTGTGAATATAGAAAACAAACCCACTGCAAGGCATGCAAAGTTTATAGTTACATCCTAATATTTCTTTCAAAGGACTGTGTAATGTTTCTTCATTTAGGGAGGCTCTAAATACTTATAATTTCAGGTATAATTTCTACACCATATGAGTAATATAATCTTAGAACTAAAATGGATACCAAGGAATACAGTTCCTGTGTCTTTAGATAGGCCTGTGATTATTAAATCAGACAAAACAGATAATTTACATATTCTAGATGAATGCTGCCAAGGATAAGGTGCCTATATTCTCCTGTGGTAGGCTGTTCTTATATTTAAACAATCTTTCAGGAGTTTAATCGAAAACTCAACAGATTAAATTTAAGCTCACTATACCACTTTAATCACTGAACAGATGGACTTCACAGAGAAGCTGATCTGTACTTTCTGAATAATTGCCCTACAAGGATGACTATCAGTCATCTTTTCTTGAGACATAATAATTTAAGCACCTTCATATTTCTCCTTATTTTCGCAAACCTTTGATAAATTTCTGTTGTTCTCTGAACACTCCAATTTCTCTAGATCACTCTTAAAATAGTAACACTAAAATTAAATGGTAAAGTTCAAATTTACAAAAATAATCAAAGCCAGTTGTATACTAAAAAGATTACTTAATAGTTCTTATGTCTGTTTATATATTTCAGTATTATACAAGCTTTTTACATATTACTCCATGTCCATTCTAGACAATTTGTTGCCCACTATATTCTCAAAGTCTTCATTTTTTTTTTACTTTACACCTGTGATATTTATCCCATATATGCACTTCAACATCATCCTGCTTTTGATGGTCAACTGCTATCTATTTTCCATGGTTCTTAACAATTCTAATTTAGTCAGTATCACCTATATATTTAATGAACATGCTCATAAAGAAAAAAATTTTCAGTCAGCATGGTCAGACACCTAGATTCTCACTCATACATAGCTTATCAGAAACCGGTCTGAACTACTAGATATATTAGCTCTAACAAATTCACAAGGTGTTTTAAAAACATCAAACCATGGCCACATTAAATAGCAGAAGGGAAGGAAGAAAAAAAGCATTTCCTGAGTGCCTACTATGTGCCAGGCACTCTGCTAATTGCTTTACATGTATTTTATTTGATCCTCACAATCACCGGGGGAAATGGGTGCTATTATTATCCCCATATCAGAGTTGAGAAAACTGAAGCAAAGATTAAGTGACTTGCCCAGCATCACACAGCTACTAAGGATCGAGGTCAGATTTGAACTCAAGCATTCCTGTCACCAGGCCTGGGGCTTCATCCACTGTGCTGCTTAGTTGCCTAGGAGTTACTTCTTCATCAGATTTATATTTGAAAAAGTTTTTCATTAAGGAAATCTCTTCAGGGCTTATATATCAAGCTAAGAGTTACAATACAAACCATGTTGGCTATCAAAGTCAACATGTCACGTAAAAATATGCCTAATGTGCAGCACAGTTTTAACTTCATCCTCACTCACACAACCAATCCTGAGGTGTCCTTATGAGTTTGACACTACATGAAAAATTTACATCACCGGTTAATTGACTTTGCAGCAAGCATTCGAACTTGGTGATGGCTGTCAGCTAGAAACTGTGGGAGAACTTCTGTCACAGGTAAGTCTTTTTCCACTATGCTGAGAACAGCCCACTTCAAATGCGGATCAGCCTAAGGAGAATTAAAAACTCCAGGTAACATAGTATAAAACCAAAATCAAAATCAATACTTTTCTATAAGTTGAAAACCTGGATTTTTAAATTATCTCCTAATCTCTTAATAAAGAAGCACAGCTCACCTCAAGCAAGGCTTTTAGGCAGTCTACTAGTGCCATTCTCACAGGAGCCATACATTTGCCTTCCTTTGTTAAGTGCCTGAAACAAACAAAAATTATTAAAAATTCCAATCTATCCCTTCCATATTTGGTTCTCTACACTGGCAAATCCTGATTTTCCTTAGTTCTCTCAAAGCCTTCTCATGTTTAATGAAAATCAACAGGGAAAGGTACTTAATAGATGATCTGTATATTACTATATGTATCTTATGGTTAATGTTTCAACTGATATGATTAAGAAAACTTTTGAGAGAAACTCCAAAAAAAGTTTCATTTCATAGCAGCAGAGAGTTCTTGAATCTTCATACTACCTTGTTGTTCAAAGTTCATATCACAAATAAATAAGACTTTAATGCTAAGTTACTTGCCTGTGCTTCTTAGCAGATGCTCAATAAATGGTTGCTGGGTGAAGGAGAGAATTTTCAGGTTTTTTACCCATAAGAAGTACACAGAACATTAGCAAATTAGCCACATTTCAAATCTTTTCTCCTCAGTCCTTCCATACTCCTCCACATGCTTTCTCAATTCAATAAGAATTTACTTGTCTGTAATATCCTAAGTGTTGTGTAAGATGCTGGGGACCCAAAGACTAAAAACACAACAGTTCTGGCCCTCGAGGAGATTACATTAAATAGGAAGAAGCAACATGTGTACAAATAAGCAATGAAAAGAGCATTGGCTCTTGAAACAGAGGACCTGGAGTTCAAATCCTGCCTCTGAGCTTATTTTCTGTGTCCTGCTCTAGGTCTCAGTTTCTTCATCTGTAAAAGAATGGAACTAAACTAAATGGCCTCCAAAGTTCCTTCCATCTCAATCTATGTATTATAAACAGATATAAAATAAATACAAAGTAATTTCATGGGGTCAGAGTGGGTAGCACTAGCACCAATGACAATCAGGAAAGGCCTCTGAATGTGAAGAGAGCCTTGTAGAAAAATTTAGGGGTTCCAAGACATAGAAAGGAGGAAAAAGAATACTGCATATAAGGGGACACCCATGCAAAGTCACAGAGGTGGGAGATGGAATATAGAGTACAGGGACAACAAGGGGTTAAGTTTGGCTTGAACATAATGTATATGAGGAGGACTAATGTGTAATAAGCCTACAAAAAAGGGATTAGAATAAGACTATGAAGGGCTTCAAACAAACCAACCAACTTCTTAAGAACCCTTTTTCCTAACAACTAAAAAAGAATATCCAATATATCAGGAAGATTCATTTCAAGTATTCCTATGAGTTTTGGGCCATGAACTACTTGAATATTTCTCACTGCTGGAACTATAACCAAATTTGTGAATGAGAGAAAACTAGGAAGGTTAGCAAATACATTTGATGACAGAGTTAGGATCCAAGAGATCTTCAAAAGCTAAAAAATATCTGCTTAACAGGAAGAAATGGAAATAAATATAAAGTTGTTTCACTTGATTTTTTTTGAGAAGTCAATTGTACAAGTATAGGATGGAAGAAAATATAGCCTAGGCAAGAATTCATGTAATATCACGGTTCAATTATCTCCTCTACGTAAAAGATTCCCAAATATAAGTTTATTTTTGGACCTAATCTCTCCTGAACTCCATTTTCATGTTACCAACTCTCTGCTGGACACCTCCACCCAACATGTCCCAAAACATCTCAGACTGAACAGGCCTGAACAGAACTTATATTTCCTCTCAAAGTATTCATCCTCCAAAGTTCCTCATTTCTGTCGACAGCACCATCATTCTTCCAATCACCCAGGCTTGCAAATCTGGAGTTACCACTGACTCTTCCCTTTTTCTCAACCCCATATCTAAGCAACTGCCTACCAATTCACTAACAGTCATCCCTCTCTACCTCTTCCCTTGTTCAGGTCCCGGGCTACTGTAACATCCTCCCTGACACTAAGTCTTCTCCCTTTCCAATCCATTCTCTAATCAGCAGAAAAATGTCAGTATTCTCACTCATGAAAATTCAAGAGTCTCCCATTATTTTTTAGGATGACACACAAAAAACTATTTAGTAAAGCCCCTAACATTTCAGCTCATACCAATATTTCTAGACTGATTTCACAATTCTTGACAATCCTACCTACAGTCCAACAAAACTGGCCTACTTGGCATGCCTTGTAACAACTATTCCCTCTTCCACGCCCTCACCTTGTCAGAGCGGGTGTACCCAGGCCATAAATACTCTTCTTCATGTCTACTTTTTCCAAATTCCTAGTTACCTTCAAAGGCTCAGTTCAGGTGCTGCCTCCATGAAGCCCTTTCTATTCTCCACAATTTCTTATCTCTCTTCCCCAAATATGTGTGTGTAAGTACACATGTGTGCATGTGATATTTAGTTATCTGTATACTTTGTTTTCCTCCAGCAGAATATAAGTTCCTTAAAGCCAAAGATGATTTTCTTTCAGCCTTGCATCCCCGAGCCTAGCATTGTGCCTTGTGCATTACAAGTGCTTAATAAATGCTTATTAAATTAAACTTCACTTATCAATAACTGGTGTTGATTTTTATATGCTTTATTTGGTTCCTGTCATTGACAGTTAGGAAGACATCCAAAATAAGTCTTGTTGCAGAGGTTTTTCTTATCCACTATCTACTGCTACAGGCAACATCGTAGAGTAGCAAGAAGGCTAGATTTGTAGACAGAAGACCTAGGTTTAGAGCCCAACTAACACTACCTATTTAATACTGGATAAGTCATTTAACTTCTCTGAGCCTCAGTTTCCTCACCTATAAAATGATGGCGTGAGAACAGATAACCACTGAGGTCACTTTTGACTCTAAATCTTTTATCCTATGATCCATATATGTGAAAGTATAATTGATTCAAAAATTCCAGAACTTATATGCTAAATCTATTTTTAAAACAAAAAATCAAAACAATCAAAAAGAACTCCTTCAAGGTGTATGAAGAGAAAATACACGAACTAAATGTCTATCAGTGGCTGGAATAAGCTATTTTGCAAAAAAATTATATATTAATGCAAAAATCTCCATTTACAGTTAGAGACAGGAAGAGAACAGAATTATTCCATAAGTTTATACCTACCAAAAAGCTCCAATGACTGTTAGAAACTGTCCTTGAGCATTCCTTGTGTTTTCTACATCTGAACTACACTGACCCAGATTTGTTATTACTGGAAGAGTGTGGCTTAAGATTGCTCTGCAAACCTCTTGGTCACGACGATACAAAGAACACACATTGCTATGTTATATTGTTTAAAAAAAAAAAGAAAAGAAAAATTATAAGTAAAGTAACAACAAATGAATAAATTAAAGTTAATTTTATATTTGGATTCAATTTCTTACGAAAGAGGCTTCAGAAGTTCAGAAACTTCTTCCATCGGCAAGGGGTATTCTTCAACTGGGAGTTCCTTTAAAAGCAGCAAGTACTAAGACACAATGATAAAATGTTTTTATATATTTATGTAAGACAGAAATATATGTAAAATGTCTGTGAAAATGTCTTTAAAGCAAATGTAAATGTCTAAAAGTAAATGTCTTTGCACAGACATGGGATAACAAAGATTAATGTTGCACTTATACCCTACTCCCATAGCACAAATTATGCTTGAGGCAAAGGTGTAGCCACCACAACAGGGGCCAAAGTTGTACAGTGTAAAAAGCAGAAGATTTGGAGAAGCCCTCAGGTCGCTCCCAGATCTTACATCTTCTACCTGGTCAACTCTGGGTAAGTCACTTTACATCTAGGAGTCTCAGTTAGACTAGATGGTCTCTGAGCTCCCTTCAAATACCAGGATCCTATGAACAACTAACTTCTATAAATAAAATCACTGAAGTTTATGAAAGTTTCCTCACAAAAATTCTGATAGGTATTACTAGCCCAATTTTACAGAAAAGTTCAGTAACTTGTCTAGGTTTATTTGACTAGCCAGGATCAGGCCTTCTCACTCTATAGCTAGGGTTTTTTCCTCTACAACACAACTGTGCCCAATGAATCCAGAACATGGAAATGGGAAAGATGGAGCCATATATACTCTTTAAGTCTTTCTGCAGCTAAACTAGCCTCTTTAGAAGCTTTGGGAAACGTACAAATTATTTTCACAAACAGAATAGATAGCAGTAAAAAAAAATTACATAAAGCCAGGTACGTTAGGATTCAGTATATGTTTCATATTCAATCAAGAGTCTAAGAGCTGGAGTTCACCACTGTGGGTCCACAGTCTACAGAAAGATTTTGGAGAGTCTGAACTTGGATGGGAAAAAAATCCCCTCTTTATTTTGACTAGCTTTTGGTTTCCTTGGCAATATTATGTATTCTATTTTATGTATTTAAAAACATTATTCTGAGAAGGAGTTCAAAGGTTTGACCAGACAAAGGGGATATAGGATACAAAAAAGATAAAGAATTCCTAGTCTAAAGCATCACATAATAATTACACCTGAAGAAAATATAACCCTAGCTTATCCAAGGATAATAACCTAGGTTCAATGTTACAATTCCTGCTTGAAAATGACTTAAAGACATTTTAAATGGAAGAGCATTTTGTTACAAACTACTCTAGTTTTATTTCTCTGGGAGCAATTTCCTATCAACAATGCTTGCTTGCGTGCGTGAGTGTGTGTGAGTGTGTGATTTATTAAACTTTAAGAATCAAAGATACACCGCAACAACTGATAATAGAAAAATCTAACACTTTTCCCATAATACTTGACTCACCATGTGTAGATGTAGGGATTTAGAAGTGTCTGATATGCTTGGTTCAATTAGCTTCAACAGCTCCCTCCTTATGTCAGATGCTCTAAAAGATACTGTATGGGATTGAGCTGTAGTTACACAAATACACAAGAACTTGAGCATGTCAAGGAGAAGGAGATCTTGCTTTGTCAAATGTTCTTCAGCTAGAGGGCTTATTGCACCTGGAAATAAAATGTGCTGACTCAGTTCATAAAGAGAGAGATTTCTTGAGTTCTCAAAAGGAAAAAATAAAGCAACAACATTTCTGAAGTATTTACTCAGATGTATCTCTTTTAAACAATCACCAATATATGGCAGATGAAAATCTAATGTAACTGATTAAAACCTAGCATCTTCAGGATGAAAAGAGCATTGTCATTAGAAACTAATATGGAGTGGCCGAAACTCAACCTAGCACTAAACAGGTACAAGAAAATGCCAATTCCCAATAACCAGTGTTACAAGAAAAGCTGATTAAAAATCAACACAAATTTCAATCATTACATCCTTTGTACAGCAAAATCAGTAGCTAGGAAGAAAAAAAGAAAAAAAAGAAAAAAGAAAAAAAGAATATGAAGCATCCACTCACCAAATGTATTTTGTACCTCTCCAGGTTCACTTGCATTATTAATATTAGTATCATCAGATTCAAATAGGTTCATGGTTGACTGATCCTCTACCTCTGTTAGGTTTCCATCAACATCATCTTCCTTTAGTTCTACTTCTCCAGAATCAAATGGCCTTTTAGTAAGGGATGCCTTCAAAGAACAGAAATTATTTTGCTCTATTAGATACTGCTTCTGATAGAAAGCTGTATATCAGTTTGAGGAACAAAAAACAAAAAAAACTCCACATCCAGGTCAGAATGTTAATTTCTTTTTGATATGCAAATATGTTAATTAACCCCGTTTTCATCTCCATATTCCAAATGATGAAATTGATATAAATGAACACACTTTTCTAAAAGCCTAGAAAATAAAAATGCAAGGCTGAATGTTTCTTTATATCAATACAAAGATAGTTTGTATTTAAGTGAGATGTAGAGAAATTAGGACTGCTCTAGATATTTGATTATCATCTGGAAAGTAAGGGAAAATGAACAAAAGAAGATTTCCGTGAAAAGAGAAATTTAATTGGGTACTTAACTATCTGGAAGAATACAAGATAGTATGAATAGCTGATGAGACACCTTTCCTTCCATAGGCAAAGATCTTAGAGTAAAATAGGAGGGAGGCAGGGAGGCAGCACAGTAAAGAAGAAACAGGGCAGTGCTTGGGGCTGGAGACCCCAATTTTGTGTCTGACACATATTAGTTGGATAACCAGGGGAAAATCATCGACCTCTTCGAATCTCTGCTTCCCTGGAAGACTGTTATGAAGGTCAAGGGAGATCATACCTCCGAGAAACTCATAGTTCAATATAAATATCAGTTAATAGCATTATTACTTGTGGTTAGATATTGGGAAAAAATTTCTTGACTATGTGAATTATGAAATATTAGTGGCTGACACCAGGTCACAAAGCTATAACATGTTAAAGGCACAGCCACATAAAAACAAAAAAACCCACACTCAAACTTTCCTAAAGCTCTTTGAGATCTCCCAAACCCCTGGCCTATAACATGTGCTTATTACCTATGCTTCCTCATGGTACAATGTAAACTTCAAAAGTGATCCACTGTTTTATTTTGTATCACCAGTACAAAGTGGGTATATCTTGTTTGTTGAATTGAATTAGTGGAGACATTAAATCTTTTCTTTTTTTCTAGCATATTTTAAAATAATGTACAAAACTATATATTTGGGATTTAGATGCAGTCCTGAACAGAATCATCTGCATATCCTGGTATAGGTGATCTCTTTAGAGAATTAAAATGAAATTAAATCTAACTTATACTCTAAAATAATACTCTAATACACCATATACAAATTGTTAAAATTCTTAATGATTAGAAGCATACTTACTAAATTTATGCAAATGTCCACAATGTCATTCATTAACTTTGATGTTAACAAACGCAGAAAAAGTCCAGAAATAATCTTATTTGGCTTGTGCTATTAGGGAAAAAAAAGGGGGCAGGGGATTTACATCTAAGTTACAGCAAATTTGGACCATTTCTGTTTTAAGAAAAAATGCATTTCTTCTGCATTATGAGTTCTCTACAAGATTAAGAGAATATGGTGATAAACATGGAAGATTTCAATGTTAAAGATTACATAAATTATATACTATACACATGTATGCGAATCTTGCTTCAAAAATAGTAAAAAAAAAAAACCCAAACCCTCATTTATAAATAACTATGAATAAGTGGTGTCTATCACCTAAATTTCACTGCACCTTTTCTTCATTCTATTATATAAGCAGTCAAATAAATAAAAGCTATTGATTCTAAACAACCCAAAGAGAGAATTCTAAAATCAATCCTGTTTCATCATCCCCCTCCTTGCTCACAAGAAAATTCACTATTACATGGCTAAAAATCTATGTTGTTGATATCAAGAGCATTTATCTCAATACAGATCATTAGTTGCCCAAAATTTCTTTTCTACATTTATAACCTGGTCAAATTTAGCTGATTCCCAGTTATACTCCCAATAAAGCTGAAAATTACTAAACAGTATATTAGAGTTGTTAATATAATTGCATCTGACTGAACATAACTGAAGCCACCACAGGCACTGAGGCATAAATAACCAGTTCAGGTAGTAAGTTCAGTTTTTACTGGTCACCTCTACTCTGAATAAGACAAGGACTAATAAATCTCAAGATGAAAGCCCCTTAACAAAAACAGCAGAGTTCATCATTCCTTAATTACTTTTCTTAAGTGGAGGTTTGACCACAACACTGTCCCTCTGCATAAACTTCCCTGGGCCCCCTACTGCCTCTATGTTAAAACAAAAACTACCCTGCTAGACATTTAAAGCCCTTCATAATTTGTCCCCAATCTATCTTTCCAGCCTCAATATCCATGAATTTCCTTCCCAAACTGTACAGACCAGCCAAGTTAACCTTCCTGCTATTCTTCATACAAAGCAGTCTACATATTCCAAACTGTCGAGGAAATCATAAGGCTAAAACATTAACCAAAAGGAATCTTACCTTTGTACAATTATACAAGTATCTGGTACAAAGCAACATCGTAGTCCTCAATGAACAAATTCTAGATTCTTCATTTATCTTACTTTTAAACAAAGTAATGCTTTTTCCAGCACACTGCATCAGAGACTATTAAAGAACAGAAATGGGAAACAAAACACACCAGAAACAATTCAAGTAAATGTAGCAACAGAAAACTAACTTTTTTGGAGAAGTCTCTGGATTTTTTGATAAAGATATATTATTAGGAAGCTCAACTTGATAATATCACACAACTAAAAATCATCAAGGAAAAAAATTGTGGAAAGGCGCCTATAGCACTTTTCAATTAACATACAAAATTGATAGTATCCAAAGAGGAAAAAAAATAGGTAAACCTTAGAAGACCAATTTCATTAAATCATAAAAGAACGTTAACTGGCAATTATCACTAGGCAAATGAACAATTTGATGAATGATATAAATACAAAAAATATTAATCTGTTACTAGGCTTAAAGTAATTAATTTCACGTCTAAAGATTAAAGAAAATACATGGTATATAAGCATACCCAAAACTTGTGCAAATGAATTAAAGCCACAAAGATTAGCCTAGACTTAGATGTATGGGTTATACAGATTTTCCTATGTAGAACAGAATAGGTAATCATAAATATAGGACCATATGATGATAGGAACACAAATTTAGAGAAGTGGAAGGACCTCAGAGACCACTGAGTCTAAATTCACTATACAGATAACGAGCAATTAGGTGGCAGAGAGGACAGAGCAACAGGCTTGCAGTCAGGAAAACTTGAGTTCAGATTCAGACACAGACACTTATTAGTTATGTGACACCAGATAAATTACTTATATGCTTATAAATTTTAGCTAGTATCATTATCATAAACAAATTTCTCAAATGCCAACTTCCTAACAAATAAGTCAATTGTTCATGAAATAAATGCTATTTAAAATTTTGTCTAAAAAGTCTTGGCTCATATTTTCTTACCTTGGCATTTTGGAACAATCTTGATTTATAAGCATCTTCTTCAGACAATATACCTGCATAACAACAGCAGCCAAGAACACCCACCAAAAGACTCGAACATCGGACAAGAGCTTCTGACCTTATAGTCTTGAAATAAATCAGAAGCACAAATACAAAGTATGTTTCTGTTAATATGGTATTGTTCTGGAGTTAATAAATGACTTTGACGAAGTGTACTGTAACTAGCTTTTAAATGAACTAGTTTTATAGCTATAAATTATAAAAAGTTTAAAAAGTAGTAGCTCATCTTTGTGAACAGTTTTAAAAATCCCCACAGCTGAAAGGAATTCTGATCCAAACATGTGAGGCCCTAGCCTGCTCAGTCAAGACAAAGACAAATACACACATTCTACTAGCCAAACGTCAGCTACACTGTTACTGCTAGCTCACCATTTGACATGCTCCACACCACAACTGAAGCAGCACGGATACATTAAGAACATCCTCAGGCCCTGCACAGAGCTTTTAAAATCTAACACACTGTATTCTGACTACAGCTGCGTGTGTGCGTGTGTGTATCTCACATCCTTGTGCTACACTGCATGCTCTAGGAAAACAAGAGATTGGTTTTACTTAGGCCACTAATGATCATAGAAACAATTACCAAATATTATCTTTTCTTACAGAAAAGATATTGTAGCACTGATGAGTTATTTTTAATTAAAATAAAGCAGAATTTAGAAACTGGACTATATGACAAAGAAACATAAGTGGTCAAGTGCAGGGTCTTTATGAGCTAATTTTTCTCAGATTTTCTGAGCTGTAAGAATGAGGAGGCAGGTATATCATTCCTGAGGTTTTCTGCTATTCTTCCTTCTGCCTCTTTCTCTTTTCCCTGGTACTGAGTGGTCTGCAGATTTTATGCCACAAAGATGGAAAAGAGACATGAGAAATTATTGAAGTTTCCCATGAATACAGCATGATCCCTCCTTCCAGTTTACTACCTTTTCCCACCTCTTATTCCAGCTAAGTCTTTTATATTTCTTTTTTTGCTTTGCCACTATCAATAAAATAGTTATTAAACACCTACTATGTGCCAGTCATTGTGCTAGTCATTGAGGATATAAATAAAAAAATTAAACAATTCCTGACCTCAGGGAACTTACATTATACTGGGGATGACAACATGTACATGAATAAGTATATCCAAAATAATTACAGGGTAAGTTAGAAAGGTATTGGAGGTGGAGGGAGGATACAGCTGTCCACACATCTCCTCTCTAGAACGGTGAGATGGTTCAACATCATGAACAGACATAGTTTTAATCAATGGAAATGACATTTTAAAAGATGCATTAACATCTGTTTTCCACTGTACCCTAAGGTCCACAAGACCTTTCCATGTGACTTACAGCTAAAACCTCTTCTATGTGCTATCTCCCCACAAAAAATATGCCCCAAAACAGGAACTGTCTTGCTTTTCTGTTTGTACTCCAAACACTCAACATAGTGCTTTTCCCCACAGTAAGTACTTAATAAATGATTTTTCATTCATTCATGCCTCCTGCTACCATATTAATCTTCATAAAACATCACTTTGATTATGCCACTCTGCCAATGAAAAATCTGGAAAGGTTGTACTTTTTTTTCCCCAAAAGACTTTTTGAATTCAGAGACTTCATGCACCAAAAAAGATAACCAATGTAAAAGTGTTCTGAAAATTTTTAAATATTATATAATTGTTGGCTAGTTTTATCATCATCATCATCATCATTATTATTAATCTTCAAAGACCTAACTGGTTGTGATATGGAAGAAGGCAGAATTAGGGAAATGGAAGAAAGATGAAATCTGCACTGATACTAGGAAATACTTCCTAATAATTGGAGTGGTCCAGAACTAAAAGAAGCTGCCTCAATAGCAGAGCCCAAATGACCACCTTTAATGCTGCAAAGAAGATCCCTGTTCAGGTAGCAGCTGGATTAAATAACTTCTGACTCAGAGATTCTGTGATTGTGAAACAGTCTAGTACAACACAAGTGTAACAGTATTTGCTAGCCTGTTCTTCCCCTCAGCTGCATGTCCTTTCCTTTAAAGACAGCACTTTCTTATACCACTGATTCTTTCCTCTCTAGCCTTTCCTACTCAGGGCCCCAAAAAACCACTCTGTAACCCAAAATGGAAAAAATATCATTGGTCAAAGTTGCAGGTTTAAATTTATCCTTAAATCTCACCTCAGAGGAATAATTATTTAGAAGCTGCTCAGACAATCCTAGAAGATAGCGATCTAGTGTTTCTTTTAGATTCTGATGGACAGAAAGTCCAGCATTAGCCTGGATTTTTTCAGGGGCACCATCCATCGTACTGGTACAAAAGTCCATCTGGTCAAAAGTTGTCTGAAGGTATAGCTCTTCTACTTCTAAGAATGTGGCCTCCACTTTGCCTTTTTGCTGCTGCTCACTGTAAGACAATTTTATGGTCAGGTTATCATAAATGAATAGACCTTTCAATACCAAAGTCATATAGATCTCTATCACCTGAGAGTAAGGAAAATCTTCACAGTTGGGAAGTGCTCAATAAATGATTTTACGTTTAATAAGAGACAGTTCAAATTACATTACAATTCTGTTCTAGGAAACAGAAATTTCTCAATTTACATACCATTCAGACACACTGTGGAAAAAGTCCATTGCCGCTTTACAGTGCTTCATGGTGAGACTCACAAGAATTGACTCCAGGGCTAGATGAGGAAAATTGCTGTGCAGAAGAAGTTTGTCACTTAAGTTTAATAAGTACATTTAAACAACTACATTAAAACAATCCTGCTTCTATGCATGCAAAGGAGAGAGAGAGAGAAAGAAATCCATGCATGAAATACAAAATAAGAAAAAGGAAACTGTGCTGTGAAAATAATAGCTAGAAAGTCAGTTTTGTTAATTTGTCAAGTCTTTGAAGAGAAGCAATGCACGATAAGCCTAGAAAAATAGACTGAGGCCATTTATACTGTAAAGGATTAGATATGCCAAGCAGAGAGAGGAATTTGTATGTTAGCCTTAAGGCAACAGGGAGCCTCTGGAGCTTCCAGAACAGAGATGGGAAAGACGTCATCAGACCTTTGTTCTAGGAATATCAATTTGGCAGTTGAGTGGAGGAAGGGCTGGAGAGGGGAAAGACAGGAGGCAGGGAAACCAATTAGGAGACTATTACCAGAGTCTAGGCAAGAAACAATAAGTACCTGAATTAAAATTGTGACACCATGAGTCAACAGAAGGATAAGGATATGAAGGATGTTGTGGAGGTAGACTTTACAAGACTAGATACTAATTAAATGGGGGGGGGAATGAAAGAGTGAAGAGTTGAGGATGACTCCAAGAATCAGAATATGAGTGACTTAGGATAGTGGTGTCCTCAAAAGAAATATGACAGTTGAGAACAGGATTGGGCTGGCATAGGGAAGGGAAGGGAGAATGGTATAATGGCTTCTATTTTGGACATAGGGAATTTGAGATGCCTATAAGCAAAGACCTAATTGTCACTTGCACCTTTTAAAATTCTTAGCTTTCTTCAGAGCTCAAATGTCCTCACTTGGGGACCTATTCTGATTCCTCTTAAGTTATTAGTGCACTCTTATGATATCACTTTGTATTTACTCTTCTGTACACGTTATTTCTCCCACAGGATGTAAGCACCTTGATTGTTTTTCATTTACAGCTCTGCATCACTATTGCCTAATACAATTTTGAAACACAGTAAGTAGTGCCTACTATGAATAAATGCATATTCAAGTTCAAGACAAGACTTTCAAACATTATCCCTGGATGGTAATTATCATTTACTTTAATTACTTTATTACTTCTATGGAGATGACTCCAATTCCAGCTTTAACCTCTCTCCTGAGCTCCCATCATACATCTCCAACTGTTGACTAGATCTTTCAAATTGGATATTGCAAAGATATCTCAAAGCTCGGTATTTCTAAAACTAAAATCACCCAATTTCCCCAGAACTCACTGCTCTTGCAAATTTCCCTATTTCTGTTGAAGACATCACCATCCTTCTCAGCTACCCAGGTTTGCAACCTTGGCATTATCTTGTCTACTACCTCTCCTTCTCCCAACATATCCACTCAACTGCCACATTTGGTTGTTCCTATCTCACCAACATCTCTCTTCCCTTTTATCTATTCTTAAAACCACCATCCTAATCCAGAGTTCACACCTTCAACACCTCTAACCCACAACTACTACAATAAGCTAATTGGCCTCCTTGCCTTAAATCTCTCATTGTTCCAAACACACTCCCAGAGCTGAAAACACAATTTTCCTTAAGTACAGATCTGTCACTTCCGTATTCAACAAACACCACTGACTCTCTATTGCTTTTAATATCAAGTATAAACTCTTCTGTTTAACTTTTAAAGCCCTTTACAATTTGGGCCCAACTTATTTTTCCCACTTCAACATACATTACTTCACTTTGTATACTCTGTGGTCCAGCCAAACTGTTCTTCAGACACACTCCAACTCCCATCTGCACATCTTTGCCATAGCTGCCATCCCTCTCTACCCCACACCTGGACTACTGTATCACCTCCACACAGCCACTTCTTAGAATCCCATGGTTGTTTTTCCCCCTGATGCTGTTGTAATGCCACCATCTGCATGACAATGTTCTTCATCCCCTTAACTGACAGTTCTTTTCTCTGTCGAAATTTAACTTTTTTTTTAATATTTTTTATTTTGAATACTTTCATTATGAATGTATATTTTGTCTCTCCCAATAGAATGATATAAGCTCCTTGAGGGCAAGGGCTATCTCAAATTTTGTCTCTGTATCTCTAACATCTAGCACATACATAGTAAGCATTTTAAAACGCTTGCTGATCCATGGTAAAGGCTTACTTAAACTACTTTACTCTTACTACTAAAGCTATCATAAGGTACTAAAGTTATCATAGAGCAATAATATGACTATTAATGTTAAAATAAAATGTAATACAGTTTTCTTCTTAAAAGAAATTACCTGCAAAGAACTGGAGGGAGCTCTGTACTTTCTTCCATGTCATCTTCTAACTGATAGAAGAGCAGCCACTTCATAATTAACTCTTGTATTGAGTACCCTTGATTTATTTCACAAAAACTCTGATCTACTCCTACTTTTGACATCTCTGGAACTACGCAGGAGGTCAAAGCTAATGACAAACAACATACTGCAGGACTTTAAAAAAAAAGGACAATTTATGTTACGGAGAATGCAATCATTACACGTTAAAAGAATATAAATATATTCCTTGGCAAATCACTTAAATCTGTCATATCTTGGTTTTGAACTATCTCAAACTGTAAGATCCATGATAATGTATATCATGATTTCCAGGAAGTAAATTAATTAAATATTATTTGAGAAACAAAATAATTATTTGAGAAATAACAATTCTTTGGTATCTATGATCAAGGTAATACAGGAGATAGAGGATTACTATGAGTAAACAAGTGACAAATTACAAGTTGTATCCAATAGTAGAAAGAAATTCTTCACCTCTGCAACAACTGTCTTTACCTTTGTTGAAGTCAAAATCACATTTACCTTGGTTATAGTGACTTTTCATGGCCAAACTACAAAAACTCATGAAGTAAAGAAAACTTCAAGCGAAAACTGTTAAGTGAAACTACAGGCATATTGTATTAGATCCACAAAAAAGAAAATCCTAAATTTAGAAACAGAAGTACAACATAATATTATTACCAAGAAGGTCTGCAAGCCGATCCTGTAAATATCTTCCATAGTTCTCTGTCAACCTCAACTAAACTTCCTTGAATTATGGCGCCAAGTAAGCCAAAGTTTTCGGCCTGTATTTGTTCAGAACTTATACTGCGAAAGGTAATAGACCAAATCTTATTCCAAAGTTTCAGGAGATCTGACTTGTGTGAGATTTCCAGATCCAATTTCTTGCCTTGACACAATGCAAGTTCGATGAGGCATCTTAACACATACGGAATACATTCCCCTCGTCGCTGCTGGGATAGAAGCTGGTGTAGTATCATCAGTAATGGTGCAAGCTCATTGTTAGGAAGACTATCAGGATACTTTGCTATTAACTGTGTTGCAATCTGTAACCTTAAAAAAGAAAAGGCCAGATGATTAATTTGAAAAATGCCTTTTTTTAAATAATTAATTTTTAGTTTTCAACATTCACTTCCATAAAATTTTGAGTTTTAAATTTTCTCCTCCTCCCTCTCTTCTCCCCTCCCCAAAAGAGCGTGCAATCTGATATACACTCTACCCATAGATTCATCTTAAACATATTTTCACATTGGTCATGATGTGAAGAAGAATTAGAATGGGAGGAACCACGAGAAAGAAGAAACAAAACAAAACAACAAAAGAAAAGGAGAGCAAATAGTATGCTTCCATCTGCATTCAGACTCCATAGTTCTTTTTCTGGATGTGGATAGCATTTTCCACCATGAGTCTTTTGGAGTTGTCTTAGATACTTGCATTGCTGAGAAGAGCTAAGTCTGTCAAAGTCAGTCATCGCACAATGTGGCTGTTACTGTGCACAATGTTCTCCTGGTTCTGCTCATTTCACTCTGCATCAGTTCATATAAATCTTTCCAGGTTTTTCTGAAGTCTGCTTGCTCATCATTTTACATATTACAACTTGTTCAGCCATTCCCCAATTGATGGCCATCCACTCAATTTACAATTCTTTGCCACCACAAAAAGGGCTGCTAGAAATATTTTTGTACATGTGGGTCCTTTTCCCGTTTTTATGATCTCTTTGGAATACAGACCTACAAGTGTTGCTGGGTCAAAGGGTATAAAGTTTTATAGCCCTTTGGGCATAGTACCAAATTGCCCTCCAAATGGTTGGATCAGTTCACAGCTGCACCAACAATGCATTAGTGTTCCAATTTTCCCACATCTTCTCCAACACTTATAATTTTCCTGTTTTGTCATGTTAGCCAATCTGACAGGTGTGATGTGGTACCTCAGGGTCGTTTTGATTTGCATTTCTCTAATCAATAGCGATTTAGAACATTTTCTTTTCATTTGACTATACATAGCTTTAATTCTTCCTCTGAAAACTGCCTGTTCACATCTTTTGAGCATTTATCAACTGGGGAATGACTTGTATTCTTATAAATTTGCCTCAGTTCCCTATATATTTTAGAAATGAGGCCTTTATCAGAGACACTGGCTGTAAAAATTGTTTCCCAGCTTTCTGTTTCTCTTCTAATCTTGGTTGCATTGGCTTTGTTTGTGCAAAAACTTTTCAATTGAGTGTAGTCAAAATTATCCATTTTGTATTTCATAATGTTCTCTATCTCTTGTTTGGTCATAAATTCTTCCCCTCTCCATTGATCTGACAGGTAAACTATTCCTTGCTCTCCTAGTCTGCTTATAGTATCAGCCTTTATATCTAAATCATGCACCAAAAATGCCTTTTAATAATAATAACAGCAAACACATATATTACCTCATATTTTACAAAGTATTTTATCACGCAGAGTATTTTATTTGCTCTGCACAACAATTCAATGAAGCAGGCATTAAAATGATCATTTTATAGATGAGGATTAGGCATAGAGAGAGAGAGTTAAGGATAAGATTCACCACTGCTTCTCTGAATCTGCACAAATTACTTTGTATTCATTATGTATATAAGTTATGTTGACTTATCTGTGTACATGCTTTTGCACCAGGTAGAATGTAAGCTCCTTTAAGGGAGGGGCAGTTTGTTTCAGTTTTTCATCCTAGCACCTGGCACATGAATGATGCTTAATGGATACAGGTTGAATAAATGAATCTCATTTGAGCCTCACATCATCCCTACAAATAAAGCAGTATTATACCTATTATACTGAAAAGGAAACCATGGCTAAGAAGCTTAATGTCTTGTCCATGGAATATGGCTATTAAATGTGAAACAAAGGATTTGAAACCAGATCTTATTCCATTTGCATCACTCTCTGCACTATGCTAAAGTCCCAAGAAATAGCCCTCCAAATTAAAAAAAAGTTTTTAAAGCTGTTTTTCCTTTAACTTCTAAGTGCACTAACTTAGTTGCCAGAAAATAGAATGGAAGGATAAATTTCAAAGCCCAGGGCAACAAGTCAATTACCACAATTCATCTGGCCTCAAGCCTTTAAAACCTCTGAAATGCTTTTCCATTAAATCAAGAAACTTTAATTAAATACCTATTATATCAAGGCCCTATACTAGGTGTTAAAGATAAAACAGTAAAAATACAATAGCCCCTGCACTGAAGGAGTTTACATTTTACAGGTATGATAACGTATACACAGATAAATAAAACCAAAATAATTTAAAGAGGGGGAGTTTTTTTTTCTCCCATCTACAATGTTTTCTCAGATACCTACACACTAATTATGATGGTTGGGAATATAAGAACCCAAGTTTAAAAAAAAAAGACAATTAGGTATTTAATAGCTATATAACTTTGGGCAAGTCAGTCTTCATTTCTAAAATGGGGATAATAGCACCTACTTCCCAGGGATGTCGTATCAAATGAGATATATATAAAAGCACTTTAGCACAGTGTCTAGGTAGTACATGGTAGGGGCTATATAAATGCTAGCTATTATTACTATTAAGCTTAAAAGGGTAGGGGCAGCTAGATGGCGCAGTGGATAGAGCACCTGCCCTGGATTCAGAAGGACCTGAGTTCAAATACAGCTCAGACACATAACACTTTCTAGCTGTGTGACCCTGGGCAAGTCACTTAACCCCGTTGCCTAGCCAAAAAAAAAAAAGATCAAAAGGGTAACTAACTACAAAAAAAAATTACACATATAGCCTTAAGACCTCTTCTAAGAACCAAAGACAGAATAGCACTGCACTGAACAGTTGGTTATATTTAGTTTGGAAAGCTAATAAATTAGTTTACAAACAACATATAAAAAATTAGGCATTGTAGACTAATAAGCAGCTTTCTTTCACAAGACTATCATTGGTCACTTTGACATTTTAAAGCAATTTTGTAGAAATTGGGCTAGTCTTTTAAATAAAATTATTAATAATACCAAACATGGGATTAAAGAAAACAATGCACAAGAAAAAATCATTAAGGTACTTTACCATGGCACAAGGTCAAAATCATTCTGTGACTTTTGAAGGTAATCTTTAATAACCTCCCAGCCTAATTCTATTTTTCTCCTTTTGGTTGGTGTACTGCCACTACAAAAATCTCTTGCAGACGTGGCAGAAGACTGAGAGATTTCTAGGACTCTGGTATCTTCACTGAAGACCTGTTTCAAATGAAAAGTAACACAAAGAGAATGGACTTTTTCTTCACATCAGCCTTTAGAGAAAAATAGCTTACTAAGTGAAGTTTTAAAAAAACAAAGAACAGTCTTCTCAAATGGAGGGAAAATAGAAGCTGTGGGCCAAGAGTAAACACTTAATGATACTTCAAACATATATAGTAATCTTGAAAAAGAGAGAAACATTTTTAATCCAATACTTTTATTACATTGGAAAGTACCTATGGAACACTCAGATTAAGTGAAGAATTACTAAGAATTAACAAAGAACATTTAATTAACAGAAAATGAGATATCTCTAATAGAGCAAAATGCCAAAGTTTTTCAAGGAATGATTTTTAAAAATCAAGAAAATTCTTAATAGCAATTACACTTCTCCACAGTATGCTGACCCATGTTTTTAACAAAAACTTCTGTGTCAAAACAGAGTTAAAGATACCTTGTTTCCTACAGACTATATTCTTGGAAAATAGCATGGTGTAAATGCCAATAGAAGGCCCTCAAACTATTTACTGAACTGAAGTGGGAAAGGAATAACCCAGAATCACTACCTAATGAACCTTTAGAAAGAAGTTATCGTAAAGAAAATGTCAGCTATTCAAGACATGTTGAATAGATGAAGGAAACATGAAACAATGCACTGAGAATAAATTTATGTCTCTTTCTCACAAGAATACAGATGAAAATATGATAGAAAATCAATATGACCAAAAAAACCATATATAGTACAAGCTACCATACCTGGTGACAAACATCTGCCATTAATTCAACCAAATTTTCCTTGACAGCAATATTTCTACATCCAGAAGAATATTTTCCTCTGCTTCCTATATGACTTATCTCATTCAACAGTAGATCATATAGGCTGTATAAGATACTTTGCCATTTTGCTGATTCATAAGCTCCTATTTACAAAAATAAAAAAAAAATAAGTTTTTACTTAGCTCCATTTTCAACTGCCAACAACTAAAAAGGTTTCAATATATGTATACATATGTGTGTGTGTGTGTGCGCGCACGCGCATATCTATCTATGTTCCTATATTCACAAGAAAGATTCTGACATCTTCTTTTCCAACTTTGACTTTTCTATCACCTATCTCTCAGAGTTGTTGTGAGGATGAAATGAGATAATATTTGTAAAGTGTTTTGAAAACCTTAGAAATATTATATAAATGCTATCTACTTCCAAATGGTTATTTCTCATTTATACAACTGTCACCTCAACATGTCCAATCTTAAAGTCATTATCTTCTTTAACGCCTCAATCAATTTCCAACAATAGTTCTCTTTGCTATCACATGACTTGTCTATGCCTTTGTATCATACTCACTGTATGACCCTGGGAAAGTCATTTAATTACTGTCTGCCTCAATTTCCTCAACTATAAAATGGGTATGTAATAACAGCACCTACATCCCAAGGTTGTGAGCATCAAATGAGATATTTTTAAAGTCCTTAGCATAGTGCCTGGCTTATTGTAGGCATTCAATCAATTCTTATTTTTTATTTTTGATGTTAGGACCATTCTCTGAGCAGTTGTGGAGAAAAAGCCTGGGCTGGTCTTTTTGGTTTTTGAGTATTAAGGGTTATGTTATTTCAAGATTGAAGAGTCAGCTCTGACGGAGAACCTGCAAGCTTAAATGTCTCCCAAAGTAGTCTGATCCAAGGCAAACTCTGACTGCTGCCCTCTTGGTTCCTGACCTGATTATGATTCTGGGCAACAACAGACTTGCTGTTGGATTCAGTCCCTGTCAGCCAGCTAGGAGCTCTGCTGATTCAGAATGACCGAAGTGTAGGCTCCCTCTCCTTTGGTCTGGGAATCTGACTAGGTTATTCCTCTACAGGCTCCAAACTGGGCTAGTAGCTGGAACTGAGGCCCCACTGTGCTCCTGGGGTCTAAACCACAGTGTAACCCCTTGCTTCTGAACTTACTCTACTCTCAGTACACTGCCTAAGGCTATCAACCGTCACCACCCTGGTCTTCGACCTGGAACTGGGTATGGGCAACAAAGCTGTGAATAGCAACTATTCCCACTGGAATGACCAGATATGCGTCTGGGACCTCCTCTTGCTATGGTGCCTATCATCTCTCTGGGCACACAACTGTTCCTGGCCAGACCCCTTCCTCAGAGTCCACAGATTTTTCCATCTCCCTATGACAAAGTTGGATGGAAAAATAACTCACTGTAACTTTTTTTTCTTAAATTTCCCCATTAGTCATAGTCTAGTCTTTTTTTCTTGATCTGTTTGGAGATTTTAGGGTACAGCTCACGGTATTACTTTCTGCTACTCCACCATCTTGGCTCCATCTCTCTGTCATCAATTCTTACTTCAGAATATTCCCATCATTTCCATCCAGGTTCCCATCATTTCACATCTCAGTTACTACAAAGACTAAGCCCTTTAGTCCATTTTCTCTCCAAACCATACACAGGACTTAAAGTCACTCCCCTGATTAAAAATCTCTAATATCTCACCTTTGCTCATGAACTGTCAACTACTCTCTGCAGCCTTTAAAGCCTTCTGTAATATGGTTCTGCTCAACCTAGCCAACTTTTTAACTCTTACTTCTTCAAAATATGAACCTACCACTCAACAGACCAGTCCTGTCTCCCACAAATATTAGGTGGGAGACAAAGCCCACTTCTGTGGCTTTGCTCATGCCCTTTCTTTTCTGCCTATCCAAATGTTAAATATCTTTCTAGTTAAATACCCTTCTAGATATCACCCAAGTTCTACCTCTTATAAGAAGTCTGTAATCTCTCCCTTCATTGAATTATTAGCATTTAGAATACATTATACACTACTCAACATTATATATTGTCTTTCATTCTTCTTGAATTGTTTCATATGTGTTAGTTGTATTTTTCCAACCAGACTTTACAGGTACAGTGTTTTTTACTTATTAAGTCCTTATAGTGCCTAGCACTATGCTAGATATACAGCAGACATGTATTAATGTCTATTAATTAGATGATAAACTACAGAGTGAAACGTTATAATTCTGACAAAAACATCCAATGATAAATATCAATCAGATAAAAAGCTAGGGACACATGCTGGCATCGGCATTAACCTTAATAATCCAATCCTCACAAGTGACCTCAACTTGGCAATGGCTGTCAGTGACAAATTGGAAATTGTTACAGTCTTTATTTGAATTAGACCTAATTAGATCTAAATAGTTTAATGAGTAAGCAATTTAAAAACAATAACAACAAAAAGAGTATTCTTATACCTTTTTCTTGGGTTTTGGCTCCTTTTGGGTGATGAACACGAACTTGCAGATGAAATAATTCAATGATTACATCCTTCAAAGAATCATTTGGTCTTTGTTGAGACCATATGTAAAGCACAGTAGGAAGGATTTCTTCTCCTAATTTACAAACTCGCATACGAAAATTTACAGCAAAGACCTTCAGAAAGATATTAAGGGCAGCCAGAATATGATTCAAGCCTGCAGAGCTTTTTTCCTGCCTGCAACATAAGAAACCAGGCACTAGTTATTACACAAAAGAAAAACATAAGAGTTTTTGCCATTTATACAATCCACTTGAAAACAAGAAATTAACACAAAGATGAAACTGCTTGACGATATTTACTTCAAAATTGCTAGCACCTCAGCTTAAGAACATAAGCTGCCCATGGGCAGGGACTGTTTCATTTTGTCTTTGTAGCCCCAATGCCTCACAGTGCCCAGCACACAGGAACCAGTTACTAAATGCTTGCTGATTAAGGAAAAATTACCCGAGAACCCCATGTGTCCAAATGGCTCTGTATACCAATAAGAAATGGTCCATTTATGGATACAAAGGGGTCACTCTTCTTAGCCAAAAAGCCACACTTTTTCTTAGCCAAAATAGTGTCTAGTTATAGTTATCCACTTATATTTTACAAGCATAAAATACTTTGATTTCCAAAGCATTTCACATAAACTCTCTTGATTTTTTCCTGATATCTACCTTTGCCCAGTATCACCCTTGTTGTTATTCCATTTATAGTTTCCTCCATACTAATTTGAACTTGATTGCTCTGTATTTCATTATCTGCTGTTTGGTATGTCAAGTCTAATTTGTCCAACTACACTGTGAGCTACTTGAGGGCAAGGTCTGTGTCTTACACTTGTTTGTGTAGTCCACTGTATTTACTACTCAGCTGTAAAAAGCAGAAACTTTGTGACTTCTGCCTCAGTTTGTATAGAGCATACCACCATCCTTCCAGTCACCTACATTTGAAACTTCACTCTCCCTTACCCCACATATCCAAATCAATTTCCAAATCTTGTTTCTTCCCTTTACAACATCTTTCAGATCTGTTTTGTTCTCTCCACCCAACACAATCAGGCCTTCATCATCTCTTTCCTGGACTATAGCAAAAGCCTTCTAATTAGTCTTCTGAATCAAATCTTGCCCCATTCCAATCCATCTACAACCAATGAAATGATTTTCCCAGAGTATGGGTCTAACTCTATTATTCTCTGCTCAATAAACTTAAATGCCACCTTCTACGTGAAGGTTTTCCAGATTCCTGAAGCTGCCTGTGCCATCCTGTTACAATTAACTGTATCTATACGGATGGCATTTTTTCTTTGTACACCCACATGTAAACATGTCTTCTCCCTTTGCTAAATTTGAAGCTCCTCAAGAGCAGAAACCACTTCGGTTTTGTCTTGCTATCCTCAAAGTCTTAGAAAAGTACCTAACACAACAGTGCTTAATAAATGCTTTCTGACTGGTTACTACAAGTGGAATTCTTCTCTCTGGAGGGGAAAGCACTTCTCCAGCACAGGAAGGCTGTTACTAAATATTGCAACCTAATTGAGAATCTCTTATAGTAAACCTCACTACCTCTTCAGTTTGGCTTTCAGAATATGATGAGTCCGTAGTCTCAAAAGATTAACTTTTTAACTTATTAAATATAGCACAAGATCTTTCTTAACCTAGATTAATTTTTAAAATAAAAAAAAATTAAATCAATCAAAAAACATTTATTAATTACTCCCCATATGCCAACCTGGGTAAGATTAGAAAGATTAAAAATAATGCCTGACCTTAAGGAGCTCACGGTTGGATTGAACATGTAAAGAACTCGGTATGTACAAGATATACAAAGAATAAATGAGAGGTAACCTCAGAGGGGATGGCATGGAATCAGGTAAGGTCTCTTTCAAAAGGTAAAATCAAATCTAAGACTTGCAAGAATTCAGGAACACCAAGAGGCAGAAGTGAAAAAGAATATTCCAGGAATGAGGAAGAGTCAGTTCAAAGGCACTGAGAAGAGAAACAGATGCTATGTACAAAGAACAGCAAGTATAGCAGGGTGGCAAAATTACAAAATATGTGGAGGGGAATAAACTGTAAAAATTGGAGAAAGGCAGGAAATGGCCTGGTTAAGAATCAATCAATTATTTGGCAATTATCAAGCACCTACTATGTGTGAGACACTGTACTGTGTTGTGGATATAAATACAATAAATAATTCCTACACACAAGGGGAGACAAGAAGTACATAAGTATACAGAACATAAAGAAAGTCAACAGAAACAAAGACTAAATGGTTAAGTATAAGGTAGCCTGAGGAGAGCCCCAAAAAAGGCTTCATGCTTCAAGTGGGCGCTTAAGCTTCATCTTAAAGGACGGAAGAAGTGAGAAGAGAGGGAGTACATTCAAAGATGGAGGACAGACAGCCAGGGCCACAGACTGGAAAAGCAAGGCTGTGAGGGAGGAAAAGAGAGAAGTACCGTTTGGCTGGATCACAGGGTGCAGGAGGGATAATAATGACCAATGAGACTGCAGAGACAAGCTGGAACAAGAGCCTTTTAAATAAAGCTAAAGAGAGGATTTTATATCTGAATTGAGAGGCAACAGGAAGGGACAGAGTTTACTAAGTAGGGGAGTGACATGGTCAGATCTGCATTTAAGGCAAATAAATCGAGAATTTTAAATACCAAAAGCACTAAAAATTACCTTGCACACTGCATCGCCTTTGAAAAAAATTCGAAAAACTTTAAATTTACTCCATCCGTCTGGGAACAGCATCCTCTGGTTACAGTTTGAATTATTCTAGCCACTAAAACTCTATTAATATCTTTAGATGGCTTGAGATACAATGTGCAATATAGGGCTAGAAGTTCTAAAAAAAATCAAAATTAGTTAAAAGAACAATTTCTTTTCAATCATTTTAAAGCATTTCTTTTAAATTAGAATGCTAAATGTTTTAAGAGAATCAAAATGTTCCACTACTTACAAAACAGATAGTATAGATAAGATAATAATCTTGTAAAGTATGTGTTATAATTAAAGTATTCACCTATAACAATGTTGTCCTGCATTTTTATTAAATTATTATTGAAAAAATCATGCACATGGTACCCAATAAATGTTAGTTGAATTGAATAAAGATTCAAAAAAATTGTTTTCATGAGTTGATCACTACTTCTCAGTTCAAAAGCCAGGAAACTGGCATTTAACAGTATATGATTTCAGATACCAAAAAGAGCACATCTTCTGCAGAAACTGAATGACATTTGTTTTTTAATATAATTTACTGATACGTGGAACTAGTTAGTGGTAGACTGGCTATGGAAAGACAGGCACACTAATGCACTAATCTTAGAGTTGTGAACTGATCCAGTCATTCTGGAAAGTAATTTGGAATTATACTAAAAATGTGGTTAAAATGTCCATATACTTGGAATTAGAGAACCTACCCCTAGGCATATACTCCAAGGAGGTCAATGACAAAAAGAAAAGCCCCCCCAGAAACCAAAAAATTTAAGGTGGCACTTTTTTCATAGCAGCAGAGAACTGGAAACAAAACAGATGCCCACTGATCAGGGAATATCTAAATAAATTGTGGTACTTGAATACATTCTTCAGTAAGAAGTGATGAATAATCATATAGAAAGGTTTATATGAAATGAAATATGCAGAACCAGGAAAACAATATACTACAACAAAACAATCAAAACCAAATGCTATACAATTATAATGACCAAGCATGGCCCCATAGAAAAGACTAACACATCTCCCTCACACTCTTTCCAAATGAGAGGGAACTACAAATGCAGAACCCTGTATATAGTATCAAACTTTTTCATTGTATTAATTCTGCAGAACTTTCTTTTCTTATTATTTGTCATAAAACCTGGCTCTCTAGAATAGGAAAAAGAGAATACATTGAGAAATGCAGGTGATAAAAAAATAAATCAATAAAAATGTATTTTCTAAAAGAAAAAGAACATAAATCAGTCTTCCTTACATATAAATCAATAAATAAAGTAAATCAGTCTTCTTTACATATAAATGACCAAGAAACCCACACTTTTTTGTGACATCAAAGGGAAAATAAATATATTCAGGCACATTATAGGCCATCTCTTACAGTGATTGAAGCAGAAAATTAACCCCTATCTGGCAGTCTTACCTTCCTTTTCTCAGAATTCTATTTTCATATGTATTATTTATTTCAACAACATTCATTCCTATGAAAAAGACAAAAGCAAGCAACAGAATACCTATGTTCCATATTAAGGAACTGAATTCAAAAGAGTAAAATATATTACCTAAGTTTATAGCAGAGAGGCCATAATATAGCAAGAGATATAGCTGACTTTGGAGACAAGACTGAATTTAAGTTCACTCCAGACAAATATTAGCAATGTGACCCTAGGCAAATCACTTAATTTCTGAATGCTCCAAGCAACTCTCTAAACACTACACTAATGAAAAAAGAGGTCTGAATTTTAAAAAAAAATAAGGATTGAAAAATTAATAGGGAATCTTGCCTGTGCCACTTATTGTGTGGCCTTGGGCAAGATGCCTTCCTCCTTAGGGACCTGGTTTCCTCACCTATAAACTGAGTCTGACTTTGATGGTCTATAAGGTCCCTTGTAACTTTAAACCTACCTAGGTCTGGACTGTGGGTAGTAGAATACCCAGAATTCACTGCTCTGTCCACCACAGCAACAAGGGGCCACTAAATTATCCTGTCTATAAGGATCTCTGAAGATACATATTGAAAATCATATGCTAACATTTCTGCTCTATTACACCCGTAGTTATTTTGTTAATTACATTTTAACCTGGTTTGTACCACACTGTGCGTGCTGAAGGGCTGCCTATTTGACCTTTTATACTACAGCATTCTGCCTCCTTTCAGAAACGTGATCACAACTGTCTGTTTTAATAGCTGTACAAGGTGCAATAAATAGTCCTTAAGGAGTTATTTACTGAGTTAGTTAAGATAGTGTTCACTTCCACAGAACAAATACTTAAATTTAACTAACTGAAAGTTGGCAAGAAAGTTCAAGCTTAGTCTTTACTAACTTGGAACACTTAGTAGATGCAAAAGAAATTGTAAAATGTAGATTCCTTGTTGAAAGTAGAGAAAATGTAGGTCGGAGTAGCTTTGCTCCTACTTAGAAGGAAAATAGAAAGGTATGAAAGGAGAGTTTATAAGATCTGATGGTTTTCCTTCATCTTTTCTATAATGATTAGAAAAAGGGAAAATGGAGCAATAGATTATGACAGGAAGACACTGTCAAGTAAAGACCTGAGACCTAAAAGGATCAACTGAAAAGGCAGAGACTAAAATATAGAAATGCCATTATTTCCAAGCCTCTAAAAGCTAACACCACTTGAGCATTCTACCATCAAAACTTTAAAGACCGTAGGTAGGGCCTTAGAACCAGAGGTTGAGAAATAAAAGAAACCTTAAAGGACATGCAGTCCAATCTTTTTTTTTTTTAAACAAATCAAGGACCTGAAGCCAAGAAAGGTTACATGATTTGTCCAAGACCATTCACATAGTAAATGGAGGAGGCGGGAATCAACTCCAGGTTTATAGTCTCCAAAACCAGAGACTGTTTTTTTTTTCCCACTGTAACAGATCTAGTACTACAGAAAGTGTAACATGAATGTGAGGATATTATGAAGGTTTCTACCTCAAAGAGAAATCACAGAATTTCTTTACAGAGAGTTTGAAAATTCATTGCTCTTGTTCAGCACATAGAATTTTACATTCATTACAAAAGTACACTTCAGGAATAAGCTATAAAGCTACAGTTCATTCAATGTTTATCTTGACTATGAAATTGGCATATATTCCTTTTCTTCTCTTAATTGGAAATGAATGAATAACGAATCCAAAATCAAAATCTAGTGGGCAATTCAAACTACAGGTACATGATTCTAGGAGCATAGAAAGGGCCTGAGATGTTAAGCCCATGTGAAATTTGTTTTAAAAAATCAATTATATGAAATATTAAAAAAAATGTGACAATTCAGGAATAAGAATTTCCTGACTCCTGCATTACTTATTTCATCAAAGTGACTCAACAACAAAAAACTTGCAAACAAACCAGAGGGAGAATACCTGACCAATGATGCTGGGATATTTCACACCAGTATTTCCTTACTGAAAGAATGTCCTTAAGCAATATATTACTATAATCAGCTCCATAAGTAGCTACATTGGAGGAATCCTTTACTGTGTCCATGACGTAATTTAGAAGCTCTTGACATTTCAACCTGGGGGCTCCTGGTAAAGAAGAACAGAACGGCAGCAGTGGAAATATGATGAATCTTCAAAAAATAAATTAGCAATATTATATAAAGACACCAGTTTAGAGGATTCTATTTTTAAAACTTCCTTTGACTACAATCTTAATTAAGAAATAGGCAGCAAACATTTATTAGATTTCAGCTCAAATAATTCAAAATGTGTAATAACTAGTCCTAGGATGGGTTGAAATTGATCTATGAAGAAAGGACTTAATAATTAAGTTTAATAGTACAACCAAGCTTGCAGAGAGAATACTTATACATTCAAAGTAAATAAAATGTGCAGAGTGCAGACGTGGACTCAGGAAGATCTGATTTTGAATCCTGTCTCAGACATTTACTAGTTCAGTAACTCTAAGCAAAACACTTAACCTCTTTGTGCCTCAGTTTCCTCATCTGTAAAATGGGGTAAGATTAACACCTAGTTTCAAAGGTTATTCTAAGATAAAATAACATAATATATGTAAAGGCATTACAGTCTTTAAAGCCTCATATAAATACTAGCTATTATCATTATTAAATATTCAGTATTTGTGTGCATACAAATGAATATTTTAAACACAAGTAAATGCTATCTATCCATTAAGGAACTTCTACATAGAATATATTGTTTCAGCAGTTAAAACTGAATAACAATAAAACTATATTTCTATTACATTCTCCTATAATTTATACTTTTCACGCAGCTGGACTAATTGGAATGATGAGTAATTATTGAGATTTCGATGCACTTTAAAAACAATGTCTTTTTTTGTTAATTTTTTGTTACAGTTTAAGTTCCAAACTTCTCCCTCCCTACCTTCCCACCTTGCTCTAGAGAAGGCCACTATTTGATTCAGATTCATAAGTATATGCAAATCTATACTATGCATATTTCTATTTATCAGTTCTTTCTCTGAAAGTAGACAGCATCTTCCTTCATAGGTCCTTTGTAATTGATCTGAGTATTTATTATCATAAATATATAAATATAAATATATACATATATACACACATATACATATATATATGTACACACACATACTCAAAATAACTTGGCTGTTCACAATCATTCTTGGAACAGTATTGCTGTCACTGTATACACCATTCTCTTGGTTCCGCTCATTTCACTTTTCATTATTTCATGCAAGTCTTTCTATGCTTTTCTAAAATCAAGCAGCTCATCATTTCTTACATCACAGTAGGATTCCATAACAATCACATACCATTTGCTACCACAAGGAGAGCTGCTATACTTTAAAATAGATAGATTCTTTTCTTTTTTCCCTGATCACTTTGGGAAAGACAACTGATAGCGGTATTGCTGGTCTAAGAGTATTCACAATCTTGTAACTCTTTGGGCATAAGTCCAGATTGCTCTCTAAAGAAGGTCATTTTAATTCTACTGTCACAGCATATGGCTCAGATAGTCACCTTATTATTGGATATTTGCAAGCCTCAACAAGCACTTATTAAACCTCTAATATATACAAAAACCTGTGCTGGAGCCTAGAGGAACTAGCCTATCCCAAAACCATATTCCAGCCCTTGCACTGTTCTCTCATAGAGCTTGCAATCTAATCAGAGAAGCTAGTGGTGCAGTGGATAGAGTGTGGATCTGGAGTTAGGAAGACCTACATTCAAATCCTACCTCAACCACTTATTTATTAGCTGTGTGATCTTAAGCAAATAAGAGAACCTCTGTCTGCCTTAGTTTCCTCATCTGTAAAATGGAGATAACAGCATCTATTTCCCAAGATGGTTCTGAGGATTGAATGAGATCTGTAAGTCACTTGCAAACCACAGGGACTACATAAATTATCATTGTTATTACTGTTGTTATTGGGGAGCGGTACTTAACAAAGAAGAGGTACAAAGTACAAAGCACAGTTCAAGTAAAGAAAGAACATTTTTCTAATTAGAAAAGCTTCATAGAGGAAGAGGCATAATCATAATGATAAATAAATGATAATAACTAGCATTTATATAATACTTTAAGATTTGCAAAGCACTTTATAAATATTACCCCATTTTATCTTCATAACACTCAGAATGTGAATGTTATTATAGCCCCCATTATACAGATGGGGAAATTGAGTCAGACAGAGATTAAGTAACTTGCTCAGGGTCACAAAGCTATTAAGGATCTGAGGCAGAATTTGAGCTCATGCCTTCCTGGTTCTTGGTCCAGCATTCTACCTACTTCGCCACTTGGTTATGTCTGAAAAGATAGGTCGTATTTCATTAGATAAAGTTAGGAAGACATTCTAAGCCTAGGGAATAAAACAAAGGCACAGGATATGGAAGCAATGAAATGCAGACCATGAAGCAGAAATAATAGGTGGCACAACCCTAGCAAAGAGAATGGAGAAATATGCATATAAAACCACAAAATTTTACAACTAAACATGACCAATTCCCTTATTTTATAGATGAATAAACAATATATAATATGTCCCTTACTTTTATTTGCACATTTGATGAAGTATTTAACCAAGCCGCTAATTTCTTGCATCTTTTTCTGTCTGGAGGCTTGTGTTGAAGCTGATACATTCGGTTTTGCTGTTCGCAAACACTCTGTTTCCTTCTGAATGTATTTTTGCAGAAACCTTCAAGAAAGCAAAATACATTTTTAAAAATTATCTTCTGCAGGGGTTACTTTAACATCTTTAAAGAGTCTATGCAACTAAAAAAGGTATTCTTTTAAGTGTTTAACTTTAACTCATATCCCCTCTAGATTAACTATATAAATCGTTCTTTCTTCAATGACATTCTATCACTCTCTTATAGACCAAGAGTGCTTGACTTGAGTCAAGAAGACCTGAGTTCAAATCCTGCCTTAGATATCTTACTGGGGGAAGATGTTTAACCTGCGTGCCTCAGTTTCTTAATCTATAAAATGGGACAATAAGGGCACCTACTTTATAAGACTGTTGTAAGAACCAAGTGAGAAAACACATTCAAAATGCTTTGCAAACCTAAAAGCACTATACAAATGCTAACTATCAGAATTTATGTAATTAATCAGTTCTTTCTATTCTCATTTTCTGTTACATGTCAGCTGCCTTCAATTTAGTCATATTAATATCCAAGTTGTTCTTTGCAGTTAATTCAACTTCAATTTTTTCTCACTCTTTTCCCATACCATTATTCATACATGAAATACTCTCATTTTTCCCATTCTACAAGCAAGAATGTTTACAGCCTGCAAAGATGGCTTTCCTGGCTCAGTCAGACAACTAGGTTCAGAAGCGTATACTATGTTCAGAATAGGGCTACAATATAAGCAGAGAGTATAAAAGATATATATACACACACATACGTGTATATATACACATACATATATTTAATTATCCTTATTTTGTCTGAATTAACCTTAAACTAAATGGACAGGCTATGTCTTTTCCTTTCTATAATCCTGAATAAACAGTATTCAAAATGGCACAAGATACTGTAACATACACAAACATTAATTTAATAAGCATTTTAATGATAAAATACTCCATAAGCATCCATCTCCAATGATCTACTATAACATGAAGGTAAACTTGAATTCTTAAGGAAAGAAAACCCTAGCAAGTTCTACCAAATTTGGGGGATAAAGTGTGTCTCCTATCTTAAGTACTAGTTTAAGTGTGGGCATTCTCAAAACCAACAAGCTGGCTAGTAGGTAATAAATTATTTGTTCATGGTGGTCCATGAGATAGATAAGAGTAGAAAATTGTATTTAATCCTGTGCAATCTCTTCTGTATTCTACGACAGTGGCAAGGTGATAGAAAAAGACACAAAGATTACAGAGAATCAGAATTTTAAGCCTTCTACAAAAATTAGTATAACTTGGTACTTTGAGATCTTGGTCCAAAAACTAAGTTCGCACACTACTGAAAGAAATGACCCATATTCATATTGACATTATCACTACAAATGAAACAAAATAAGGTTGCGGCCATATGAAGGGATGGTTAACTGATTCCCTTTGCTAGGCAAATAAAAGGTGAGGCAGAACTGGTTTTATCATGTGAAAAATGGCAACAAAAACAGCACTTCACGTGATACTTGATCATTTCACCTCATAGTGCACTTAACAGAGGCAAATGATTTCACAATCATTTCGGTTTATGTGCCAATACTTGCTGCAGAAGATGAAGTTGAGACATTCTATTAAGAAACTGACCAAATCTTCCAAAAACACATCAGTACATATCTATATACCTGGTGACAAATACAAAAGTGGGCACAAGTTGGGGAGGAAGGGGGAGAAATACTGGACAACAGGATGTGGAATTAAGAAATAAAAAAAGCCAAAGAGTTATAGATCACTCAGAACGCTCAAATCTATGTAAAATAAATACCTTAAGTTCAATGAACATTTATTTAATGCCTACAATAGGCAAGGTACAGCTTAGTGTTATAATATTGAAGAAGAGGTGGATGGCAAATTTGTTGGTTTGTTTTAACAATGATGCTTTGCTTTAAGGAAAAGTTCTCATGGGTGGAAGGTATATTAAGAAGTGATAATGATATAAAAAAGTATCTTAAAAAATAAAAACAAGAGAATCAAAACACTGGACATGGCAAACACTAAAAATCTTTAAAAAACAAAATTATATCTTTACCGAAAAGAAACAATTGGTTACCAACGCTCAAGCTGTTTCAGAATCAGTTGTCTATGTGTAATTAATGTATAGTTAGAGCAAAGATCAAAATTAACATTAACTCAGAAGTATAAGGATGAGAAGATGACATTATGTGCAATCATAACTACATTCATTTTAAATAAACTATTAACTCTGAAAAGAAGTGAAGGATGAAATAAAAATGGACCCCGACTATCAGTCAAGAAAGTAGGCAGAGAAATTTAAGAGTAAGGAGGGAAAGCATTCTGGTGGGGAGGGGGAAGCCAATGCGAAGGCATGAAGTCAGAAGATTGGGTATCCTACATGAGGAACCGCAAGTAGCCCAGTGTAGCTGGATCACAGGGTGAGCAAAAAGGACTAAAGTACAAGAAGACTGGAAAGATAGAAAGAGGTCAGGTTTAAAGGGCTATAAATGCCAAACAAAAGATTTTATGCTTGATCCCAAAGGTAAAGGAGAGCCACTGAAGAGGAGGGTGACATGGTCAAACCATTTTAAGAAAATCACTCTAGCAGCTGAGCAGAAGGCAGACTGGAGTGAAGAGAGACCAATGAGAAGGCTATTACTATAGTCCAGGTAAGAGGTAATGAGGGCCAGTACTAGGGTGAGGACTGTGAGAAAAGAGAAAAATAGATGTAAACAAGAGATGTTGTAAGGGTAGAAGAGACAAAATCTGACCACAGATTAGATATGTGGGGTAAATGAGAAGTTAATGATGACACCAAAGTTGTGACCCAGAGTTCCAGGAAAAATGGTGGTGCCCTCAACAGTAAAAAGTTGGGAAGCACTACTTGTTTTTTGGGGAAATATGAATTCTATTTTGCATTTGCTGTTTTCGAGATGACTATGAGACATCCAATTCAAGATGTCCGAAAGGAAGTTGGTGATGCGAGAATGGAGGAGATTAAGACTGGATATAGAGATTCAGTAAACATCTACATAAAGACGATAATTGAATTTATGGGACCTAATAAGACCACCAAGTGAAATGAAAAGAGAAAAGAAGGCCCAGGAGAGAAGGGAGAGATACAAGGGGAAATCTAGGTAATATAAAAACAAAAGATAGCAATAAAAATCTGTTTTCTAAAAAGAGAAGAAAGATTCAGCTGCACTTACACATTGCTACCAAAAAATTAGCATGTGATTTAGTAGAACAAATTTAGCTTCTATTCCAACAAATACATCTCCTGTGTATATGTTAAGATCACAAACAATTCCCTGTTTGAAGCAGTCAGCAATAACTTTATTAAACAATCCTTTGTTGATTAATACCAAGTCATAAAACAAGAAAGTTTATAGTCCCCAAAGGTGCTCACCAGTGGTTAACTTGTATCAAAGCAAAAATGGAAGGACTCATTAGAGATGCTGAGGTTTTTCAGATGCTCCTGTTTGCACCTAACAATGCCAAAATATTGACTGCACTTAACCCCAGAATGCTCTAAGTTCTTCTCAATCATGTTCACAGATGCTCAGAGAAATTAATATATGAATTCCCACAGGAAAACCAAGAGGACACAGAATGCTGTTTAACTGAGAGGCAGTGTGGATGGAGAGCTGGTTTTGGAGTATTGAAGAACTGCAAGTTCCATCTCTGACATATACTGGCTGTGTCCCAGGATCACAGATTTAAAGCTGGAAAGAACCAAGGGACCATGTAGACCAACTCTCATTTTAAACATAGGAAACTGAGATTTAAGCCACTCAACTCTAAGTACTCCAGATAACACGCTAAGTTGCAAAGAAAGTGGCCGTTAGTATTGGTAAAGGAAGTTCCTAACAAGAAGTTCCCTACACTAATATAATCACAGGTCTAAAAACAAAAACAAAATCTTAAGTATCACCCAAATTACATGCATTTCATGGGCACTCCTTTGATTTTATCTATCAGCAGACAAATTTTGAACGGGTAGCCCAGACGAACAATGAACTTGGTCCAGAACTTAACAGAAGAAGACCAGGCTTAACTGCATTTAGGAAATTGTACAGCATTTTGTAATGACCTCAAGCAACTTATTCCCCATCACCAAGCTCCATCTTTTCAGTTTTTGAATTCCAGTACCTTCCCAAAGATACTATGTGGCTGTGGATTAAGGAATACTACCAAGTTCTCAGATGTAGCAAAACTGCAAGTGATCCAATGGGCAATGGAAAAACATAAGATATACTCAAGCAGACTACAGCATAAACGCTGACTTGTAGACAAAAAGCAACATCAAAGGCATCATTGAAGACGTGTTTAACTAAAAAAGCAGATTGCCAATAAAATTCATCTAAATTTTAGGTTATATTCTTAATGAGTTAGACTGGCTTTTAAGGATTTTTATCATTTTCAAGCTATTAAGCCATTTTTCTGTCAGAAATTTTGACTGTTCACTTTTTGTGACTACTAAGACCTGAAAAATAAATAAATACACCCCAGTAGGGAAATGGCTAAATATACTGTAGGACATAAATGGAGTATCACTATGAAATACAAAGAATTCAGAGGAAGAAGACAAGATGTATATGAACTGATGCATAGTGAAGTAAGTAGAACCAGGAAAACAATAGCCATATACATGGCAACAACAATGGAAATAGAAATAACCTAAAAAAGAAACTGAAAACCACGTAATGTTAATGGACATGCTTATCACCAAGAGAAGAGATGAAATTTACCTCTCCTTTGCAGAAGTGGAACACTATCAGTACAGAACATTACAGACACCATCACATTCTGCTGATGTGTGTGTTAATTTTCCTGAACCCTTTCTTTTCTTCCAATTTTTTTTTCTTTGTTACAAGAGATTGCTCTCTGGGTAGGGGAGGATGAAGGAATTTATTCCCAAAAAAAGCCAATGAAAAAATAAATCCTATGAAAAACATTTTTTTTAATTTTAAAGAAATTACAACTTCTGTTTACAAAGCTATATAACAATTCATAACTCTAATGGACTATATCTTTTGACTTAAAATTAATCATTCTAGACAAATGAATGCTGCCACTGCTTCCTAATAGTCAATTTCCTTCTTATGCTGGCTTAAGTAATTTTTTAACTGAATTGTTATGACATTATTTTCATTTTCTTCCTAATTGCCTCATTTCAACTTATTACAGAACTAATCACGTTTGGGAAAATTACTTATTGGTGACTTTATACACTTTTATAAAATCTTAAGAGCTAACCAGTCTTATTTTCATCCCGTAATACGAAATCATAAAGTCCTAAGATCCGTATCCAATCCAACAACTCAATTAAATGCATTTTTGTAACCTATTTGTAAGATAATGTTTAAAATATTTTAAACAACTTTATTCAGCATTTGACAAAAGGAAAATGTGAACCCACTTTTTAATCTTCTTAAATTCTTCATATAAAAATATTTTTAATGTTTTGAACCAATTAAAATTTATCAAGAAATTATTTTGTGTAAAACAACGTGTTAGGCTCTTTAAAAAATGGTAATATAAAATCTGAGGCATGAAAGGAAGATTAACAGTAACACAATAAATTATATAAATGATGGTTGGAAAATGAAGGAACAAAATTAATTCAACAAAATACCTAAAAACGGCATCCCAGTTCAAATATTTTCCTTGTCTAGAATCAGAGTTCCGATCCAAATGTTTAATTGTTTCAGGATCTCGGATCAAACGCTTGAATTTCTCAACTTCTTTCTGAAAATATATTTAAATGAGTTATTATTAATCTACATCTTTGTTTTGAGATAAGAACACTGTTTAAATTGATGTCATTCACTACCCTTCGTTCTGTAGCTCTGTCATTTTCAAGTTGACGACAGCAAAGTAGTAAATCATGTAAATCAAGGCTCATGTTCAAGTTATCGATTCACACAACAGAGTTCTGTAAGGAAAAAACAAGGCAATGCTATAAATCAAAACATAAATTAAGCATAAAATGGTATGACTAGAAGCCTACTCTTCAGTTGCTTCTAAAAAATTTCTACTTTCCTATTACCATGGAATCATGCTAGTGGAAGTAATCTAGGACTGAGCTTTGGCAAGAAATAGTGGAGATAGGACAAGGAGACAGGACAGTCTAGAGTTGAAATGGCTAATAATTGGGTTGAGGTTGGAGAGAAAAGTAAAGTCAAAGAAGGAATAACTGCCTAGAATACACAGAGAGGGTTAACAGATTGAAGGGCAGACTGAGAGTGAAGAAAAGATTTAGTAGATATGAGGAATAGGGTGAGGAATAATCCACGCTGATGGAGCTCACTTCTGCCCAGCAACAATGAGAGCCTTGCCTAAATCTAAATCTGCCCAATAGGGGGATCTATCTGTTAATAAGAAAACCTTATTTTAGCCAATATCCTGTGTACATGACCAACCCTTATGGTTTGTGACCATATCCTAGAATGTTGCAAGCTAAATCCCTCTTTTTGTGACCACACCCTTGAACTGTTTTGGATGTACCCAGCACATCTGCTTCCCTTTCCTGACATCTTTCCCTGTGGTTAACTGCCCACACAGGGGCATACCCTGGCTGAGTGCCTAAGACTTGTATATAAAAGCAAGTCCCTGTTCTTCTTAAGGACTAGCCCACTGCTTTTTGCATCAAAAAGCCCTCTTGACTAGGAGAATATCTGCCTCTTGAATTCTTTCTGGATGAATCAACTCCTGAACCTCACAAACCACATCACATGTAATTTCACTTTCTTACTCTGTAAGGGCAAGAACTGTTTCATTTAAGTCTGCTTATCTCCAGCATGTAGGTCCATGCCTGATACAGTGAGCACTGCATCTCTGGAAAATTAAATGATTACTGTGTCTCTCATGCTTCCTTGTGAACAAAATGGAGAGAGGTGGGTTAAATGAGAGTTGAGATGATAATAAACTAAATCATTTGACCCAAAGAGCAATCATTAATGGTTAAATATAAAGTTGAAAGAGCATGACTACTAAAATAGCATAATCCTTTGCCCTCTAATAATTAATATTTTTAACAATGACTTAGATTAATTAAAAATTAATCAATAAGCATTTATTAAGTGCCAAATCTAAGGTCTGGATTACTTCCATTATTTGCCTCCTCTGGGGATTAAGAATAATCTCCAACTGCTGAAAGCAAGCACACAAAGCCTGGATGGGGTGGGGGGGGGAGCAGCGGCATAACAAGATGGCTGTGCATCAATATTTGAAGGATTGTCACGTAAATGCATAATTACACATGCTTGGCCCCAAATATGCAGATATCAACTCAATATAAGGAAAATCTTCGTAACAGTAACTGCTATCAAGAAATAAAATTGGCTAAGGAGGGAATGGTTTCATCTCCACACATGAGTTCTCCAAGCAAGAGGCTAGATTACCATTGTGGCAGTTGATGTGGAGGAATTCTTCAGTAAAAGGGTCCCTTGTAACTGTTATTCTGCAAATACAAAGGAGCCTAAGTGGGATTTGAACCCAGTCCAGTTTCTTCATCTTTCCCCTGAGCAACAGTAGACTAAAACAATACTTTTGCAAAATAAGTGGTTTCCACTTACAATAATATGACTATGATAATGGAAGGAAGGGGAGAGGGAGGGGGTGGGGAAGGGGGGAAATAGGGAAGAAGGGAGTGAGACAGAGAGAGAGAAAGAGACAGAGAGCTGGCATCATGCAGCATTAAGGTCTTGAAAATGTTTTCATGCAGCATCTAATTGTATCAACATTATGAGGTATATGAAACAGACATTATCACCTCCATTTTACATGACGACAGAAAGGAACACAGAAGGTAATTTTCTACAACAGAGGGAAAAACCTTATTAAAAAAAAGGAACCAAAACATATGAAGTTCTGGAGAGTTCTTTTCCTGAAAATTTTATTTAGTTATAAAACTATGCAAAATGCTTGTGTATGTATACACACACACACACACATACACACACACACATACACAGAGTCCCCCTTTACCCATCCAAATCTTGTCATCTTTGGGGATCTACCTCAAGACTCATCTTTTCCATAAAGTCTTCTAACACAGAATCAAAGAATTTTAGAATAAAAAGCCTCAGTTTATATATGCTCCCCTCCCAAAAAATGCTGAGGAATTCTTCCTAATATCAGACCAAGGAATCTCTTTCCATGTAACTTTCCACCTATTCAGTTTAGTTTTTCCCTTTGCAACCACCTTGGATTCAGGTTGTGTGGAAAATTACCAATCTACATCGCTCTATTCACACAGTCACTACACTCCTTCAGGCCCCCATCATCTCTTGCCTCAACTATTTCAATAGCCTCCTAACCGGTCTCCCCACTGCAATTCTTCTGCCATAAGATCTGCCAAACGTTGTTCCTAAAGCACAGGTCTAAGTTACTCCCCTACTCAACATCAGTGACTCCATAATCCCTTTATGGATCAAATATAAACACCTTTGTTTGGCTTTTAAAGCCCTTCATAACCCGACTTCAATATATCTTTTTGGCCTTGGTACACATTACTCCTCATCTCTTTGCCCTGACTGAACTCCATGCCTTCTCCTTCTAACATCTCTACTTCAGAATCCCCTATTTCACTCAAAAATCCCTTAAGAGACCAATTTCCACATGAAGCCTTTCCTGATTCCCCTTCCCCAACCTATTATCTTGTATTTATTTTGGAAGCATTTTGCATTTACCCATATGTAGATATGTATATGTAGTCTCTCCCACAGAATATAAGCTCTTTGAAGGCAGAGTTTGTTTCAATTGTGTGTTTGCATTCTCAGCACAGTCTAGCCCAGTGCCTGGCACATAGGAGATTAATAAGTGTTGACTGAATGAACCAAATACAAAGTACACCTCCTCAATACCATGTTTTCTCATTTATAACATGAGGATAATACTTGCACTACCTGCCTCACAGGGAAGGTCTACAAAGTGCTTTCCTTATAGGACTACATAAATGTTAGTTATTATTAAAAATAAATTTAATCTCTTACACATAGCAGCTCTTCCAATATTTTAAGATGTCCATAAAGTCCTACCTGTTATTTTTCAGGATAACTCTTCCCATGCTTTTTATCTATTTCCTTTTATAACAAAAAACTGAAATCTGAAGATATGAATTAAAATCCTGGACCTATCACACTAAATAGTTATGTTATTTCTGAGCTTCGGTTTATCTAGGTCAAAAGGTCTTGGAAAAAGCTTAGGAAATCTAAACGTTATTTGTGATTCATATTGAGTAAGCCCAAAGTCCAAGGAGAAGCAGACCTGATCTGATAGTAAGCCAATCACAAGGAACTCCTGGCTTCTGCCCTGGGATCTTATTAAAGACAGGTCATTACTTCAAGCAGACCCCAGCCACCCCACCAAGATACCTTTTTGCCCACGTGATTGCACAGAATATTCCCCCTCACTACTATCTCCCACCCCTAGACACATCCCCTTGCCTGCCCCACCCCACCCCTGAAACCGGCTCTACCTCCACTTCTAGGAAAAGTAATCCTAACATAACTACATTACTACTTCTGCAAAGAGCACAAAATCAATTGCCCTAAAACTCTATTCCCCTTTGACTTGATTCTTTCCTGGCTGCCACTTCCCTATATGTGGTGATTCCCTCATTAGAACATAAGCTCCAGGAAGACAAGGGGTGTCTTCCTTTTGCATTTCAGTTCCCAGGGATTAGCATACTGTTTGGCTCATAAGGAGCTTAATGAATATATTTTCATTTATTCACTGAAAAGTAGAGATGAACTTCCTAAAAATTTGGCTTAAAATTCCAGAAGGCTAACAATGCACCAGAATAACATGCAAATATAAGATCTAGGTATCTTGGTATAAAAAAATTAACACTTGTCAACCCTGACCAAATGAACAATGAGACACAGACGCTCTGCAACTGCTGTTAACTCCAAAAAAAAGCAAAACTAAAAAAACCAAACCAAACCAAACCCAGAGTTTACACAGGTTATCAAAACCAGTTAACTCTAACAATAAAATAAAATAAAATAAAAATCAAAGCACTAACACTGGTTATAAGCAAAAAGTTTTCTTTATTCTGTTGGAAGAGGAAACTAGACACATGTGCCAGGGCTCCCCTCCGTCCCCCTCAAGTAGGAAACCCGATTTCATCTGTACAAATGTCAACACTTATACCAACAGCTATGCACTGAGCTGTAGTCCTAACAATGGTGGGGTAACAGCCACAAGGGGACAAGTTTGATTCATAGCAGGATTTCATGATCAGAACACTGGTACTACAGGTGCTTGTCCAAGCTCAGATACCACCTGTTGCTGGTGTAAAACAATTCTGGGATTTTGCTGCAGCCAAGTTCATCTAGAGAGTGAGTGCAAAGTATTGTTACACCAAGTTCAGGGCACAAGTTGCTTGCTGGGCCTTAGCTCTGGAAAAGAGGATGTCACCTAATAGTAAAAAAAAAGAGGAGTGAAAAGAGAGGGGTGGTCTTGGGCATGGGTATCCCGACATACTACAATGGGCACACAAACCTGGTTTATAATCTCAGCACCTTGGTGGTATACTGGATTGAGTACTGGGCCTGTAGTTAGGAAGATCTGAGTTCAAATCCAGCTCTGTTATCCTGGGCAAGTCAATTAACCAGTTGGCCTCAGCTTTCTCAACTGTAAAATGGGGTTAATGATAACACCTCTCAGGATTGTTATGAGGATCAAATAAGATAATAATTGTAAAGCATTTAGCACGGCGCCTGGTACACAAGTGCTATATAAATGTTTGCGTTATTATTAATCCCAATCTGGCCACTGTCTAACTAACTGTCTAGCCATGGACAAATCACTTAACCTCTCTAGGTTTCCATGTTTTCATCCAAGGATCCTTTGCAGCTGTACTCTTAATTATGATTGGCAATTACGTAACTCACTGTAATACTTCGTATTTCGGAAACTGCGTTAGAGGTAAGTGGATTGTTTAGAGTATTCCTCCCTAACCTCCCACAAATTCATGGGGTCACGCAGACCCCTTAACCACTACAAGAAGAGGAAGACAGCATCCTAGATAACGGGTCGCATGTTGGGGGCAACCTGCTTCAGCCAGGTAGATCCAGGAACAAGATTTCCATGATTCCAAGAAAGGAGCTCTGTGCTGAATGGGACAGGCAGGTAAGAAAAAGGAAGGTCAAAAAATGGCACCAAAGTCAAGAGAGAGAAGAGCCGGGGAGAAGGGGGAGAACAGAAGCGTGGCTGAACGCCTGCGCTCGCCTTCTGGGTTGCGGGAAGGGGGTGGGGAGGGGAAGGGGTGACACGGCCTCCCTCCCTGGGGGATTTAAAGCACTCCCCCCGGCTCCGCCCGGGGTCCAGGCCAGGGGAAGTGAGGTGTCCCCGGTCACTGACGCCAGCTGGGGGGGGTGGCCGTGAGCGGTCAAGAGAAAGGGAGAGCCGAGACCCCCCGAATCCCGAAGCAGAATCCCCCAAACCCCAAGGAAGTGGGACGCGCTCTCCCTCGCCCCCTACCGCAGGGCTCCGAAGACGGCAGCCTCCAGAGGGAAGGCCGCCTGGGTCCGCCCTCCTTGCAGCCTCTTCTCCCCACGGGCACACCGCTCACAAGTTTCACCCTCACGCGACCGCTCTCACTTCCGGGTTCAACCAACCACCAGTGCGCAGTCTCCCTCCATGGCGGGAGAATCCAGGGAGATCTCAGGCTCCGTGGCTCTCCCTACGCAGGCGTAGCACTAATCCCCTCCTTTCCCCGCCCCACTCGCTTAGGCAGCGGTTCGCTAATAGGGCGCGACGGTTCAATAGAAGGACCATCCTGCCTCAAGCCCTTCATTAAGATGCACTGCGCAGGCGTATGACCGCCTAACCTCCATTTCCCGCCCCGCCTTCCTATTCCCCTAGCGGAAATGATGTTCCTTTCGCTCAGCGTTGGGGCGGGGCGCGTTTCCGCGCCTTTCTTTTTCCTTAGGAGCGATTGGCTGCGGTGGAACCAGAGGGTGGGACGACTTGCCTCGGGGTTCGGTGCCGCAGCTGACGCCGCTGCTGGGACCGAGAGATGCGGTCTCGGTGTTTCTACGCGGAAGGTTTCTGAGACGTGCCCGGGGTCTCAGGGTCCTTGCAGAGGACTGATCATGCTGTTACCGTCCGACGTCGCCCGTCTAGTGTTGGGTGAGTGGAGCCTCGGGGCAGGCCGAGCTGGTCTGCGGATCCCTGGCTTACCCTTCAACCCGTAGGGCGGGGGTGACTCTGCCTCCCTGCCTTCAGAGCCCAACCGGCAGCCGGCTTCTCCTCCGCCCTGGGGCCCAAGGGAGCCCGAGGCCCCCTGGGTCGCGTAGCGCGGCTCCCCTCCCGCAGGTGCGCGAGGAGACAGGCGCTCACCCTGACGGGAGGCGAGGCGGGAGAATTAGGGCTCGGCCTCGGGGAGGACCCTGACGTGGGGGGAGGAGATGGCCCTTCCCTCCCTGCCCTCAGTTATCCGCGACGGAGCCGGGGCCGGGCGGCCTAAGAGCGGGGCGAGGACAAGCGAGGACCCCCCGGGGGGAAGCGCCCGCAGAGGCCCGCCTGCCGGGTCTAAACATCTTCCTTTGGAGCCGCGGGATTTAGGAGGTCCTTCGGGAGGTTTGGCTGGCTCGGGCCGATGGTCCCTTGGTCGCTGCTCCACGTTTCAGAGCCACCACAGTTACTCTTTCAGTTTTCCGGCAAGAAGAAAAGGCAGATCGGGGATCCTATCCCTGGTGGGATGGTCCTCCATTCGGATGACTCAATTCCTTCCATTGTCCAGCTTGTGTTGCAGTGGTGGGGTGGGCCATTCCAGTATTGGTGGCTTCATCTTTGGTTTTTTGGTTTGTGTTTTTACATTCTTTAAAAATGTATCCACGGTTGTGTTGCTAAGACTTCGAGCCGCATATATTTTCAGAATTTGGGCCTGTGACAGAGACGACATATTTTTAAACTTGTTTTTAAACTAATGTCGTATGGGGCTGTTGATAAGGTGCAGTCTTTTCCTGGCATTTTCACTGGCTGCCCCTCGTACCTGTAATTCTCTTCCTTCTCTCTGCCTCTTGGCTTCCCTCGAGACCCAGCTAAAATCCCACCTCCTTAGCTCTAGTGCCTGTTCTTTGTTGGTTATGTCGTTTGCCGTTTATATAGATTGTTTGTACATAGTTATTTGCATATTATCTCCCCATAAGATTGTGAACTGCTGGAAAGCAGAGACTAGCTTTATCTTTCTTTGTATCCCCAGAGCTTAACACAGTACCTGGCACATAGTGGGCACTTAATGAATGCTTATTGACTGACTGATCTTGTCAAAGTTTAAGATTGACATGCAAACCGCATATGTAGTGATAAAGGTAAATGCCATCCAAAGCTTTTAAAGTTATGTTTGTGCCGATTTGTAGGTCAGACAGAGCCCTGTACTGCCAAAATATGTAATGATGTACTTTACCTGTGAACACTGTCATCTTATATAAAGATTCTGAAGTATAGCTAGTTTTGTCTACAAGTTCATATTCAGTGATTCTAGTTTAGGAGAAAATGATCAGGGCAGCTCGAAGTGGAAAGAGCACTGGCTATGCAGTCAGGAGGACCTGAGTTCAAATGCGTCCTCAGACCACTTGACACTTACTACCTGTGTGACTCTGGGCAAGTCACTTAACCCTAATTGCCTTTAAAAAAAAAAAAGCTGTTCTAGGAGAAAATGATCTTATTATCCAATTGAAGTAATCCATTCTTAGATATTATCTTGGATCTATGATTTTATGGAGATATTCTCGCCAACCATACAAATCATGACTTGTTCACACCTTTTCATCTTGTGTACTTGTCTTCAACCCATAAATCCTCCACAGGGGATCTATTCAGGGTGGCTGTTAATGATACTTTTTTTCTTTTTCTAGATGTTCACTAGCCATCTCTGTAATGATCCTTCCTTGAATTTTGCCAAACTGAAGCTCACTGGTCTATGGTTTGAAGACATCCTTTTTTGAACATTGTGACAGTATTTGTGCTCCATTCCTGTGCTCCATTTCCTTTTCTCCATAATCTTTCAGAGATCCCTGACAATGGCTCAGGTATCATATCTACTCCTTTTAGTATTGTAAGAAATAGTTTAGCTGGACCAAGTGACAAATTCAAGTAGGGCTGTTAGGTGCTTTCTTACTGCTTCCTTATTCATCCTGCTCCTGTGAAAAAAACTGGAGAGATACAAAGTGGACAGTGATAGAGTTGAATGATTGAGAACTGGTGGAATGGCCATACTCAGAGTAGTGTTTATCAATTTGATGTCTTCTTGGAAGAAGTCCTTTGTTCTTCACTGTTCATTTAACAATTGTACAATTTTAATCAGTTACTTGGATTGAAAGCATTGATAGCATGCTTATCAAATTTTCAGATAATACAAAGCTGAGAGCATAGCTAACTCATTGGATAACAGAATCAAGACCCAAAAATCTTGATAAGCTTAGCCAAATCTAATGAGATGAAAATTGACTAGGGTAGATGTAAATAAACTCTTCACTTGGGCTCAAAAACTTATTTTCACAAATGCAAGATGAAGGGGGCATGATTAGACCAAATTTGGCCTGAAAAAGAGCTGGGAATTTTAGTGAACTGCAAGCTCAGTATGTATCTATGGTGTGATAATGGCACCAAAAAAAGTTAATGTGATCTTGGGTCAGCATTGAGATGCATAGTTTCAGGAATACTTTGCCCTAGTCTTACCACATCTAGAGCAATGTGTTTGGTTATGGGTGCCAAACATTAGAAGGGACACTGCTAAACTGGAGAGTATCCAAAGGATGATGACCAGGATAATGAAGGGGCTTGAGGCCCTGCCATATAAAGATCAGTTTAGGTAAGTTAGGAGATGAGGGATTTAGAACATGTTGTCTTCAAGTATTTGAAAGCTAGTCGTGTGGAAGAGGTAGGTATTAGACATGTTCTCTTTGAATCCAGAACTAGGAACGGTGGCAGAAATTGCAAAGAGGGACATTTAGACTTGATATCAGGTGGGAAAACTTATTAACAATTATAGTTATCTTAGGTAGGTACTCTGAAGGTAATGGGTTCCCCCTCATTGAACATCTTCAAACAGACAGGACGACTATTTGTTGAAGGTGTTGTAGTAGTGATTCTTTTTCAGGTACAGACTAAAATTGTGGCTGCTGAGGTCCCTTCAAACTCTAAAGTCCTATGATTTTGTGAATATATTGGGAGCCTTCAAAATCTTCCTGGGGGAGAGGAGGTCTGGGAGTGCAGCAGCTACTCATAGGCCCAGTCTCACTACAGATCAGCAAAAGAGCTTTGAGCTGCTCTGTTTCCAACCTTGGCCAGTTCATCTCTCCATAGACATCCTGGTTCCCTGTAAGGAAGCATGTTGGTGTTGTACTTAGTGAGGACAACTGATCATCTTAGCACACTGTGGCTCAGAACTCATGAATTTAAGCAGCCTCCTAGCCTCAGCTTCCTCAGTAGCAGACATGCACCACCACTTCTAGCCAGATTTCTTGACATTGTATGGGTACTAATGGAGCATACAGGCTGTCCATCAATTATCTGTTCCTCTTGCCTAGTGAATGGCCTATATTCTCTTTTAACCACACATTTCTCCAATAATATTTTTTATGCTTCTCCTTCTGTGCATTTCTTCTTTGGGAATTTATTGCAGTCTGTGTTCACTCACCATTAAAATTTCCACTGCATAATCAACCACAACTTTGTCAACTAGGAACAAAAGAATAAAAATGAGAAAATATCAATAATTATTTTGGCTTACTATGTACCAAGCACTGTACCCTGGCACAGGGGATGCAAGTACAAAGAATGAAACAATCCTTAACAGTCTCCACTCTCAATGAGATTACATTTTAATGGGATATGCTGTGTGTGTATGCATGCACACACACATTTACACACATACATACATACATACATACATATATACATACATACATACATGCATACAAATGTATGTATGAGGAGAGGGGGGAGAAAGAAAGAAAATGTGTAAGCGCACAGATATAAAATGAATAATTAAAAATATATCCAAAGTAGTTTGGGAGGGAGCATACCAGCTGTTGGGAAGAAATGCTTCATGCAGAAAATGGTGCTTGAGCCACATGGCTAGTATAAAGGCAGGGAGATGAGACCATTTGTGAGGAAGGGGTCTGTTTGACTTAATTGCAAAGTGTGGGAGGGATAGTAATTTTCACTGAGGCTGGAGAGACAGGTTGGGGACAGGTTGTATAGGGCTTTAAAAGCCAAACAATTAGGTTAGTATTTGATCCTAGAGACTCTGAAAAGCCACTAGAGTTGGTTAAGGAGTCACACAGTCAGATATGCTTAAGGAAAATTAGTTTGGCAGTAGTGTATGTAGGAGTGGAGAAAGACCTGAAGCAGGGAGAACAGTTAGGCAACAAGAAATGGTGATGGCTTGAATAAGGTGGTGCCTGTGTGAATGGAGAGAAGGGATGAGATTGGAGTGCTGTTGTAAAGGTAGAAATAGCAAGATTTGGCTACCCAGTACCCAAGATTTTGGGTATATTGGGTGAGGAAGAGTGAATGAGGAGTTAAAGACAATGTTAAGATTACACTTCAGAAATTGAAAGGTTGTTGGTGGTGCTTTCCACAGAAATTGGGAAACTTTCCTAATGACTTGAGTTTTAGACATGTTGATTTTGAGATGTCCCTCGGCCATCTGGTTTGAAATGTCAAATAGGTGATGTGTAATATGGGACCGAAGCTCTGATGGGATACTGGAGCTGGATATATAGACCTGCAAGTCATCTACATAGAAATGATAGGAAAATCAGTGAGGT